TGTTTCTGACTTCAAATGACTCACAACAGTGAATTTCATATTTCTCATCTAACAAACAAGTTTCCCAACGGTCTTCTCCAACAAACTCAGCGTACATTTCAAATAAAATAAAAAAATATTTTTTTTTAAATTTACTCAGAAAAATTTTTCTTTGTATATACGCCGTTCTGAACATCTAAAAGATTTTTGACATTTGCCAAGAATGTTCGTTTAGACGCTGTCATATAACCATATTCTTGACAATATTGTTTATATTCATCGTACAATGACCTTTCATCTAATGACACAAAGTCAGTTTCATCTATGAACAGTTCATATACACTCTTGTTTGCTTCTAACAATGTTTGTCTTTTCTTCGGTATGTGGAATTTGTCTTGGATTGAACTTAGAAATATCTAATGTCATAAAATATGAGAACAAGTGGTTGTAAAAGTCAGATGTCAAAGTTTCTGCTAAGTCGTCAAAATATTCTGTATCTTGCATATGAGCTTCTGACGTTCTGACAACTACATATCTTCTGTCAGAACTTTCTAACTTCATCGGAACAGTATTGTTTGAAACCATAATGAAGTTTGCAACATTTTCACAAACTCTTTGGTCTTTATACTTTCTTTCAACAACTCCAACTTTGTCTGTTATAAGACTCTTCAAAGCATCTGAGTTTAAAACTTTTGTTGTATCTATACTTTGAAGTTCGTTACATACTATAAGTTTCATATTCTCAATTGAAGAGTTAAACTTGCCACAGATGTTTTCTAAGTTTGTCATATTCGGATTCGAATAGCCCTCTAACAGTTTGCACAAAATATCTGTAAAGAAAGTATTCTTACCAGTTTCCTTGTTTTCCAATTATAATGAGAGTTTCATTTTTAGCACTTGGATGTTGTAAGATGTTTGCAAACCAACATAAGATATACTCATAGACTCTTTCGTTTCCATTGCATATAATTTCTTTGACATGGTCTAACCAAGCTTCTATAATATTTTCTTTCCATTCTACTTGTTCATATTTATATCCAGTGAAGATAGAATAGAAGTTTGGAGAAGGTGTATAAAACTTTATACACACGAACTGAAAAATCTTCTAACTTTGACAATAAGATATCCCAAGCATCTAACATCTTCATGCCAACTTGTACGACTTTTATTTTCTTAAGTTTCTGTCTACATTCTTGTTCTGAAACTATTGTTGCTCTTGGTTTGTTAAAGACTACATCCCATTCTTTCATAACATAACATTCTGGGGCAGAGTCGACATAAATGACTAAACGTTTCAAATTCTCGACTGCTTTGTTATAGTCTCTAAATGGACACATATTTCTGAACGCTTGGAAGTCATAAAAATCTGAAACGTCTATTCTGTACATTTTTTTATATAAAAATAAAAAAAAATATTTTTTTTATTCTTGAGCTATTTGTTGTTCTTGACTTTGTTGTTGCATTTGTTGTTCTTGAGCTATTTGTTGTTGAAGTTGTTCTTGTAGTACAATACTTTCACCAGTTGCATCTTCCAATTCGAAACTTTCTGCCGTCATTGACAAATACATAGGACATAAAAGTTTTACAGGAACAAAGTTTGCGTCAACTAAGGTTAAGTTTATGTTTGCTAAAGTGTTTGAGTTCACTAAAGCTGAAAACTCTGCATTCGAATGAACAATAGGCAAACCAGCAGAGAAAGTGTTGTTTATACGCATGAGTATCTTTTGGTCATAGTAGTTTCTGTCGACATTCGAATAGCACTTTGAACCTAAGTTTGAAACAATATATAAAATAGGTGTACTTAAAGTCAATGGAACAGACATTCCTTGTATGACACCTTTTCCTGTTATAGGAAACTGTTGGTAGTAAAAACCAGATATAAGTTTTGTATTATAGCTCATATCGTTTATACTAAACTCAGTCGGACATCCAAACATAATGAAACCTGCTCTAGTTGCAGCACATGTTACATCCGTCCTTAAAGTATTAAATAAGTCAACAAAACCTGTTGGTGGTATATCTGAGTAAGTATCTTCAAAGAGTATTTTTTACCATTCACAACAACAAAGTCTTCTGGTGTCAAAAGAGCAAAACAGGCTTTAGTCATCGTGTTTAAGGTCAGTTTACAATATCGTCCTTGAGGACTTTGTAAGTTTTGTTGTTATAGAATTATATGACTCAGGGTTTTTAGTCGTAATAGTATAAACCACTATGTCTCTCTGCCATTTACATATATTTAAAAAGTTTTCTGAGTGTGAGGAGAACTTCATCTAAACTTTCACATGGCGTTTCTTGAAGTTTCTCTGCAAGAAGTTCAAATATTTGTGTAAAGATAGAACTTTCCTTTGTCTACACGAACAAACAAAACAGGGTCTTTCATATCGTTCAAAAGTGTGTAAAGTCCTTTACATGAAATAAAGTCTATATTGTTTTTCTTCAAACATCTTTCAAGAAGTTTTTGACATTTTTACTTAGCAAGTAAATTTTAATGAAATGTTGTGGTCGTCAAATATTTTTGACGTCTGGAAACTATATTTTAAGTTAACGTTTCACCTCCTTTCATAACGTATATCTTGTCAATGACATTGTATGAAACACCACAGCAAGCAATGTCGGGTTCTATTTCTTTGATGTTTATTATCGTCGCCTCTGTCAAAAGTTTCAAATAGTTCTTTCAAAAATTTCATGAGGTGCGATGACATATGAGTTCACTTTTACAGGGTTGTGTTCGACCAAGTTTAAACTTAGACCTAAGAGCTTGACAAATCTTCTCCTGAGTTTTTAAGCTTATCTTTCAGTTGCATGTAGTCGTTTCGAAATATCTGCAACAGAACTTAAGTCTCTGCTAACTTCAGGGTATGTTGGTTGTTCTTTTAGGAACTATTTGTTATACCATCTTCGTCTTCGTATGGTTTCCCCACTTCAACATCTCTTTCTTTGACATTGACAACAAACACTTTGACTGTTTGTTTGAGTTGGTGAATTTAACTTCACATCTGCCATCGCCATTAAACCTTTTGAAACACTCACGCTTCTATTTTTCGGAAATGACATTTTACTAGAATAAAAGATGGACGTATTTGAGTATCTCTTCGAATTGAAGCAGAACAAAGTTTACACACACAAACAATACAAGTTCATTGACAGAGTAGTTCTTTACACAAACAATGGAAAATGTTATAGAATAGCAGTCTTTGCTGAACCAAAATATTTTCATAAAGCAAAGAAAGTTGGTATAACCGAGATGGTGAAAGTTCTTGAAGCAGACAAAAATATAACAACAAAACTGACCGATATTTCTAAAGGTAAGTTTTAATACAATATTATATCAAAACTGGCGTACTGTCAATATTGACGGAGAGAAGTCAGTTCAAGAACAACTTACTGACCTGCTGCCAAAATCTGCTCGATGGAAGCTGTCGTTATACCAATCTGAGGAGCCCCAGCAGGTTTTCATCGAACGAATCTTCAAAAGAGCATCTTCCGTGAAAAAGTGCTATTGGTTTTGTAAACTTCATTGCTCTCAGTTCATATGGACCGTCTGTCACCAGTATATTGTATTTGTACAGTACCAACAGTTGAAATACCACCCATAAAGTCTTCTGAGTCAGCAAATGGAATGCCAAGCCAAAAGTTTGAACGGTCTCCATTTGTATATTGAGTTTTTTGAGCTCCTGCATGAGTCCATACTTTCACATATGGCATAATAGAACTTTGCATTTCAGGGTTAATGGTTGTTGTGAAGTTGTTGTTAAAGTTCATAGCATCTAATGTCAAGTTGTATGACCTCATATCCTCAACTGTAGAATATTCTTCTCTTGGATAATATTTGCCATCTATGTTTATATGATATTTAATACCGGGGTTGTAGAAACAAGAATAGTCATTTATAGTTCGTCTGAACAGTACAAACATAGTATCTGCATGTTTCATTGCAGTTGTTAAAGCAATATCTGTTCTTGCACCTGCGGTTCCTGGATTTTGGTTTCCAACTTCACCTGCAAAGTCTTTGACAGATATTTGGTGTATAGGGAACATAAGTGGAACTGCAATATATTTGGCAGCTAAAGCATTTGAAATATCTGGGTCCAACATATAGACTGCAAGTCTGCTTTCTATTCTCTTGCATTCAAACTGTTTGCATGTGAACTTAACCGGGTCCCAAGCAGTTCCAGCAGCATTGAAATAATACTTTACTTCAGTGTTGAGGTTTGAGAAACCAAAGTTTAGGTCAACTTTGTCTTTGCAAAAGTCACAGAACTTGGCTCCACCAGTTCCAGCTACAGTAAGAGTGAATGGGTCTTGTGTTGGTGCAATGACTAAGTTATTTTTGCTTGGAGTAAGTTCAATAGAAATTTTTCCTGCCCAGTTTGGCAAGTATCTTAAAAACCTGAAGATGAGGAAAGATGACAAAGGAACTCTAAGTTTCAGTTTTACTTTAGTGACAGCATTTCCATCTGAATCAGAAAGGTTAACATAAACTCCTGGAACGTTAGGGTCAAGTCTTCTTATTTTCTCAATAGTTGCATACTGGTCTGTTTGTTCTCTAGCTTGTGGTTGTACTGAGTTTCTCAAAGCGAACCATTCATAGTTTGCCCATGTTACTGTTTGAACTAAGTCAGAGTTAGAATATATCTTATATCCCATGAAAACTTCTGGAGCATATTGGTATCCGACATAGAAAATTCCATTGCAACCTTTCTTACCTCTCAAGTCAGCAGAAGGTTTTATTTCAATGTCTTGTTCCACGTATAAGAAAGAGTTGTCAATAGAAATTATATGAAACCTGTCGCAAGCAATATCTACTGTTGTTGAAGAACCTTCTCCAAACTCACCTACGTTTCCATAAGAAACAGCAGTTGTATATTCGTAAGTTCCAGGAACTATTTCTGACCTTCTAATGGCATTGTCGCATTCGTTATACCATTCGGAAACATTTCCATTCATAGCATCCAAAACTGTTGGCGTTATATTCTGAGCGGCGTACATTTCATATGGGTAAAAATATAGAATAGTTGGGTTTATGTGTCATAATAGAACCCGCGTGGACCAAGCTTTACTTTCTTCCTGACTGAGTTTTTAACTCTTCTTTTTCCTTCATTGCCACTACTTTCACTAGATGAAGTTACTTCTTCACTACTTTCACTTTGTTCTACTCTTCTCTTCTTCTTTGGTAACTTGCCCTCTGCTTCAAGTTGTTGCATCTTTGCCTCATGTTCACCTAGTATGTTGTAAATTTCCCATGTCCTTTTTGCCTTTGGGCTCGGGTCGCCCATCTCAGGTAACCTATATCCTAGAAAGAGTTTGTCATAGTTTGTATTTGAGTCGTCGCGTATTGTTTGCATGACTCTTTCCTGAGTTTCCGGTTCAAGCTCTTCAAACAGAGCTTGTCCATATGGAATAAGCTCGTTTCCAAATATATGTTTTTGTAGCCATTCTGGTTTTCTTTCCATGTTACCAACAATATCTTTTGTGAATGGGAAAGCTTTTACCCAATCTTTCAGTCTTGCGTCGTTTATTTCTGTAGTTGGTTTTATTTTGTCAAGGAACATGTTTTTCAATACTAACATTTCATTTGGTACTGTCCATTTGAGTTTTCTTAAATATTCATCCCTTCTCGGTTCATCGTCTGCAAAGTAAGTTTTTATGACATTTTGTAAACTTTCGTTTGCAAGGTCATGTACAATAGGTTCTCTTCCTTCTCTCTCCCTAACTCTCTTTCTAAACTCTTCACCAAATATACCATCTCTATGGTTCTGTGTAGTTCTTTGAGATAAATGTTCTAGAACGTCAGGTGTTATATTTCCATCAGCCATGTTCATTTCATACTGGTCCAAAATATCTGCATCTTTCATATCTTTCAATGGCATTAAAGCCGCGCTTAAAATACCAGCTATATCTCGTTCACCATTGACTTCCATTGCGTCTACAACTTCTTGGAATTGTGGTTGTAAGTTTATGAACCACCTATCCGGGTTAGCTTTATGACCCCATCTCATTGTAGTTCCATCGTCTGCAGAAACAAAAGTAGGTTTGTTTCCATCTTGGTTAGGTTCTGAATGAACTTTAAACAATGTTTCATTTCTATATGTTTTCTTGAAATTTAACCTTTTATTTTCACCGAGTTCATCCGAAGATTGAACGTTAAATGCTCGTAAGTAAAAAGGGTTGTTGTATTTGTGTACATTTTCTTTCAGTACTTCCATTCTATGCTGAATATTTTCATCTGGTGTTGGAGTCTTTTGTATGTCGGCAAACATTTTTCGATATTCTTCTACTATGTCAGCCGAATTTTTTTTAGACTCTTGGAAATATTCCATATTCTCCGCATACTCTTGTTGAGGGTCAAGATTTTTCGGCTGTTCCAAATCTTCATCTAGTTCTGTGAAGTTAGTTTCCAAAGGAAGGACTTGTTTCGTTTCCTTCAGGCTCTTCTAGCTGTTGTTGCTGAACTATTTCTTCCATGTCTGGTGTATCTGAACTAGTTCTTCCTGTGGAGTTTCTTGTACCTCATTGCTGGCATTTCATATATTCCGAGACCGTTTTCAACAAGTTCCCTTTCTAAGTCATCCGGACTCATAAACCTTTCTTCTTTCGTTCCGTCTCTCATTTTTTATTTTTTACGGTTCATCAAGTTAATTGTCATTTAGCTCTGACATCAAATATCTCGGAGTAAATTCGTTCATGTCATTTGGATGATATGCTATTAAATCATATCCCTTAGCGAGCTTGTATTTTCCAGGTTTGAGATTATATCCCTTTGGTGCAGAGCCATAAAGCTAAATAGGTTCGGGTCAGTATTTCCATCCTTGAACTTTCGAATAGCTTCTTTATATCTGTCACTAAAGTCAATAGTATCTGGGTAACCATAGTCTTCTTTAAGCATTTTTAAGAATTCTTGGTTTCCTTGTTCTCTACTTCTTTTATGTCCTTGCTCTGGTTGTGGAGGTGGTTGTTGTGCAGGGTTTTGAACTGTTGGTTGTGGTGCAGTGTTTTGAACTGTTGGTTGTGGTGCTGGATTTTGAACTGTTGGTTTTGGTTGTTGTTGTGGTGCATGCCTGTGTCTGTGTCCATGTGACGATGTAAATGTTTTAGGTAGTCCTGGTGCAGGTGCTTCTCTTGGAGGGTTTGGTGGTATATAAGTTCCACCAGCTGGCACATATGTTCCATCTGCAGCATAATGTCCTACCTGACTTTTCGTTTTTAAGAAAGCATTTACTAGGTCTGTTTTGGTCTGTTGTAACTCTTTTTTCTTGACTTTCCACAACAGTTGCTCTAACGGCGTCATAGGCACTTTGAACTGCCTGTCTCGTTGCTGCATCTGTTATTTTCGTCATATTTTGTGCTACTTCTTTTAACTCTTTGTCGAAACCTTCAGACTTCAGTTTCTTTCCAGATGAGAAGTCGTTCACTTGTTTCACCTTACTATGAAGAGCTTCGAAGGCGTTCTTAAAGTCAGCATTCGTTAAAGCTTCATTTGAACTGTCTTCATCCGCTTGTATTTTTGTCCTTATTGACCCTATGAGTTGGGCTGCTTTAGCGTTGGCTTGGGCATCTAACCAGTCATTGTTAGCTTTTATATATTCTGCGCTTTTCATTGCCTTTTGCATGGCTGCGTCGTTATTTTTACTTTCTTGTGCTAAGTTTCATACTGTACGGTTTGGTTTTGCAACTGTAAAAGTTTTTCTGCCTTTACATTTGCTTCAACTTCTTTTTTATACTCATCGCTATCCATATATGTCTTCAGGGCTTTTTGTTTTATCTCTTCATCTTTCAGTATTTTATATTGAGTAGTATGGTTTTTCAAATTTATGACATCTTGTTCCATTTTTGCTACTTCTGCTGCTTTTTCTGACACTTTTTTCGCATATTCCTCTGTACTTAGTTCTTTCAGTTGTTTCTTCTTTCTTCTTTTTTCTACGTTTAACTCATTGAGTTTCTTTGTGTCTGTCATATTCTAGTTTCTTTTCGTTTTCACTTATTTGCTTCTGTATGTCTATGTTTGACTTTTTGACATCTGTTATTTGATTTTTGAGTGAACTCAAATTCATTTGACTTTGAGGGTTATAAGCTGTTCCGTCTGCAGCTCCACCATAGCCTGCCATTTTCGCTAAAAGTGCCGCTCTTAAACCTCCACTCTGTGCACCAATGACTCGGTTTAAAAGCATAGGATTGCTTGACATTTGTTGCAACATAGTGGGGTCATTCAGCATTTGTTGTTGCAACTGTTGTTGTGGTGTCAGTTTTACTATTGGATGTTTCAATGCTCTCTTCCTCTTACGTATATTCTTACGTAGCTTACGTGGCATTTTAAGTGAAGTTAAAAAGCGGTTTTCGACAGATGTTTATATGACACTTTTTGTTCAGCACAAAAAACTACTCGGTCAAAGTGTTGTCAGTTTTGTAAAATAACCGTCCTATCTCATTCTATAAGGGGGAAAGTCTTCTCAAAGTATACTTCCTTGGAACGCCCGTAACTTTTCCTGTAGCGACGATAGACCCTTACTTGTCCGGACAAAGTTACACTATTGTATGTTAAAAATATTTTGACAAGTGTAAAGTTCGTGTAAAGTCCATCCTGTCAAAAGTTTTACCGTTGGACAAAAAAGTATATATAGAAAACAAAAAACGTTTATAGTTCATTCAATATTTGAGATGGAACGGTTTGCCAACGGTAACTATTAAATAAAATAAAAAAATAGAGGGGGTTACCGTTGACGAAAACGGTTTATTTTAAACTTTTCTATGAGTAGTCCGAAAAAACAGTTTATTTTTGTCTAATGGCATTCGCTAGCGTGTTCGCTCCAAATTCACCTGAAGAAATTGCTTGCAGACTTTCAGCGCCCACAGGTTTAGAGCCTCAATATCAAACTGCAGCATCTACACATTCTCCAAGCAGAACAGACAATTCAAATTCAAATTTGTCCTGCAATTCGCTCAATCCAAAGCCACTTTCACTACCAAAAACAATACCAAACGAGCTCCGTATTACAAAGAACCACAGCAACGCTGAACTACGCAAAATACTACTCAGATTGTCTGAAGAATACTTCAATTCAAAGCCAGAAGAAAGAGTTGCTGCAACTTTTAACAAAGAATATTGTGAACAACTCAACAAAGTTCTTGCAGACTTTACCAAACTACAAAAAGAAACACCTGACCCATTCGAATTAGGCGACCCAATTGTCAACTATTTTCCAACAATAACAAAGATAGTGTTTGACAGAACTATATGTCAGCTTATTGAAAGTCTTCCACCCAAAGCTGCAAAAAAAGTCGAACAGTTTTGTGTCGAATTCAAATTAAAGAGTTACGGATATCAGGATGACGAAGAAGAACGTGAGTACGGACAAGAAACAGCAAAATGGCAATGTCTTAGCTCACTCAACCCCAAGTTCAAACCATTATTTTACTCAGACAACAACACAATTCAAGTACGCAAAATTGCTATTCATTTCGTTAACCAAGCAGAAGACATTGAAGAAGGAGACTCTATCTCAGTTTATGTTTGCTACTGCAAGTTTTTCAAGGACGAATTTGGAGGACCAATTCTCATGCATGTCTTCAAGCCACATCAGCAACTCTACGTTGAAACTGAAATAACACTCATGCATGGAATGTATCTCAAGTTTGAAAGCCAATTGGAAAACACATACAACATTTGGCTTTCATACATTCAATTCGATACACCAGATGACTTTGATGTTGAAGAAGAAGACTCTACTCAAGAAGATGAACCACAAGACTAACAATTTTCCGAATAAAAACTTCATTATACTAAACATCTTCAGGGGCTAGAGGGGCGCAGCCCTGGAAGCCCCAATACCTTTTTTTTTTTTTCTACAATTTCTCTTTTGATTTATACTATTACTTATGCTACATCTCTTGCTAATCATAACGTAAAAATTTGAAATTCAATACAGATTTAGGTGACAACCTCAACTAATCTACATCTGTCTATATTAATGTATTTTGTCGCATTACTTGCTTTACTTTTAGGCGTTATATTCTTTTATTTTTTTCCTTTCTTGAGTGATTATGCACAGAAACTATTGATCTCTAAAGGAAACAGGCAAGCATACTTTTCGAATTATCATTCTATAACTCATTGACATCATATTTTATGACTTTATTTCGATAATTTCGAATTCGACCAAATAACAATTCTATTATACTCACAATTTTTTTATACAGTTCCTCGCCCTAAAAATGTTTTCGTTCCAAGAACTTTTATTGTCCCCGGCCCAAATTACATTCGATACGGAACTCATTTAGAAAAAGTATTAAAAACGTTGCAAAGCGTAGAAAATGTTTGAAATTTAGAATGGTTTAATATTGATTTCAATCTGGCGAAACATTTAGATTTTACGCTTATTGAACTTAAACTTTTTGCAATAAAACTGATGAATAGTGAGATTACAGCAGACATAACTTATGTTGTAGCATATGTAAAAGTAATGTTTGTAAATGGGTATACTTTGAATAACTTTTAATATGAGAAAGATGCAATAAACTGCATTTATTTTCTATTAGATAAAAATCAAAAATATTTTTTTTTATAGATTTCAATAAAACAATGATATTTCCTGGATTCGACCTTATTTTTGGAAATATGGCTCGGTTCCTGAGAATTGATCAATTCATAGCTCCTGCAACACTATTTCTTGTGCAATTACTCGTAATGATTCCAGAAGATAAAGCGGAAATTTTCCGCCAGCAGTACAAAATTGATTTTTCTACACGATATATGATAGAGCAAGGTCTTTATAAGATGAAACTTACAAAAACACAAGCATCTTTCCTAATGGGAGCAAAATTAGCAGCGTTATATCCTTTAAAGTCGATTTCTCCTATTGATATGATATCCAATACAGACTATATTCTCAAAACTACTCCAGATTTTAAAAAAGATGGCTATAATATTATAAATTTATCAAATCAGTTTTATATCTATAAACAGTCGAAAAATCCGCAAATATTGAATACAACTCATATAATATCATCCGAAATCTTAAGTAAACCGCACTTTCACAACAAATATACTTCTGATTTGTTATTAAGCGGCGTAAGCCAAACATCAACATCAGTTCCTAATAAAGCACTAAATATGATGGGCCTTGATGGATCAGGACAAGTTATAACTATTACAGATTCCGGAGTTGATATTTATCATCCGTTTTTTTATGATCCAAATATCTCAGTTCCGATAAATACGTCAATTCTAAGGCATAGGAAGATTGTTCGCTTTGATTCATTGCATAATTTAACAGATTTCAAGCGCGGACATGGAACTCACATGGCAGCAACAATTGCTGGGAGTTCTAACAGTCCAGACTGCTCAATTGATTCTTTTAGTGGCCTTGCTCCAGGCTCGAAGCTTTACGTTGTCGGATTAAGCGATAAAGACGGAAATATTTCATTTGATGGATATGATATGAACAAAGTCTATCAAAACGCCAAGAAATTGCACAGTTACATTGGAGCTAACTCATGGGGTATGACAGATTACCAATCTCTTGTAACTGAAGCTTATGATTTGATGGCTTATAATAATCCAGATTTTTTGACCATTTTTTCTGTTGGAAACAGCAATTGCTATAATTGTTTATCATCTCCCTCGGATGCTAAGAACATTTTGTCCGTTGGAGCAACTACTATGCCATCAACTGCTCAAATTGAGCAATATTTGAAGCGTGTTTATACATTTGTTTCAAGGTCATTGGATATTACATTAAAATTTTATCAATGGAGCGCTGACCCTTGGAAATTGCTTTTAGAATCACCCCCTGTGAAAATAGTTAACTCCCCCTTATTTATGCAGGATAACCCAAATTTACAAAAAATAAAGAGTAATGAGAGCAAAATTATTATACTAAAAGAACCAATAACATGTGAAAGCTTTACTCGTAATGCAACTGCGTATTTGATCCCAGTCGATCAAAAATTATTTTGCAAAAACATTCCTGTTCCTGTTTTTGGATATTCAATGAACGAAGAAAATGATATTCTTAGCATGAAAAGAGTTTCTCTCCGTATCAATGTCATTCCTTCAAAGAAAAATATCAAACCTTTATCTTCCAATTCAAATGGACCAACCGTAACTGGAATATTCAAACCAGAATTGCTTGCGCCCGGTGAAGGTGTTATCAGCGCAGCAGCTGGAGATCCTTTTGATAAAACTATTAGGAAATGCAACGCTTCCTCTTTAATTAAGAAGAGCGGAACAAGTCCAGCAGCTGCCTCTATTGCTGGAGCTGCAGCTATTATCAGACAATACTTTTCAGATGGTTGGTATCCTTTCAGAGGAAAAGAATTAATCGAAGGCTTTGATCCTACAGCGAGTTTGGTCAAAGCAGTTTTAATTGCATCGGCAACGCCAATCGGAACAAGCCTTGGTGGCCCAACATTAGAAGGAGGATTCGGAATTCCAAATATAAAAGAAATTCTCGGTATCGATGTAGAAAATCTTGATCAGACAAAGAAAAAAGAAGGTTTCCGAGTATTCGATCACTATTTAATTGATTCCAAATCACAACATTATATGAATATAGAAATACAATATCCTGGGCAGCCACTTATCATCGTTATGAGTTATTTAGATGCCGTTATTGACTCTTCCTTACGAAAACCTTTAGTTGTAGACTTAGATTTGATATTAGTTGATCCTCTCAATAGAACATATTTTGGAAACCAGAATCCAACAGGCCCTGATGCATTTACGACCTCAGAGAGGATAATTATTGAAGACGCTCCAGTTGGAAATTATTCATTATTAATTCGATCGAGTAAGTACCCATTTAACCATTCTGTTCAGTACTCCCTCGTCATAAAAGGCGGATTCAACAACACCGATTTCGAAAAGAACCCGATTTCCAACTCAATTTTTCTTTCTCAAGATAATTACTTCGATTGCACAGATGGAAGCAAAGGAAATTGCAACTGCAATAGTCATACAACCGGATATATCTGTGAATACAACGTTACTGATGTTAACGGAACTGTCAATCTGACATTTCAGCCCAAAGAGATAAAATTCTTCAAAACTAATCCAATGGCCAAGAGTTACATTTATATAAATGCTACAAATCTTAACGCATCTATTCATTATTGCGTTTCCAAGAAGAAATTTAGAAGAATTGCCGATTCAGGTGTAACTTGTAATTATACTGAAGGTGAATTACTGAATTTCTTCTCATCAAGACGCGAATTGTACTTCGCTTTATATGCTGTTACAAGCAAACCAATTGAAACTAAAATTGATTTCGGAATTTTACAAACCCCTACTGTAGAAACTCCGAAAACGCCTTCCCCTACATTTAGTATCGTCAATATAGGTAGAATTTCGCCATTTGAGTTAATGGCAGACGTTGTTTGCGTAATCATGCTGATTATTGTCATAATGAGATGTCTAAAGAAGCCACCACCAAATAGATCTCAGAAGGGAAGAAAATATGGCCTTGTTGTACCTATAAAAACTAGTGGAAGAGCTCTAGAAACAGATGATCAAACTTTGATCGTTGATAAGAATCCTTTTTATGCGGAACAAGCTGCATATCAAAATAGAGATATGCAGAATGTTGAAATTCAATCATTATAATAAAATTTTTGTTTGTTATTTTTGTGAAATCTGGCATGAACTATTTTTTCATCATTTTGATATAGTTGCGATATTAACTGAGTGAATGTCTACATGTTTTTCGTGTTCTCGCTTTTAGGATGTATAATTAAATAATTTTCCGAAAATATTCACAATATTCTCCAGATTTATGTTTGCAAGTAATCACATGCATGTCTATATTAAGATTATTGAGGTATAATATTTACACTTTTAATCCGCTAATCCGAATTTCTGATGCAAATATTTCTATTAGTCTCTGAAAATGTACGTATTACATTTGTTGACTATATGATATGGGAATCAAGAATAGTCCAATCAAAGAAGTGAAAAACCTGTACTGAAAACTAAATTTTTAAAAAATCATTTCTTGATGAAAAATGAGCGCAATTCTATTATATTTTAGATTTCAATGTATTATGGTGTAATGTTTGCGTATCTGAACTATTCATTAGAAGTTTTAATTCACATGTTAATCACTTTTTTGTGTGAATACGGTGGTTATGAGAATATTCAGTCAATAATTCATAGTACATGCATACACGATCGCAACAAAGTGCGTGAGGAGACTAAAATATCGGATTTTTTGATTGACTGACAAAGGTTGAAAGTTACAAGCTCTCAATTTTCGTCCCTTTTGTACGTTTATTATAATTGTAGCATATTGTCATCAAGCACGCGACTAACCAGCAAAGACGTGTCCTCTAATTCCGTCCCTAGTTCAAGAATCTGGAACTATTTAAGCAAAAACATTCGATTTCAAAATCAAGCATTCTTTATTCAACGAGTAAAACATTAAAGTATGAGTCACTTTTATAAATATTGAGACTTTTTAGGACTATTTTAAAAATGTAAATAGATCAATCATTTTAATATTAGATAAGATAATCTAAAGACGTCAGATGTTTCAATAACTTCAGATCAATGACTAATATGAAATTTAAGATTTGTGTTAATTTAAGAATTAACAATGGAATCTGGTTTAGAAAGATGGAAAGCATAGAGAATCTAAAGGATAAGAGAGATTAAATACAAAATGCTGCATAAAAAGGCAGATCAGTGAGAAGAAATCATGAGGTTAAAAAGGAACATTCAAATTAGAATATAACATTGCATATTACAATATTAATATTAAAGATAATACTGCACATCATTGTGCAGTGATCCATAAATCAATATTAATATCTCATATGATAAAATCTAATATCATATTACAATATTAATATTAAAGATAATACTGCACATCATTGTGCAATTACACTATTTTAAATATTTTCATAAATAATGACTTACAAATTAAAAAAATGTAGAATTAACTGCATGATCCAATATTGGACCGAATGTATGTTTGAATCTATAACTGAATTCATTAATGACAAAAAAGTGACTCTATAACTGAGTATCTGGCTGACAATATGCCTGAAAGTTTGAATGTGTCTAGGAAATATAACTGACAGTTTGAGTGACATTTTGAATGAGGGTTTGGTTGTCAGTATAACTCAAGGTTTGAGAGAGAATATGACTCACAGTTTGACTGACAATATGACTTAGAGTTTGAGTGACAGTATGAACAACAGTTTGGGTGATAGTATGAACTACAGTAGACTGAGAATATGACTGACGGTTTGACAGACACTTTGACTTACGTTTTAGTTAGAATAAGACTGACAGTTTGAGTGACAATATAACTGACGGTTTGACTGACAATATGACTGTTGATTTGAGTGAGTGTATGATTGAGAGTTTGGGTGACAATATGACTCATAGTTTAAGAGAGTGTATGACTGATGGTTTTAGTGAGAATAAGACTGATAGTTTGACTGACAATATGACTGACGGTTTGACACACACTATGAATTAGCTTTTTAGTTAGAATATGACTGACGGTTTGACAGCCTCTATGACTTACGGTTTTATTTAGAATATGACTGAGAGTTTGGGTGACAATATGACTCATAGTTTAAGAGAGTGTATGACTGATGGTTTTAGTGAGAATAAGACTGACAGTTTAGGTGACAATATGACTGTTGATTTGAATGAGTGTATGATTGAGAGTTTGGGTGACAATATGACTCATAGTTTAAGAGAGTGTATGACTGATGGTTTTAGTGAGAATAAGACTGACAGTTTGGGTGACAATATGACTGTTGATTTGAATGAGTGTATGATTGAGAGTTTGGGTGACAATATGACTCATAGTTTAAGAGAGTGTATGACTGATGGTTTTAGTGAGAATAAGACTGACAGTTTGGGTGACAATATGACTGCTAATTTGAGTGAATATATGACTGTCGGTTTGGGTGAGAATAAGACTGACAGTTTGAGTGACAATATGACTGTTGATTTGAGTGAGTGAATGACTGACAGTTTGACTGACGGTTTGAGTGACAATATGACTGACGGTTTGAGTGACAATATGACTGACGATTTGACTGACAATATGACTGACGGTTTTAGTGAGAATAAGACTGACAGTTTGAGTGACAATATGATTGTTGATTTGAGTGAGTGTATGACTTACAGTTTGACTGACAATATGACTGACGGCTTTAATTAGAATATTACTGACAGTTTAAGTGACAATATGACTGTGGTTTGACAGACACTATGAATTAGCTTTTTATTGAGAGTAAGACTGACGGTTTGACTGACAATATGACTGACAATTTGAGTGACAATATGACTGACGGTTTGACAGCCTCTATGACTTACGGTTTTATTTAGAATATGACTGAGAGTTTGGGTGACAATATGACTCATAGTTTAAGAGAGTGTATGACTGATGGTTTTAGTGAGAATAAGACTGACAGTTTGGGTGACAATATGACTGCTAATTTGAGTGAATATATGACTGTCGGTTTGGGTGAGAATAAGACTGACAGTTTGAGTGACAATATGACTGTTGATTTGAGTGAGTGAATGACTGACAGTTTGACTGACGGTTTGAGTGACAATATGACTGACGGTTTGAGTGACAATATGACTGACGATTTGACTGACAAGATGACTGACGGTTTTAGTGAGAATAAGACTGACAGTTTGAGTGACAATATGATTGTTGATTTGAGTGAGTGTATGACTTACAGTTTGACTGACAATATGACTGACGGCTTTAATTAGAATATTACTGACAGTTTAAGTGACAATATGACTGTGGTTTGACAGACACTATGAATTAGCTTTTTATTGAGAGTAAGACTGACGGTTTGACTGACAATATGACTGACAATTTGAGTGACAATATGACTGACGGTTTGACAGCCTCTATGACTTACGGTTTTATTTAGAATATGACTGAGAGTTTGGGTGACAATATGACTCATAGTTTAAGAGAGTGTATGACTGATGGTTTTAGTGAGAATAAGACTGATAGTTTGAGTGACAACATGACTGACGTTTTGACTGACAATATGAGTGACGGCTTTAGTTAGAATATGACTTAGAGTTTAGCTGACAATTGGCTGACAGTTTGAGTGACAATATGACTGAGAGTTTGACTGACAATATGACTGATGGTTTGAGTGAGTGTATGAATGAGAATATAACTGACGTTTTGACTAACAATATGACTGACGGTTTGACATCGAAATTCATTCATATATATGTATTGATCAATGCAATCACCCTATTTAATATTATTATTTATCAATTAATTTTTCATTACTACATGCTCTCAATTATTATGACATTAATATTTATCAATAAATATTTCATTACTATATGCTCCCACCAAATTTGACATTATTGTTCTTTGACAAATTTTTCTTTATTAAAGACACTCTCACAAATTCATATCAATATATTTTAATTATCACCTATTCCAATCCATTTTCATATTCATATTCTTATTGAGTTAGAATAAATTGAGGATGACTGAGAATCAAATTATAATTAGTGAGAATCAATTGAAGAATACTGGGAGTTAATTAAGGTTGTTTAAGAATAAATTGTGAATAAGTGACAATCAATTGAGGATGAGTGAGAATCATTTGATTATTAGTGAGATTCAACTGAACATCAGTGAGAATCAATTGAATAATACTAAGAAGAAATTGAGGAAGAGTGAGAATCACTTGATTCTTAGCGAGAATCAATTAAGGATGAGTAAGAATCAATTAATAAGTAGTGAGAATCAATTTAGGGTGACTGAGAATCAATTGATTCTTAGTGAGAATCTATTGATAATTAATGCGAATCAATTGATTATTTGTGAGAATCAATTGATCAGTAGTGAGGATCAATTGATTATTTGTGAGAATCAATTGAAGATGAGTAAGAGTCAATTGAGGATGAATATGTGTCTATTCTGATATGACTTAGTATCTACTGAGGCTAGATGCTAACATCTTACTTTTATGATCATAATTTTTCAACTCCATTAATATAGGGTGTCCAAAGGTGCGTTTAGCACAGCGCTCTATATGAGACTATTAAAGGAGATATATGCTGATTATAAATATATAATAAAAAATATGAATATATGTATATGATGAGTATGTTGTATTTTGGCGCCATGCCGGGATATAAAATGAATTTTGAGACAAGAGGCGGTTTCGCGGGAAATTTTGGCGGGATTTTTTTCATTTTTTTAATGAATCATAAAGAAAACATCCTCGCTCTTGCAAAAAAATGCAAAGACTGTAAAAAAATCTACGAGACATTGGTAAAATGCTTCGGTATGGATGCTCCTAGCTATTCCACTGTAACGTATCATGTTAGGATGTATCACTTCATGAACAAAAAGGCGCCCATCATAAAAATTGACAAAAAATCGCCGGATCAAAGAAAAATCAAAGCAATTCTTCAAGCGCTAGATGAAGACCAAGAGCATCACTCAGAAGATAGAGAGATGACAAAGATACCACGTACAACAGTCAGTTATTATCTGCACAATTATTTGAACTACAAACTAGCGTATACACGTTGGGTTCCGCACAACCTTAATTCAGTTTCAAAAAAAAATCTAGAGTCCAATCTTCGAAAGAGCTCCCTCTATATTGGGTGCGTATCAATCAAGAAGTTTCGCTTTTTAGTAACAGGGGACGAGTCTTGGTTTCAATATGCAACAGAAGCCAAAATCATGTGGATCCGAAGATGAAAATCCGCAAACATTCCCAAGAAAAAAATTGACACACCAATGATGATGTTGTCGGTTTTTTGGGGCGTGAATGGCATCATCGCAATTGATATTCTTCAAAAACCTAATACGATGAATGCTCAGTATCTAATTGACAATGTTCTTACTCAAATTATCAATTCTGATGAGTTTGAGAAATCCAAACAACAAAAACAAAAGTTTGCAATTCATTTTGATAATTCAAGAGTTCACAAAAGTCATAAGGTAATGAATTACTTGGTGGAAAACAATGTCAAAGTTGTTCCAAACCCAATTTATTCACCTGATATTGCACCTCTGACTTTTATTTATTCGGCACGCTAAAAAAAGAGCTGAAGGACGCAAATTCGCGAGTCCAGATGATCTTGAAAATTTTGTAAGAGAGCAATTTGAGCAATTTTCTCATGATGATTTAAAGCGTGTCTTTCAAGCCTGGATCGATCGCTGCGAACGCGTGATTGAATCCAATGGTGATTATATTTAAATAAACTTTATATATATGTAACTTGTTTATTTCTATTCGCAGTATTCAGGTTTGTGCTAAACACACCTTTGGACACCCTATATTTATAACAATATTTTGATTACTATTTAAATAATTTTATCAAATGATAATTATTAACATATATTAAGAGTATGTTTAATTTTCAACATACTCTTAAAAATCCGAAATTTTTAAAAAAGTGACAATTTTTTTAATGCTAAACCATCTTCATCTACCATTAAATGTTTCGGATGATTTGATTTTAATTCAGTTGGGTTCTATTAGATGTAATAGTGTAAATTCTGATTCAACAATTTATCCAGATATTATTCTTCCAATAAACCCTATCAAAAAGAATGGTATACAAATAAAATAACTTATCAAGATGGTAAACCTAAATTCACTGTTTTGGATTCATTATCAAATGCATATGTCGGAGATTCACCATCATATCCTTGGGGACAAATCGTTTCAAAAATCAAAGAATTAAACAGAAATATTAAGAATGTATATAATTTTGGACATAAATTATTTGGATTTGAAAATAAATCTATCATTTGTTATTTGGAGGAACTCAAAGAGCGTTTTATCTCGAATAGCGATGAAGTAAAGTATCTTCAAACATATGAAACAACACCTAAATTTCAGAAATCCGCTGAAGCTTTTACAGAAATGGTAAATATGATTATAAGTGAAAAATATTTGCAAACAGATCTCAGTCAAATTAAAATCAAAATCCATCGTCTAGGGGAACAATATATTCTTAAATTTTTAGAAGCATTTATAATTGCCCGCCCCAAATTTTATGCACAGGTTATAGGTTTCTTACAAAATTTTTCATTTGACCAGGAATTATACTCAAAAGCAGGAATTTCTAAACCATTAATACAAGCAATAATTAATGGCGATAAAAGATATTCGAATATTTTTGCTTTTTCAGGAAAATCGTGTGATTTAACAATCGAAGATTTTATTAATGTTTTAATTTCAGATCAAACAAATCAAAATGGTGAAGAATATTATCAAATACATATCAGATCTATATTGGATAATAGTAAATATTCTTTCTATGAACTAGCAGTTAAATTTGAATCAATTAATATTTTAAATTCGTGTAATATAGATAATGTTACACCAATCATGAAAGCATTGATAATGTCAAGCCCAAACGAAACAATTTTCAAAATGAATGATAAATTCAATTTGCAGACTTATCAATTTACAAACCAAATCAAGTATGTTTTATCTTTTGCATACAATATCTCAGAGTTATTTTCTACATTTAGAAATCCATTACTCTCTTCGATTGTTTCAAAAAATAATATTATATCAGTAATGAATTTGAATGAAAGCAAAGTTATTCGTTTAAAGATTCATTTAATCTTCCATGAGGCCCTAATTCAAAATAATGATTTTATGTACAAGAACTTTAATGTTTTGAATCAAATAAAAAACAATGACCTTCTGGAAATTTTAGCAAAAGCTTGTTTGAAAGCTGACAAAAAAATTCAAGCAGATTTTGAACAAATCATGGGTATTAAATTTACAGCGATCAAACAATTTCATGAATCCATAGAAAAAATTCCAGTTGATCGGTCTCCAATTACAATAGATGGTTGCCATATTTGTTTTGAATGCTCTAAAAATACTGATATTGAAAAACTCAAATCAATGCAATTAATTCTAATAAGCCCTGGTATTCATATCAATGTGTTAACTTATGAACAAACATTGAAGTTTTTGGAACAAATGCCAGCATTTATTCATTTGGGCCTTTCCAATATAAGTTCTGATCGATCTGTAAACTTAAATTATTTTCTACTTCAAAACGAAGATTATTCCCCTTTAAAAATTTCTACAGATAATTATTATTACTTTAAGATCACATTGTATGACAAAATTGTATTCTTTGAATATTCAAAAGTATCAGATACGTTGTGGATGATTACTGTACCAAAAAACATGAAAAACATAAAATAGTTAGTATCATGAAATTGGGTACCAAGGGTCTACGCCCCACAGTCCCCCTTTTCATGTTTTGACAAAATAATCGGATATCGTAAATTTACAAAACATATTTTTGACATTTACAAAAATAAAAAAAAATTTAAAAAAAATTAACTTTAAAAAATAACCTTAATTTATTTTTATTTTATTTTTTTATTTTTATATAAATATGTCAGATTACATTTATTACGACACTTTTCCTGAACGTTTCCATGAACTTTTCAAAACGCAAGTAAAACTAAGAAACATGCATTTTAACAGAAGCGAACCCATTGATGAAATCAGAAATCCTGAATATATTATAATACCTTATGATGCTAAATTTATTGCGTACATTCCTTATGGACGTAGAGGAACTAAAACAATTTCAACAAAGACGAAAAATTATTTCTGGAGTGATGAGGAAGGATGTATTTTCTACATTAATGCATACTTAAATAAAGTCACATACGTTAAAACCATTGGTTATACATTCTTTGAATTTTTCATATTTGATGACGATGGAAACAGACGCGCAGTTTATCCATTCGAATATACTTATAACTGTTTTCATAAAGCCCTAAATGAATATATAGTAAGTAAAGGACTGATACCGGAAGAATAACGTTAAAATTTTTTATTTATTTTTTTATCATAGATTTTAACACCCAGAGTAAAAATAAACTTAAAAATAAATTAACTCAAAAATTTTTTAATTTCTGTATATACTAAATTTTTCATAAATGATAAAATTAATTTAGAGGGCTCTTTGAGCCCATCTCGCCGCTACGCGGCTTAGGGTAGATCTAACCCGATATCTAACCTCATTTCTAACCTCGCCGCTTAGTGGCTCAGACCCTTTGGGTCTTTTCTAACCTTGTGAATTTTCAACAGTAAATATGCTGGCATGATTCGGGGATGTCATCATCAGTGTCATCCACATACGTTAAAGATTCATACCATAAACGAGCTTCACGGGAGATGAGAAGTAATGAAACGATAATTAATAATTTATTAGTAAAATTCATTTTATATAAAAATAAAATTTTATATCTAATCTGATTTTTCGAATTCTTCTAACTTCTTCTTCAGTTCTGCTATGTTATCTTCATATAATTTAATCTTTCTTAATATTCCATCTTTATTTAATGGCTGCTTAATTTTTCTAAATTGAACTCTACCATCTTTCATTTGATGAACATAAAAACCTTCTGGAATAGTTCCTGATTTAATGTATTCAACTAAAAACTTTTGTTTTGTTGCTTCAGTAATTTTAGTACTCATTTTATTAAAAGTAAAAAAATAAAAAATATTTTTAAAATTAACTTTATTTTTTATGAGGACTCTCTGAGTCCATCTGAGCCTCTTAGCGGCTTCGTCGTCTTTTCCTTAATTCCTGCGGATCAACTAGGTCGGTTGAAGGTCTATTACTTTCTTTATAGTGTTTATAAAGTTTATAAGCCGCCATATGATAAGGATAATTAAACCATAAATACGCTTTACCTAAAGTTTCAATCGATTATATAAATCATTATTGTTAGGCGTTTCAGGTGGTGCAGGGTATTCGAGAACATCTCTAACCATTTAATTACTTTAAAACTCTTGGTTTCTTTTTAGTTTTTAACGGTTTCTTTGCTTTTGCGATTTTAGCTAAAATATATCTTCGACCGTAATGGAACCAATTCGAACCTCCTGTTTTAGGGTCAAAAGGTCTTCCATAACCGCCAGGGTCATATGGTGCGACTGCAGTTACTGACGCTGGCGCTGGTGCTGAATTAATCGGCGGTGCCTCAATTGGTGGATATTCTGGCTGTTTCTCCTTTTCTTTAAGTGAATTTAATTTAAACTCTTCACCATTCAACTGACCTTTAAAATCTTTTAGCTGCTTAGATATTTCATTATCTTCACCTAAAAGATTTTGCGACTGTCAGCGACCCAGTTACCTAATTTCTTTAACTTTTCAGATTTTAATTTTCTGGCAGCAGCTCCCACAAGCATTCCAGCATTATTTTTTAAAGCTTTTGATACAGCTCCACCAGTTAAACCGTCAATAGCTTTATAACCTCCATACAAAGCTGATAGTGTTGAAAATACCATTTAATGCTTATTAAAATCATTTCTCATAATGATTAACTCATAAAATTTTTCATCGGAGCTAAACGTTAATGAAACTCTGACTTTTTCACCACTGAACCTCTTTATTAGTTCATTAATTCTATCAATTATATTAGCACATTTACTTACATCATCAATGATAGTAATATCATCACAAATTATTTTTACATTTAACGACGTCATTTATTACAAATTAATTTCTTCTATTCTTTAAATAATTAACTGCGGGCGTACTACGTGGGAGTGGGTCGTGGCGCCTTATGCGCTGACTAATTGCTTGAAACAGTGTAAATTTTTTCAGACCTGTTGGAATAATATCAGCCACGGCAGTTTGATTAATCGGCATTCTATATAAATTTCTATATAAATATGGTCCCGCTACAGCACCAGCAGCTAATAAAAGACCTACAGGAATTACAATTCTATTATAGTTCCGCGGTTTAGGGTCTTCATCAAAACTAGCCCATGCGCTTTCAGTCGTTGAACTCATTTATATATAATTAAATTTTAATAAGCGATTAATATGAGTTCGATAATAATGCTATCTTTTCTATCACCAGGAAGGACAATATCTTTTAGGCTCGATGGTTCAACTAATTTTATATTAAATTTATTAACATAATTAGTTATTGAATAATGCTTCGGTGGAGAATATAAGCAGTTCGTTAAACATAAAATTGAATCTTCTGCGAACTCACTTATACTCGATTTAATGATTGCCGCTTCTCTGGACCAAACGCTGTGAAAAGAAATTGAAGTTAATAAATTACCTTCTGCCCTCACGGCTATTGATTTTGGTAAATATTCTAAAAGGTCGATTAATGTTATTTCTTTTGCTCCAAAAAGAGCCATTTTCTTAAAACATTCTTCATCATTGATTCCTGTAATAGCTCTAAAATTTTTATTCGTGTATATATTTTCAATCTCATCACCGACAGCACCATCTTTTAAATCAAATATGAAACCAGCTTTTGAATTTGAATTAACACGAAATTCTATTGAATTAGTTTCAAAACTATAAAACATATCAACTTCATTAGGTTAAGGATATCCGGCACCTTTTAACTGTTCAATAAGAACCGATTTAATCTTTTTATTAAATGCTGTCATATCATCTCCTGTGTCTAAATCTATATAAATCTGTAAATCATATTGATGATTATCTCTTATTATTCCAAAGTTATATAATTCAATGGTTCGTCCTGCAGGAATGGTTTTTATCTGTCTTATTTCAATTGCTTTTTCGCCAGTGTTATAATCAACCCAGTGTTTAGGGTATTCATAAATGTATTCACCATTGATTATTTTAAACGGTTGTGAAAATATGTGCTCATAATAGATTTTAATACTTTTATCATTAAGACTGGGAACGGTATTAACAAAATTTCTGACTTGCATTTTTAATTATAATAAAATGAAACATTTATTTGAAGAAGTAGATGAAAAAATGAATGAAAAATCTGATAAACTCAATAGTTCATTAATTCTTCCCTTCAGTAATGATTATCAGTTCTGTTCAAACGGTGTGTATTTCTATTGTGGAAAAATGGGTTCGGGAAAGACTTTTAATTTAATTCGTCATATTTTAATTACTGAACGTTTAGGTCAAGATTCATATTATGACCAAATCATTATATCAGCAACTTCAGATTCAATGGATTCAACAGCGAAGACGTTTATGTCAAAAGTTCAAGCATCAGTAATTAAAGTTCCGGATAATGAGTTAATTTCTTTTCTTCAACGATATATAAGAAGAAAGAAGAATTATTATGCATTAGTTGAATTTAAACAATCAGGAATGCAAAAGACCTCGGAAGAAATGGAAAGAATTATTGATAAACATCATTTGAGACAGCAGGATGGTACGTATGATATGAAACGATTGACAAACTACATTCTCTCGAAACTTTCAAAATATCCGTTCAAAAAATATTCATCAAACACTTTATTAGTTTGTGATGATTTCGCTGGTAAAGGTTTAGTTTCAAAACCAGATTCACCATTAGCTAATTTAATTACTAAAGTCAGACATTACCACATGACTGTTGCAATACTTATGCAAACGTGGAGGTTTTTAGCATTAAACATAAAACGTTTAATTACTGATTTCGTTATATTTCAAGGTTTCTCAAAATACGATATAGAATTAATTTGGAAGCAATCAGGTATAACATTACCTTTTGATGAAATCTGGGATGCTTATAAATCACTCATTTCACCACGTTCATATTTAGAAATTCATATAATGACTAATACAATTAATGTTAAAAATATACCTTGGGAAAGACCAACATTATTTTAAAGCTTTATTTTTAGATGAGGTGTAGTGAATAGATTCCATCCATCTCTATCACCATTTCTGTTTATATTTTTGGTGTCATTCATGTCCACACTTTCTGGATCAGTTAGTTTTTGAGGATAAAGATTAGAATAACTGTTTTTAATCGATGGTGCTTCACCTTTTAACGCATAAACTCTATTACTTTCTGCATATTTAATGTTTGAACCACCAGAACCATCATTAACGTAAATAGTAAATGGTTTATAATCGATGTTCATATTTCGACTTCTGACTTTTGCCTTCTTATTTATTACTTCAACATCTTTATAAACTGCGCCCGTTTCAGTGAATTCAACAAGATTTTCATTTTCAAGTTTCACGTTTAAACCTTTATCAAAGATATTATTCATTTTTATAGTAATAAAAGGTTTTTATTCTCTAGAAAATGAGAAGTAAATCCATCTTAGCCGGTGCAGTGAATGTTCCAATCGAACCGACGTCGAATGTTGATTCAAGAACGACAAATAATATTATAATCAAAAATTATAGTTCTGAGAACTTGAAAGAAAAGGAACCTATTTCCTATGGTCCTGTGAAAGAACTTAAGTCGGTTAATTTAAACACAGCTTCAAACGCAAACGCTAACAGTGAAGTTAAGTTAGAATATCCACCTCCATTAGAACCAATCATATCGCGTGATGCTCAAGAAGAGCTCAAAGGGTTCTCGGGCTCATTGAGCCCTAACCCTTATTCAACTATTCAAACAAATCCTTCAGATAACGTAGACCATTACCTCCTTAATTTATACCAAACAATATTACTTAAAGATGATAAGAAGCTTTTGATAAATCTTATTAGTAAGAATCAAATAATTTTAACAAAGGAGGATTTAGAAAATGTTATATCAAGAATAACAGGGAAACAGTGCGTTATTGATTATCTCGACCCCGAAATCGAATGCTGCGGTCAGATGCCGGTATTTATGAAAATCGGTAGTATTAGAATAATCGAAACACCAGGAACTACAGGAGTTGAGTTTAAGTATAAATATTCAAATGAATACACAAAACTTTCAACAGAATATAAACTCTGCTTGAAATATGTTTTAACGAATTAATTTAAGATTTATATTTTTATCCCTGGTTCATCATCTAGTCCATTAGCTCTTATATTAGACCAAAAATCAACTTCTATGGTCATCTGCACAGGAGCTTTAATTTCAATTGGTTCGCCTTGAAAATCAACTAATCTAAATGTCATATCTTTTAAATGGTGTGGTTGAATTCGAACCCATTTGCCTTCGTGCCTTAATAAAATCGGAAAATTAGGCATGAATACAGAATTAACGGCGTAACAGAACGATTTATATTCTATAACAGAATTTTTATTATTAACTCCTGAAATTCCTGTTACATTACTTATTTTTGATTCAACATATAAACAGTTTCCATAACAGATGTAGGGCGCAGACTTCATTTCAATTATATATTTTTGATTTTCAATAGAAGATTTTAATGGTAATTCTTGATGATAAGCGCCTAGTAATAAACATGCCCGATGAGTCATATCAGTAATTTTAAATTCTTTTTCGGAACTGAATTTTATTATTCCTGAATCAGTTAATTCACAGTTAACGGCTCCGTTAAATTTTTCATCAATCCTTTCCTGAATCTTCAAATCTAACGTATCAATATCATATTTATTTCTTGCTTTAAAATGAATTTCAGTACTAATACCATCAATTTCAAATTAATGAAATCGTTAGTATCTGTTATAAAAATGAAGCGATAGTGCTAAAATCAAGAACTCTGAAAGCTAGTGGTTCATTCTGAAGACCAAGGTTAGTTTGTAATTTTAATGTCCCGTAATCATTAGGATCAGTACTTTGCAAATAGAACAACATTTTTATTCTAATTAAAAATATGAGTATATCCGCATATTCTTATGAAGCTGATAGGGCGAAAAGATTAATTTTTGGTTCATACACGTTTTCATTTGATGATGAGCATTTAATTATCACTGATGGAAAAACTGAACATTATATCTCATGGAAAGAATTTGAAAAATTCATTCCAATATTAACGCCATGTACAATGCCTTTCATAAAGGACGGTGAAATTATTGAAAAAGATAATACAACGGTATATAGGTCTGTTTATGAAGCATTAGAATATATGTTGAATTATAATCCCGAAAGATTTGACCCAAGCACTACGCCATGTGCAATGCCCTTTATTAAGGACGGTGAAATCGTAAGAGTTCCGAATTCAACGGTTTATACAGCTGTTCAAAACAGTTTACAAAACATTTTAGCGAATATCTTTAATTCAGAAACTACAGAAATAAAATTACCGTATATAACAGATGCTAAAGAAATTAAATCAAAAACAACAACATTATTTACGTCACTTAATGATTTAATGACTTATATAATTAATACTCCTTCTCCGACTACGGCATTTGATCCAAATTCGACGGTTTGCAGTGTACCTTTCATTAATGACAGTTCAGTAATTGAATTAAGGGAGTCAGTAGTAAATGAATCATTAAAAGCTTCATTAATGAAAATCATTGATTTTAACTCATTCATGAATACATATAATTCATTCATTAATGTTTCATACACTTCTAAAGAAGGTGAGCCAAAAACTATAGATAAAGCGGTGTATGAAATAAAAGCATCAATGACGAAATTGAATTCGTTAACTTTTGATGGTGATAGTTCCGTTAACAGCATGACATCAGGAAAAACGATTTTAACGAAAGAATATTTAAAATCTCATGTTAGTGAGTTCGTTGAAATTGAAAAAGAAGGCGGAATTAAGTTCGATCCACTGGGTTTCATTTTCGACTTAGCGAATGCGGGTGTTAGTTTCGCTGAATGGACAGCTATACAGAGTGAAATAAATGCAATATGGACGTTTTTGGGGTCAAAAGCGTGAATGGGTGAGCTTGTAGATGCTGCAAGAACATTAGGTGAAACGGGAAATTTTGTAGATGGTTTTAAAAGACTTGTTTCAAATGTTTTAACAAACACAAAGAAATTATTTAGATATACCATACATAACGGACAGATTTTCGAACAGGTAGCAACAAACCTCCGGTTATGGCTGCGTTGATGATGGTTAGAGACATAAAGCCGCGTAGCGGCGAGGGCGAAGCCCACGAAGAAGAGGAGAAACCAGAGGATACGGGTCAGGTTATTCGAGACATTAAAAACGTGTATCCTGAAGTTATTGATTTATTTAGAGGTGTTAATGATTCGATTTCAAATCATTCTATAACCCTTGATGAAGAGAATAAATTAACAGATTATATATTCGTCATTATTGCAGAACTAATGAAGAGAATAAATGAAAAAGGTATAGCTGATATCATTAATGTAAGTGATGTAATGATGAAAAGAAATTTTGACTCATTATTTACAGAACCGAAAACAGAATATAGTCTTTATGACGTAATTACTGAATTAATGAAAAAGATTAATGATAATAAGAGTTCTGGCGGAAGAGTTGAATTAGAAGTGAATGATGTTAATGAGAAATTAGATAATAAAGCAGATAAAAACCATGTTCATTATATAAGTTCAGATGAACAGATTATAACGGATTATCATGGATATTTAACACAGGATGAAGAAGTGAAGACGGAAGATGTTAATGAAAGAAGATATAAATTCATTCGTGCTGAAGGTTATGACATACGCTGTACTGTACAGTATGACACGGGTAAAGCACCAGAAGCATTTGGTTATAACAATGAAATTTATGCTTCATACTTCTTTGTTAACGGTGTATTAGTTGAACCAAGATTTACATTGAGAGTTAAGGCAAAAATAACTTTTGAAGATGCTATTAAAAGTAAAGCTGACAAAGATGAACTTGACGCAACGAACAAAGTTTTGAAATCTCATAAACACAATATCTCCGATATAAATGAACTTCAAGCTACATTAAATAGTAAAGCTGACAAGAACCATACACATGAATCCTTCACTACTGTTAGAGCAGACGACATAATATTGAACTATACCCTTGGTTCAGGTGCACCTTTAGAGAATCCAAGTACAAGCGTAAAAGATACACTAAACTCCTTAAATAACAAATGTATAAATATCGAAGGTCATGTCAGAAACTTTGAAACATATGAACTACCAGCAATGTTAGATAAAAAAGCAGATAAAGAACATACACATAACTCCTTCTCAACTGTTGCTATAGAAAGTATTGAAGGAACGGTTGGCGGAACTGGTGGGGATGCATTATATTATAAACCTCCTAACTTTCCACAAGGTTTAACATCGAATGAAAACATAACAACGAAGAAAGACATTAGCTGTAAAAATGTTTATGTCATGGATGATGAAAATAGTGTTAAATTCACTGCTCAAGATTTATATGATAAGAAAGCCGACAAAACTTATGTAGATGAAAAAACAGAATATGCTAAGAACAAAGCAATAGATTTTACAGAGTGGACGAGGGAATGGGTCAATGAAAATTGTGTGAAGAAGTCAGAAGTAAATGATGCGGTTAATGGTAAAATTAATGAAAGATTTTCGAATATAGATTCATTAACAGTTAATGACATTCAATTACACCATCAATTACCGGGTCAAAAGAATGTGGAATATAATAATCTTACTCATGTTCTCGATGGTTTCGATGAATTTAGAACTGATGCAACAAATGCGATTACAAGCATGAAAAATGAAATATTGCAAGCTATATATCCTGTTGGTTCTTTATATACATCAATGAATTCAACAAATCCCCCAACAGTTCTGGGTTTTGGTACATGGCAGCAGATTGTAGATAAATTCTTATACTGTGCTAACTCTTCAAAGCAAACAGGAGGCTCAAAGAAAATTAAAGAAGCAAACTTACCTGCGCACACTCATACAGGAACGACAAACTTTTCTGGCGACCATAGCCACTCATTAAGAGACCACCCATTATACAACTCAGACTATAAAGCTGGCAATGACGTTTTATCTCCATCTTATAACAATTCAGCAAAAAAGACTTTTCGACCAACTGAACCAGGAGGAAATCATGTCCATACTTTCACAACAAATCCAACAGGCTCGGGTGAAGATTATATGCCACCATTTATGACTGTATTCGCATGGTACCGTCTTGAATAAAATCTTTATTTTTACATAAATGAGTTTAAAAGAAGTATTCGAATCATCACCGTGGAGGTCATTTAAAAAATTCTATGAAGCTGCAAAGAATGCGGGATTTAATGATAGAACAGAAATTAAGAGATTTTATGATGAAAATATAGTTCATCAGGTTAAAGTTAATCCTTACGATTATTACCTTCCCATTTACTCGAAAACCCATGATGCATATCAATTTGATACACTCGTTCAGAGTAAGAAAGGAAGAAAGCCACCATTTTTGATTTTCATTAATGTTAATACACGTAAAGCTTTTGCGTATATAATGAAAAATAAAGGAACAAAAGAAGTTTTAAGAGTTTTGCAGACGTTCGTGGCAGAACATCATCCCACTTCATTAACTTCAGACCAGGATTCAGCATACCTCAGTAATGAAATTACAGAATTTTTGATTAAACATAACGTTACTCATTACACGACTGAAGACCATAACCATAATATTTTAGGAATCATTAATCGTTTCATTAGAACGCTAAGAGATTTAAATAAAGAAAGAGATTTTACGGAGGAATCAATGAATAAAGTCATTAATGCTTATAATAAGTTCACCCATAACAGCACAGGATTTAAACCAAACGAAATGACTTCAAAAGAGGAGGATGAATACATAAAACAAAAGAGAATGTTAACGGAGGAAAGAAGAAGTTCATCATTACTGCCAGGAACTAAAGTTAGAATCATTCTTGAACATAAACCACATGAAAAGGTAAGAAATCAGTTAAGTGATGATTATTATATCGTTGATTCCTCACAGGGTAATGGTTATTTAATTAAAGCAGCTGACCATTCGGTCGCATTTTATCCACGATTTCGATTAGTTGAAAGCGAAAATGGAAGATTAGCTAAAACAGTTGATGAAGCGAAAAGAGGTATAGTTAATAAAATTGTGAGTTATGATGAAGACAAAGATGAATACACTGTCATTTATGAAGGAGGTGTGGATGATAAAATTCCTTCTAGAAATTTGAGAGAATCGAACCCCACACATTTATCGGAACTCGAAAAGGATTACTGGAAGGATAAAAATAAGCCAAAATTAATCAAAAAATTTTTATGAACTAAATATATTTTATGTCTGTAATTAATGAGATAATGAAGTAACGGATGAACTGCAGAAATATATTTTATCGTTAATGATTTTTAGGTTATTCAATAATTAATTATTTTTGAATAACTGAACGTGTCACCACGTCACCATGTGTCACCAGGTTAATTAACTTCTCTTAAAATTACTGACAGCATGACATTTAGACAACAGTCCAGGAAATAAATTTTATCGTTTATGTTTTCGTAAATGTTTTCATTAATTTTTTCATTAATTATGAACGTGTCACCACGTCACCATGTGTCACCGGGTTAATTAACTTCTCTTAAAATTACTGACAGTATGACATTTAGACAACAGTCCAGGAAATTTGATGCAGTCCAAAAATAAAGTTAGTTTTAAAATTATTTTTATTTTTTTATTCCTATATAAATGACAGCAACAAACAACAACAGCAACTATATCGTTTCTGATGAAAAAGTTATTGATTCATTAGCTGAGGAATTAGTTGTGGCAGAAACTAAAACCCTCAACGAAAGAATTGGTGAAAACAAGATTGATTTACATAACTATCTCAAACACGATGGAGGAAGAGGAAGGAAAACTGGTATGGCTTTATTAGTAAATAAAATATCAAATTTAACGACTATAGATGTTGATATCAATAAATCGTACAATGATGAACTTAAAGAAACAGTTAGAAAAGACATTCTATCAAAACTTTCGGATAAAGATGTTATCGTTAAAACCGCTTCAGGAGGTCTTCACATTTATTGTAACACTAATTTCTTTTATGCAGTTTCGAACAGAATGATTAAATGCTATTCTGCAATGATTATGATATTGATATCATGACTTCTATGGATGATTCAAAGCGTTCTTTAGTAGTTATGGCTGATTCAAGAGTTCGCAAGAATGCAACAGAACCAATCAAAACATACTCATTCATTCGTGGAAGTTACGATTCAACATTAACTAGAACAGTGAATGATATATTAAATGATTTGAATATTAAGGTAAGAGTTGAACAGAAGAACGAAGAAATAAAGACTATCATGAATGAAAACAAAGATGTAAACATTGACGATAAACTTGCCCAGAGCATAGTTGATGGCATCAGTGATTTTGAAGTACATAATGACGGTGGAAACATGAATTTAGAAAAAGAAGTTACATTATTCACACTGTTTCAAGCAATTAATTCGTTACCGGATCATTTGATTAATGAAGCATACGATAACGTTTATAACTTCTGCAATTTAACTGAAAATGCAAAAAGTAATTTTGAAAAAGCACGTAGTAGATATGCACATTTAATGACTTCTCCATTTGTTTTGGTGAAGATTCTAAAACTATACCAAAAGGAATATTATGATGAATACGTTTTGCCTTTATTACGTAAGCCAAAAATAACATTTGATATAAAACTTGATGATTCATTCTTGATAACAGATATTAGACGCAAGGCTGAAAATCATCAGTATAAAAACAGTTCTGAAGTAATTGAGGATTTATCACGTGTAATCCGTTTTGGAGATTGTGGAAATAAATATTTCATTCAAAAGGATTAAACATATCACGACAAAATGAATCAAATATCATTCGTTCTTCAATCAAACATGAAAGAGTCACTCAAAATGATTAAATTATTTAAAGAAGAAGGTAAAACCATAACAGCATGGGACGTACTATTAAATCAATTGTCTCATTAACCGTTAAGGGTGTTTGCTTTAAATCTGATTCCCAGATGTTTTCTCAACGTTTCAGGGTTATAAATACAACGTTCTCAAAAAACCAGATTACTCAAAAATTGAGATGTTTATGAATTTCATTAAAGAAGCCATTTGTGATAATAACGATGAAGTGTATAAATACCTTCTCGGCTGGATTGCATCAATGATTCAACATCCTGGAATCAAGAATGAAACAGCAATTATTTGAAAGGACTTCAGGGAACAGGTAAAAACAGATTTACAGACATTATTTCTGAACTTCTCGCCGGTTATTCAATCAAAAACATTACTGAAATAAGTGAGCTAACGGGTAATTTCAATTCAGTAGTTGAGAATAAAATGTTTCTTGTACTTAATGAACTCAAGAATGTAGGTGAAGATAGACTCGCAAACTTCAACGCTTTGAAATCAATTATTACGGATAATCAAATAAGAATTAATGAAAAGAATCAACCCAGAAGAACTGCTCAGAATGTTGCCAATTTCATTTTGGTAACTAATAACTTCTACCCTGTCAAAATTGAAGTTGGAGACAGAAGATACGTAGTTTTAAGAGTTAATGGTAAATTCAAGGGTCAATTTGATTATTTCAAGAATTTAATGGATTCATGCACTAAGGAATTTTATGATAATTTACTGACGTATTTTATGCAATATGACCTTTCATCGTTTAACGTACGAATCATACCGATGACTGAAGCCAAACAAGATTTAATAGAATTATCAACAAATCCTTTAGATGAATGGATAAATACACATTATGATGAATTGTGTGCAGGTATGACGTGTAAAAATGCTCTATGCTGCAAACCATCAGACATGAAAGACAAAAACTTTCAAATGAGCATTAAAGATAAATGTGAAAGGAAACAGAGAAGAATAGATGGTAAACAAACATGGTGTTATGTTTTGAAAGAAGAAATGAAAGGATTATATAAACAGGTTGAACCAAACGATAATGAGGATTCATTTACTGATGATGAAATACCTGTAAATGAAGCTTTATAAAGTATGATTTGAATTTATTTTTGCATTAATCCTGCTGTGATGTCAAAATGTCATGTTGTCACACTTTTTAAAAGAAGTTAATTAACCAGGTGACATATGGTGACGTAGTGGCACCATCAGTTCTTCAAAAATAATTCATAAATGCCTTCCTCCTTTCGTACCTGTTGTCTAAATGTCATGCTGTCATCATTTTTAAAAGAAGTTAATTAACCCGGTGACACATGGTGACGTGGTGACACCATCAGTTATTCAAAAATAAATTTTCTTATAAAGCTTCAGGGTCTATTTCCTCAATTACTTCACTTCCTTCTTCATCATATTCAATCGTTGCTTACTCAATTACTGGTAGGAGTTTATTGATTATATCTTTATTCGTTATTGTCTTCAGAGATGAAGGATAATATTTCACAACTACTTCACCTTTCTTGTATTCTTTCTGCTGCGATAAATCTAAGGCGATGCTGAAAAATTCAACGTTAGAGTTCTTCATAATCGTATAATGTGTATCTTTGATATTTACAAATATTCCTTTCTGTTTAAGTAATACTGCTATTTCATGTGGTGTGTAACGTTTTCTGTCAATAATGATAGTGTATGGTTTAACGAACTGACCGTATTTAGATTCTTTCACAAACTTTTTATTGAATATAACGTTCACGTTTTTTCCATTTATGAATTCACCCTTAACAGCAGTAGCGAGAGCATTGTATGAATAGAACTTGTATTCAGACATTATTTTATTAAAATTAAAAATATAAATTATTTTAAAAAATTAAGTTTATTTTTAAATTATATTTTTTACGGAAAATATTTTTTTTTATTTTCCATAAAAGATGTATAAAAAGCTATCTAGATTAGACCATGAAGAAATTAAGAAGTTATTGTAGAATGCTGACATTGAAGTTAGCAAAAGATATGCGACTAACAAATCTTCATTAGCTAAATACCTCAATGATTACAGAGGTGTAGTCACTTACGAGAAAATCAATGATTACATTAATAACAAAACATTTCCTTTAAATGATGTTCAGGTTAATTTATATCATAAACAAGTAGTACCGAAGGAAGTAAGAAAAGAAATGTATGATATAACTAATGTTAGTGTTGGGGAAACGAGAAAGAAGAAAAGCGATGAAGAAAAGAAAAATATAGCTGTAAAGTATGCAAAAGCAATTGCACAATTACGCAAAGCAAACGAAGTTATTAAATCTATAGACGATAAAGCTCTTGATGACGAAAAATGGTTAAAGAAGGATGAAAATAATAAACGCAAAAATGTTAAAGCAGGAAATAGAATCATAGATTTTAATATTCGTGAACTCAATGAAGAAAACAGAAATTACCTACATGAACGTTTCGGTAAAATGTTTATTAGGCTTCTGCAGAAGATAAAAGTAAATTCACAGCAAAAATGGATGATTTGTTATAAACTCGATGGTAAATTTACTAATTCAACATTGAATATCGAGAACATCGGAGCTTTGCTTCATCAGTTAAAGCAAGAAAACTTTATAACAGAGATTGAAGCAAACGCAGCCGGAATAATTGAAAAACATTATGATTTCTTCATGACAAATATTAAGAACCTCGAAGAAATTAAAATGTATGATTTAACTGAATATGAAGGATTAACGATGAGCGATATTAAGAAAGGTAAGCCACAGAAGAGAGAAAAAAGAGATGAAAGCAAATTAACAGACCAGCAAAGATTATTAAACAGACTTAAAGAAATAGGAAAAAAAATAGATGATTTTTGGAATGAAATTCTTGATGAAAAGAGAACGAATAAAAAGAGAAGTGGTGAGTTTTGGAATATTTGCAGATTACCTATAAATCTTGAACGCTATCAAATTTTCAATGAACTTAACAAAAGAACTGCTAAGTTGATGACAGAAGATAACTGCTTCGTTTATGCTTGCATTCAGGCTGGAGTTGATGAGCAGACGGTAGACCACATGCGTGAAGTTATTAGAGTTAGAGATTTTCCACAAAGTAAGATTCAGGAAATTTCTAACGCAACAGGCATAGCATTTAATGTTACCATTGGTTATTTCAATGACTCTAGACATAATGAAATAAAGAGATATATACCAAAAGAATGTGAAACTGTTCGAACTATTGACTTACTTCTTGTTGAAGACCATTACATGTTAAATGAAAGATTACCTATGACAACATATTTTATCATAAATTATAACGAAATTCTCAAATCATTAGGCGGCTGGAATATTGAGCGTCAAATGAAAATATATAAGAAAAGGGAAAATAGATTTGTTATTGATTCTACGCGAACAACTCCTTTATGGGATATTTTGAAAACATTAAGAGAGTGCAATTACTTTGAACCGTTATCTTATGGTGAACTTTTCACTTATACAACAGATTTATATAAACAAAAACTTGCACCGTTTAAAGATTTAAATTATACCCCGAACTACTGTGTTCAGTTAAAGAAAAAGTCTGAAAGTAAAGATAGTGATAAATCAAAACAAAAATTCATTCCTGAACACATTTTCTTCGCTGACTTTGAATGTAGCACTGATGGAGTTCATAAAGCCTTTAACATTTGTTATGATAGTGAAGATGGAAAGATTAGCGAAAGCATTTGGGGTCAAAATTGTGCAACAAAATTTTTAGAAAGAATTCCTGATAAAAGTTTAATATATTTTCATAACCTCAGTTATGATATCAATTTCATTTTAAGACATTTAACAGAAATTAGCGGAACACCAATTATTAAGGGTTCTAGAACAATGCAGATAACGGGAATATATAAAGGTAAAGCAATCATTATTAAAGATTCATACACTGTTATAAATAAGAAGCTTAAACTATTTCCTGAAATGTTTCATTTGCAGTGTGGTGAAAAGGAAGTATTTCCGTATCAATATTATTCAAGCTCTTTATTAGTTAATGATAACAAAACTGGCGTAATTTCTGAAGCGTGTAAGTTTGTAAAAGATATTGAAACGTTCATGAAAAACATAGATTTAATCGAAAACTGCAGAATAGATGAAAACCATTTCGATTTAGAAAAATATAGCTCATTTTATTGCAAACAGGACGTAAGGATTTTAAGAGAAGGTTTTGTTAAGTTCAGAAATGATATATTGAAAGAGTTTGATTTAAACGTTTATGATTACGTTAGCATTTGTTCAATCGCTAACAAACTTTTCGAAAACAGAGTATATTTCCCGAATGGAAATTTATATGACCTTTCAAATAAACCAAGAGAATTTATTTCACGCTGTATTCAAGGTGGAAGATGTATGCTGTCAGATAACATGAAACAAAAGAGCGAAAAGAAACTCATTGCTGACTTCGATGCTGTTTCATTATATCCTCGCTATCGCGAGACTTTATACTTTAGAAGGAATTCCAAAGGTTATGAAGAAAGAAATGTTAAACAGTGAATATTTGTTAAAACATTTATTCGATGATGACCAGGGCGAGCCTGAAGGTGAGAAATTCATTTCCGGATTCTTTGTTTTAATAAAAATAACCGAGATTAAGATTAAAAGGCACTTTCCATTAATAACAGTAGATCCAGAATTAAACCCGGAGCTAAAGGTTCCAAGAAGTTCTAACACATGCTGTTTAATGTATGTGGACCACATAGCTTTGCAGGATTTAATAAAATATCAGGGCATCAGCTGCGAAGTATTACAGGGTTACTACTACGATGAAAAAAGAGATTTTAGAATAAGAGATGAAGTAAGAAATTGTTTGAATTGAGATTAAAGTATAAGAAGGAAGAAAATCCGCTACAAGAAAATATTAAATTAATTTTGAACAGTATTTATGGAAAAACTATTTTGTCCCCGATAGAGTCGAAAATTAAAATCATTGATGATAAAGATGCTGTTAGGTATGCCATCAGAAATTATAACCATATCATTAAATTTGAAGGTTTAGATGGTTCGGATAAAACTATTTTCAAACTAACTAAAAGCATTTGCAGACACTTTAACTTTTGTCCCTTAGGTGTTAATATCTTATCTATGTCGAAACGTATCATGAATGAAGTATTTTGCACTGCTGAGGATATGGGACTTCAAATCTTCTACCAGGACTGTGATAGTATGCATATTTTCAATGAAGATATACCACGTTTAGCTTGGGAATTTCAGAAAAGATATGGTCGTGAATTAATAGGAAAGAATTTAGGTCAGTTTCATTCAGATTTTGCAGAAATCACAAAAGATAAACAAAGTTTAGCTTACAAGTCGATATTTTGTGGAAAGAAGACTTACATAGACCTTTTAATAAATGACATTGGTGAAGTTGCATTTCATGCACGTATGAAAGGCGTAAAACAAGATGTCATTGCTTTAACCGCTAACGAAATGTTTCCTGACGCAGTACAATGCTATTATAATGAAGATAAGAACATTCATATTCCTGTTGGAAAATATGATAAAGATTCTGAGTTCAGTATAATGAAATTATATCAAACCCTTCACGACGGTCAGGAAAATCGCATTCGATTTATGCAAATCAACAGCACCCTGTTTTGAAGAGAAGTTTAACTTTTCAATAACGACTAAAAATACTTTCATAAGGAAATTAAAGTTCTGAAGTCATAAATGATATAATATATTTTTATCGTTCAAGACAAAAATAAACTTTTCATATTAAATTATGTAAGCGTTTGAATTTACTATATGTAATGCACGTTCTTTTTCCATTTACATCATAAACGTTAACATATAATGAACCATTTATGTTTTCATTAATGTATAGTTCTTTATACTGACGACCGTTATAATAATAAAACAAATCTGCATTGATGTCGTAAAATAAATCCTCAAATTCATGATTTCCATAATGTGAAACAGTAATTGAATTTTCACTGATTTCATCAACGAAATTATATTCTACTCCATTTGCTTTACTTCTATTTCTATTATTTGTAGAACTTGAACACCAATGTAAATTATCAATCTTATTATTATTTCTAACTTTATCGTAATGGTCAACTTCCCCAAAACTACCAGGATTATCAATCCACTGAATAGCTATTAATCTATGCTTAAGATATTTTTTACCGTTAAGGGTTAATCTTATATATCCATTCTTTTCTTCATACTCACTGACAGTCTTTCCGTTTTTCTTTCTTCTTATTTGATACGGATATTCTGTGTTTATTTCATAATCTTCATCAGCTACTAACGTTTCCCAGTTATTATTTTCCATCGTTTTATAAAAATAAAAAAATCAGAAAATTAAAAATTAACTACATTTATTTTTTTACTCTTCACCTCCATCAGCAGCTAAATTATAATCATCAATTCTAACAGCAGGGATGCCGGCTGGTCTAACTTGAATAGCGAAACAAGCATTTCTAAGAAATCCTAATAAAGGTTTGACAGTGTATTTTTCGCTTATATTTGTATCATCAGCTTTAACACCTAATTTATATGTAATTGGTGCCGTTGATGTTTGACCCTGTTGAAATGTGAAATCAGTTTCCGTAGGGAATCCACAGAGGAAATGAGTGTTATCGTATGATTCATATAAATGTTTAACGCTTCCATCATCAATTAACGACCTCATCACATCTTCATTAAATCCTATCATATCGTTATTTGTATTGCATGCATTAGCAACCATTTCATAGAACACGGACCGTAAGAGCTCTCGGTTCAGCTGGCATACTTCCATAAGCACCCATTGATAATTGAAGGGTTTCAAATTGAGGATTTTCGAAATTCACGATATAATTATCATTCTTCCTAAATAAAGCCCAAATGCTTTTAACGTTAATTGGTGTATAAGCTGCTGTGAAAGTTGCTGATGGTGAACCTTTACTGAACGAACCGTCCATAGGAATCCAGTCCATTACTTTAATTGGAAAACATAAAGCTTGTGATGTATAATGATCGACTAATTCAGTGTAAATATTTGGATCGAGTGAAAATGCTTTAGGATGAATGAAGCAATCAATGAATTCAGCTGATTTCTTCGTTAATCTTTGTTCAACTGTTGAAACAGTAATTTCACCATTTGATTTAGAAACTGCTGTTATCATATTGAATGGTTCATTCCATGGAACAAATTTATTAGTTGGTGGGTCATAATTATCTTTTACCTGACTGATTAAAGAAGGATTATGAGCTAAAATATCTTCTACCGGCAGTGCTGTTACCTGGAATGCATCGCTACTAAATTTAACCTTTAACTGAATGTTGCCTGCAAAAGCAGGAATAAATCTAATAACTTCTAGAATAAGGAATTTACGACATGGAATCTTTATTTTAATGTCAAAATTAATTTCAGCTCCTGCAACTAAAGGTCCTGAGATAATTTGACCTGTTCGAACTGTTCCAGAACGTTTCCATACATCTTTATGTCTCGTTTTTGAGAAAACATCAACTTTCTTTATTTGTTCTGTAGTCTGTGAATTAGAAATGATATATGCTTCTTCTCTTGCGTTATCCTGACTATAAATAACTCTTCCATTTGCTAATAACTGATATGCTTCAATGGTGTAAATTGATTCATCAAAAACGCCAAAGAAACCTGGAGAATTAGTATTTGGAATTGATGAGCCAGTAATAGCTTTATCCAGGATATATTTACTTTTATAGGTAGTTGTAAGGAATGTGTTATAAAGGTCTAGCATATTTTCACCTGGCGGAGATAAATTGAATGTGACCCAGTTATGATCCTTTGCGCTTCCTGGTTGTGATGGAATTTTTGCATCGATATATCTTCTATTAGTATCACCAATATTAATTGCATTATCGATTACCTCAAAATATGAACGAATTTGATGGATATGTTCAGCTGGTGTAAATTCGTTAAGCTGTTCGTTTTGCATGTTTTATGTTAGATAAAAATATTTATTTAGTTTAATATTCTAACTCTTCTTCTTAGTTGAGGAATTTGTTTCTTTTGTTCAATAATTTCATGTTTTACGTTTTTCACAAACTCTTCATTAATTTTGGTTTCTTGTTAAACTACCTATTGACTGGACTGTGAATATAAATGAAAAATATATTGGTTTATCAAATATGTATATAACGCGAGATTTAGAAAGGTTGAATTTGAGCTTGAAGTTGTTGTTATAAACGATACACAAGAATTTAAGCAAACTATTCACATATATAAATATTTCAAAGATGATACAACATTATATGAATGCATGAATGATTTTAATGAAATTTTCGAAAAGAAATTTAACAAAAACGCTTTAGGATTAAATGTGTATCTTGATAAATTAGGTGAAGAAGGAATTCATCCGCAGATTATAGACTTTCATTATGAATTTATTGAACAAATAGATGATTCACATACATGCACATTTGTTATATACTCGCCGTTTAATGAAGTAGCAGAAAAGAGACAAAGTGATTTTAGGATAAGTTTTAAAATTTCTCAGTATAATGAAGACTTCATGAATGTATTTAATTATAAACCTGGAGAAGAACGAACAGTGTTATCACCAATAATAACATATAATGTATGGGACAGAAAACAAGTCATCTTATATTCAAATATCGCTAAAGGGGTTGAAAATGAATTTATCGGGCATACTAGAGCATCACCATTAACAAATATTAAATATTATAAGTTATCAGGAAATAATAGAGAGTTTTGGATTGATATGTATTCTACACACGATCATAAATGCCCCGTTGTATTACCTGAAGACAGAAAGGATGTTTTCTTCCTTGAGGCTCAGTTAATGAATTCAACTATTGCAACTTTATAAGAGAATTCACAAGGTTAGAAATGAGGTTAGATATCGGGTTAGATCTACCCTAAGCCGCGTAGCGGCGAGATGGGCTCAAAGAGCCCTCTAAATTAAGTTTATCATTTATGAAAAATTTAGTATATACAGAAATTAAAAAATTTTTGAGTTAATTTATTTTTAAGTTTATTTTTACTCTGGGTGTTAAAATCTATGATAAAAAAAAACAAATAAAAAATTTTAACGTTATTCTTCCGGTATCAGTCCTTTACTTACTATATATTCATTTAGGGCTTTATGAAAACAGTTATAAGTATATTCGAATGGATAAACTGCGCGTCTGTTTCCATCGTCATCAAATATGAAAAATTCAAAGAATGTATAACCAATGGTTTTAACGTATGTGACTTTATTTAAGTATGCATTAATGTAGAAAATACATCCTTCCTCATCACTCTAGAAATAATTTTTCGTCTTTGTTGAAATTGTTTTAGTTCCTCTACGTCCATAAGGAATGTACGCAATAAATTTAGCATCATAAGGTATTATAATATATTCAGAATTTCTGATTTCATCAATGGGTTCGCTTCTGTTAAAATGCATGTTTCTTAGTTTTACTTGCGTTTTGAAAAGTTCATGGAAACGTTCAGGAAAAGTGTCGTAATAAATGTAATCTGATATATTTATATAAAAATAAAAAAAAATAAAATAAAAATAAATTAAGGTTATTTTTTAAAGTTAATTTTTAAAAAAATATTTTTTTTATTTTTGTAAATGTCAAAAATATGTTTTGTAAATTTACGATATCCGATTATTTTGTCAAAACATGAAAAGGGGGACTGTGGGGCGTAGACCCTTGGTACCCAATTTCATGATACTAACTAAAATTACCCAAAGAGTTTTCAGGGAGGTTAAAATGGTACATTCAAATAACGAAAGTTGATCTCCCAGGACATCCTCTGCAAGATGAAATACAGGAAAAAATAAAGCATGATAATGAGATTGGTGATATCTTAACTTCATATCCCGGGAAATTTTATGTAAATTATAGCACAACGATAAGAAGTGATAGTTTATTCGTCAATGGAAATCCTATAGAATTTCTTATATATATTCCAAGCGAATCAGGAAATTTGGCGTTGGAGTGTAATTTAATTCACTTAGATGCTACTTTTTCATGGCCGAAATATATATTTATTTTTCCTCGTGATAATTACTATATGCGAGGTTACCCTCTAGGGATATACATAGGGCGCAGCGAATCATCCGCTGCTTATCAACGGTGGCTTACAGCCATGAATATTGAATTTAAATCATTAAACATTATGGAGCACTTTTCAAGAATCAAATGGATGAGCGATTTAGGTACTGGAGTTTTAAAATTTTTGAATACGAATCATTTCCAAAATTATATCTGTATTAGGCACTATCTCGGAACCATGGGCAATAATACTTTACTACATGTTTTTGATCTGATAGTATTATTATCAAAATCGGCCCAAGATTTTGAGGACAATTACAAATGTTTTGATCCATCGGTTCAGAAAATGTATGCTACAAAGAATATATCAGATGAGCAGCTGGGAAAATGGAAGCAGATATATAAAGATCAAGAGCATTTAGCAGCATACCACCGCATTCCACCTATAAGCACTAATAATAGTGCAGAGGGTAAGCATAGACACATTAACGAACTTGCAAAAAAAGCAAGAAACTTTTCTACTTTCATCAAATTCATTCTGAATGATACTATCATTAGGATTAATGAATCAATTGATCCCATTAATAAGCAAAAACGCGAGAAGAATGACTTGTTAAACGAAAAATGCATACATTGCGGATTCTCCTATAATGATATTAATACTGATAAGAATCCTTGTAAATATTGCAAGGATTTCTTTATGAATAAGAGTCATGTTCCCTCTGCAGGCATACATGTTATGAAAATAGGAGAAAACGTAGGTGAAATCATAGAATTCCCAATCGATAAAAATGTAGGTGATCAGGATGAACTCGTGGATCACAAAGAAAAGAGTTCGCCGATCGAAATATCAAAATACGCAGAATTTATTGATATTGACGATAAAAATAAAGCAGTTTTAGTCGTAAAACTGCTTTATAATCTTGAAACGTTCCAAGATGCCAAAGATTTAATCAATTCTCTGGAAAAACAATCAAAAAATTATGAATCTGCATTACAAAATAAACCAGAAATTTGGTTGGAAAGATACTTGCCTGAATTAATGAAGGAAGTAAAAGATGCGAGAGCTGCTAGAATGAGATTGAAGATAATAAAGAAGTAGAGATGATGAGTGAATAAAAACTTTGTATTAAATTTGTATATAAAAGAATTGTAAAATATAAAAATAAAGAAGTGGTTGATAGGAATTTGAAAATTCGTTGGGTGTATATAAGTTTGATAAATATATTTATGAATATTAATGTCAAATTGGGTGGTTGCATATAGTAATGAAAAATATATTAATAAAAATTAATGTCATATTGGTTGGTTGCATATAGTAATGAAAATAAGATAAATAAAAATTAATGTCAAATTGGGTGGTTGCGTGATAGAATGCTTCTGTGTATGTGTGGCGTGAGTTAGCATCGGGTGGTTGCGTGATAGAATGCTTCTGTGTATGTGTGGCGTGAGTTAGCATCGGGTGGTTGCGTGATAGAATGCTTCTGTCTATGTGTGGCGTGAGTTAGCATCTGGTGGTTTCATCACAAATTTTAACCCATCCAACTCTTATTAATTATTAAAATTCTTTTACAATTTCTGATGTATTTTTTGATAACATTTCATATGCAATATTTCTCCTTTTCTTTCCTCAAATCTTCAAATATTAATAACTTTGGATATGAAATTATTTGGATCTTTTATGAATTTTAAATGTCTTTCTTAATATCAAATCGATTAAATTATTAATATTTTCTAAATTATGCCTTAAAAATCCAAATATAAAAAATCGTAAATAAAAAATATATTTTTTATTTTTATTTTGTAAATAATCCGTTTACTAAATGGGACTGTATCATGAAAGTAACAAAAATCATTATTTAACAAGATTCAAAACTGGTGCAACGAAATGCACATTGATTTTGTAGTGTAACAAAGAGAGATTTATTGTAAAAAGTACAAAATAGTATATTTATTATCGTGATTAGCGTAGAAATGTATGTGTTTGGGACGGATTTCTGGTGCATTCATAACTAAAGTGATACATTGTCTGGAGCAAGTTCAGATCTTTAACTTATGGCTTGTTTGGTGCTAACTCACCCAATTTAAGTGCACTAGAGGGGATTTTGTCTGTAATGAGCATGCACCTTGAGTTGTTGCTTGGTCCGTGTACGAAAGATAGTAATTTAATACTATACTCGATTAAATGTGAATTTCTAATTTTGAATTTGCGTTTTTTCCTGAAAATAGTTACAATATATGAAAGAGTTGGCAAAACTAGAGGACACGTCTTTAAGGGTTTGGCTCGTGCTTCATGTTAATATGCCGAAACTAAAATAAACGTATATTGGGGGTCGAAAATTGAGAGCTCATATCTTTAAGTGGACTGACAAAACATCCAAAAGAGTGAATTATTCCTAGATTTACAGACAAAAATGTTTAAGTACTAGAGTAGATAATTGAATTGTGAGTGATGATGAAATGAAATGAGGAAGGACAGCAAATGACAAAAAATTGAGAAATTGAATGTATACTGAACTTAAATTAATGTATTAATATAATGAGATATATATTTAAACTAATATGCCGCTAATAAATCTCATATTTAATGTATTTCCCGTTTTGAAATTTTTGAAAATAAAAGCATTTTAAATATTTTTGATACAATTGAAATAAGAAATATATCTATATTAATAGATTAAGTGTCATGTTTGAAATCTTATACCTCTGAAGAAGAATTTCAATCAAGACCGTATTTTATTAATTTTATTCAATAAAAACCTAAGAGTGCAGTCTACCATGATTAGCAGATTAATATTTTCATTTATCAATTCATGAATGGCTAGATTCTTTGTAATTTTCAGAAGAAAGAATTGAATAAAGAGTCAAATTTTGTTATCAGCTAAAAAACGTTCCAATATATGTATGCAGATAGTGGGTCATCAAAATTTTGTGAAATAAAACTTTTTTGTGAAGTTGTAAATGATTTTGTCAAAAACGTTATAACGTTATTCACAAAAGTGATTATTAAATAAAAAAAGATAATATTTTCAATTATATAAAATCATGGTTTAATTACATATTAAAAGAATTATTATAAGCTAAAATTACAAAACCGCTCATAATTTCAATGCTCTACAAATTTTTTGAATTGTGGATTTTCAATGGTAATTCAAGAGCATGCGAATATCAGTGATATCTACCTCGTTTGGACCCTGATGCATATCATAGATCTTTGGTTGGACGTATTTGAGATTCTGTGGCTCAGCTGCACCACATGGAAGGTAATGCTGGATAATTTCCCAATTTTCTGTGAACCAGCAGAACAAAGCCTGTCTATTTCTCGTAGCAAGTCTATCGAGAGGGATGTTAAGATGCTCTGAGAGCCTGTTGGCATGTGTTAAAAGTGAGTAAACAGCGACATTTTGGCCGAAAATTCCAACAAGGTAATTGGCAACGTACTGAAGTTTTGCGCCAGCGTTTTCTATTCTGCGCATGACTTTCTCATTGTCACGGATGGACTGTGCTGTTGTTCTTTTTCTCTCCTTGATGAAGCGTGGTGTGAGGATGCTGCGCTGGAAGTTCATTTTGAGTAATGAGGTTAAGAAAGTGCAATCATTCAATTTTTAAAAATTGAGAGATTAAATTTATTCAACGTTTATCTCAATTTATAAACTTATCAAACAAATAAATGGTTTTGAATGAAATTTATTGTTTGCTATTTGATGAGTATGTTTGATTAAAAATTATTAAAAACTAAATTCAAATTCAAAAACTCAATTTTTGAATGATAAACAAGCTAGATGTTTTCGTCAGGATGAAAATTGTTACTTATCATAAATGTAGTATTATACACTTTTCTAAAAAATTCAAAAACAAGTTTTACCGGTCAAATTTGAGAATGAATTTTCAATTTCAAACAAGTAAGATTTATACTTTATTTTTCGAATTTCATGCTATATCGGTGTATCTTATTATATGATCAAAATGCATTTTTTTGTGTAATTTAAATAATGATTTTTGAAAAGTGAATTCAAATTTTCTTAGGACCAATTTTTAAAGAGTAAGTACCTCTATGATAGATCACAAGTCAGATTTCCCGATTTAACTCAACACTCGTAAATATTTTGAAAATGATAAATACTGAATTTGAATTGATATTTTTTGAATAAAATTCTTTGGCTGCATTTCCGAAGTAAAAGATCCAATGATATACCTACATTAACTTTTACCGAAAAATAATATTAATCTTTATGTTCAATTGAATTTAATTTAAGAAGATTTTCAAAATTATATAATTTCATCCAAATGGATACAAAAAGTAAAAAAATGGAAAAATTAAAATATGATGTTGTACTATGTTTAGTCATCTAGATTATCAAATAATCATAAAATAAAAGCACGTTTCCATCTCAAATTTTCGTTTTTGATTGGCGCACTTTTTTTTAAATCATCGAAATCTCTTCCTATATCTATTTAAAACTACCTGATCTTAAAAAATCCGTCTTCAATTGATAAATTAAATCCTCACAAAAAATAATCGGCGAACATTTAGTCAGAATTGACTGATAAAATCTACTTATTCTATTCTAAATTTAATCAATTTTATATCGTTATTTTTGACCTTTTTTAATAACGATTTATGAGTTTGCTTTGATTTTTTTATTAAAATTTTGTGATATCCTATAATATAACCAACTTATCTATTCGTCTCATGCATTAATATCTTTAATGAAATAACAAAAATTTAGCATTTGAATCTTTATCCGTTCCAAGGAATTCTCTAAGACATCTGATTCAGATGTATGCATACAATACGAACTTATGTTTTTTATGGCATTTTTTGGTAAAAAATTGAAAATTCCGCCATTCAATATTCTAAAATCTATGGTAATTCATTAGAAATATATTACAACATCTTGTATATGATGCATATCGTTGGAGTTTTAATATATTTTAGAATCATATCGATATAGAAATAACCATTTGGTCAAAAATGTCAAAATTTCTAAACTTTAATTGATTAATATCATTTTCTGTATTTAATATGATCACTCATTATATGAGTGTAAAATACATTACTAATTGGCATGCATTGTTGTCAGCCAGTTTGAAAGTGTTGATTAGTGTTGATTTGATATAATCTATCTATGTATTTTTAGATGTTTGTATGACGTTTAACTGAATTAACTTAGCAAAATAGAAAGATCAAATCTCTAAACATGGAACAAATTCAAAAATAACAAAATGCTTAAAAAGGAAGAAATTACCTTGATAACGTAATTTTAATGCATATCTCACTAGGAATACATCATTTGAATTCAAAATTCATGGGTGGATCATAGATCCGGTTTAAATTAACAGGCATTTTATACATTAGTAAATCAAATGTGTGCAAACAGCATATGTATTTAATGTATTAGACATAATAATATTTAAAAACGATTTATCCATATATTTTAAAAAATTTTATGAAACAATGATAGAATAAATGAATGTTAATCATATGATGATTTCAAGTAAATAATAGATGTTAGAAATTAGTTAATAATAAGGCTTAGAAATTATCATTCAACATTGATACATTCAAACCACTATGAAACGCTTTGAATATCAATGAATGATGTATATATGTAATTTTATGATTATTGTTAATGATAAAACTAGCATATGAACATGAAAATAGTATATCACCTTTTTGAAATCAGAACATTTATTCAATTATGGGTCATATTCAATGGATTTTGGAAAATGCTGATTCTTAAATGTATCTTCCACTTATTAAATGAATAAAATCTCAATGATGAATTGAATTTATTCTGTCATGATTCTATCAGCATTTTGCGTCCAGAGAATTGATTGATAAGAATCGGCAACATTATAAATCTGGATCCAGATTTTGATTTTTTATTTTTTGTTCTGCAAAAAAATTTTATTCATAAACGAAACAGAGCATGGATCTGAATTTCGAATACATTGCTGCGCATATCAGCGATTATATTAACAATGAAAACTTCTTCGATACATTTGATATGAGAGATATCAAAGCAATCATGAAACATTCACGCTTAACAGTTGATCAATTCATTACTCTTCTCAAGCAATCACATTCAACTATTAACGCAAGAAAATTATATACATGTACACGAAAAGCAAATATTACTATCAAAAACTTCGAAGAAGTCGTTAAAATTCTGAAATCTGTCAAAAGATACATGAAATTCAGTATATTTGATGGTATTATTGATTTTTTAAAGCATAATGAGAAAGGAATAAACTATTCTACGAACGAAACAGAAATTGTTCAAGGTAGGCCCAAAGCATTTCAAAATGAGAATGAAAATGCGACCAAAGATACGACTATCAATGAAACTGTTGATAATTACAATCTTTCTCGAGATATTTTAACTAGAATCACAGAACTTAAGGAATCTAGTGAGTTTGAAACTGTTTACAAATTCCTTGATGAAATTTCATCGAAAGCAAACCATGAAATGATTTTAAAATCATGCAAAGAAGGACTATGGAAAAAGATTACTACCATAAAATCTGTATTTAATCCTCAGAAGAATGTTCTTCATTTTGCAATTGAAACAGGAAATCTCAGACTTGTTCAATTACTCATCGAATGTGGTTGTGATAAAGAAATGAGGGATTATTGTGGACATACTCCACTCATTAAGGCATCAAAAAATGGTCGGCTGGAAATTGTTAAATATCTTGTCTCGGTTGGTGCTAATAAAGAAGCAAAGGATATTGATGGATTTACTCCACTCATTTGGGCATCAGAAAATGGTAAACTTGACGTTGTTCAATATCTTATCTCAGTTGGAGCTAATATAGAAGCAGAGGATCATTATGGAAAAACTGCACTCATTCGGGCATCATGGTATAATAAACTTGACGTTGTTAAATATCTTATCTCAGTTGGAGCTAATAAAGAAGCAAAGGATAATCTTGATAAATATACTCCACTCATTTATCCATCAGCTAATGGTTATCTTGATGTTGTAAAATATCTTGTCTCAGTTGGAGCTGATAAAGAAGCAAAGGATTGTGTAGGATTTACTCCACTCATTTGGGCATCAAAAAATGGTCGGCTGGAAATTGTTAAATATCTTGTCTCAGTTGGTGCTAATAAAGAAGCAAAGGATAATCATGGATATACTCCACTCATTTGGGCATCAAAAAATGGTAAACTTGACGTTGTTAAATATCTTATATCAGCTGGAGCTAATAAAGAAGCAAAGGATAATAACGGATCCACTGCACTGATGGTTGCAACTGGTAAAGTGGGAGATTACTTAAAAACTATTTGTGCCAATTAATTTAATCATATACTTATTTAAAAATTCATTTTGTTCCAATTATCTCAATCAATTTTTCGAAAATTTTTCTTTTAAGTGTTCGCCCAAAGATACAATGTATGAATGGAAAATTTCAATAAGTATCAACAGAAGAAGGAAGTCTCACTTTCAAGAGAGATTCTAATTGTCCAAAATAGGATGTGATATGCTTTAATCATCAAAATTTAAGAATGTTGCCAATAATTTTGAGATAAAGTCGATAAAAACAAAATGATTTGATGATGAAATAAAAAGAAAACGAGCTGGTATATTGAATTATGCAGATATTCATTTGTTATTGGTTAAAACAAATAAAAACAATTGAAAATTTGATCTCAAAGAAATTATTTAGTTTCGAAATTATGTTTGTTCGTGAACTTGCCATTAACTAATAGTAATTGTTGGGAGGATGAACATATCAAGTATGATGTTTTTTTTTCAGGTGATCAAAATTTAGTGTAAATATCAGAAAAATTGAGAAGACAACGGTAATTTAATCCCCAAATAAAAAATATGTAATTTTTTTTAAAAAAAATTATATATAAACAAACAATGTAAAATAAAAAAATATACGATTATTTTTCTTCTGTTGCTTCTTCCTTTTGTTTTCTTGGAACCCGTCTTTTGACTTTCTTTTTCTTCAAAGCGTTTTGTGCTTGGCCAAATATTTCTTTTACAAGTTCATTCTTTTCCATCAGAGATATCAGTCCATCTCCGTAGTTTGCAGCCAGTATCTGTACAATGATCATGAACTCTGTGGCGAGAGATTGGATTTGAGTGAAGATTTCTTTCTTAAATTTCGGATCTGGTGGCAAAAGTGATACTTTTTGGTTCTGTTCTTCGTTTATTATCTTCTGTCTGTTCTCTAGAATGAGTTCGTATATCTCATTTGCCTTGTTTATGCCTACACCTTTGGCATATTCCATTGCAACTTGCAACATTTGCTTTAATTGCATTTTGGCAAGTTTCATGTCTGTATACAAGGCACCACATGTGAATAAACGCGTTAGTTGGTCAATTTTTTCACTGCATTCTTTGAATTCTTTCATAAGTTTTGTAAACTCGTCTATCGTCGTGTAAACAAAATTTCCCTTTACTTCGTCAATTCTTTCTATTGTTTGCAGGAAGAATTTGCGTGGAACAATGAGTCTCTTTTCGAATGATTCGAATGCTTCTTTGATAATTTGGAGGCATTTCTCGCGTTTGCTCGAAATTTCTTCTGTCATCAAGAATTCTTTCTCAATTCTGATCTCAGGAATCGGCTGATCTTCAAATATGAGATTGGTGGCTTCACTACTAAGCTCTAATTGATACGTCAAGAAGATACTCCATATTTTCATGTCAACATTTTCAAACCATTCGATAAACTCTGCAGCGCTTGGCTCCATTTTGATTCCTATCTCTCTATCAAGTGATAACGTAATCATATGATTGGAGCCTGGCTCAGTAAAACGATTGTAAAGCTCATTTAATGTTGTATTTACCTGTTTACCATTGAAATCGCGTAAAAAGAGTCTTACCATGTTAAAGAACCTCGGAATATACTCCTTTCTAAGATGGGAAAGCGTACGCTCTTGCAACAAGATTTTGTTTCTATTTCGGATTCCAGTGATTGAAGGGGAACTTGTTTCCTTTTCCAAGGAATACTGGATCAAGGACTTCGGCAATGCGCCTATTTTCTTGAGAACTTCGTAATCTGAGCGTAATAAAAAGGCAATTCCTCGAATTTGTTCGAAGAAATGTTCTAATTTGTTTTTAAGTGTTTCGTTTAATGTCTCGATCTGTCTACGCATATCTTCAAGTGACTGTGTGCTGTTTTGTGTTAATGCTGTGAAATTATCTGAAGGAAGCTCTTTTGAAATGAGATGGCACGTTTTAAAGACCGTATCTATCGTCTGCCTCAAATGTATATATACTTCTGTAAACGTTTTGCTTTCAAAAGGTGGAATAGCCAATAATTTATCGAGAGTATGATGATATCTGCGCATTCTGAATGCGTAGTACCATTTTACGAATGCTTTGTTTCGTGCCCAGTTCTGAAAGAATGGAATTTGTTGAGTCATGTAAGTTCTTTCTTTGAAATTTAAAAATTTGTTAAGAGGAATGAATTCGCCAGTTCTATCTGGTGCTATTTTAACAATTCCGTGTAATGAAAGAGTTCTAGTATTCTCAAAAGGAGTCGACATTTCGTTTGTTTTTCTAGAAATGGTATATGAAAGAGATGATGGCCCACGAGGTGTCGAGGCCTTTGGTTTACAATGAAACAATGTCTTTTCAGGAGAAAAAACAAGCTTGGGAAGGATATCTCGATCAGTTAATGGTTTTACAAAAGTTTTCGTCCTTGTTGAGCGAGGTGATATAGGAGAACTGAGTGATTTCGGGATAACTAACGTATTATTTGCTAATATAAGTCGCTTTGGCTTCCTCGGAGAGTATGATCCATCTTTAACGTAAAGTGGAGGTACAATCATATAAGGTTTATAGCCATCAAGAACGTCTTTTGCTATCGGCCATAATAACCCTCCGTCTGCAGTTGAAAGTAAACTGATTAACGGGGAGATTCTGTCTGTTATCTTGATTCTTTGATCTTTCTGTATAACTTTTGTGAAAAACTTGTATAGAGGTGAGAAATCTCGCTCTTTTTCTGGTGTATCTCTGCAATGGAGGAGAAGCTGTTCAAGTTCCTGCTCCATCAAAGAGCGAGATTTTGGAGTTTACAAATTCGTTACAAATAAAGATTTCGCTCTCACGGAAGCATTTGAATTTGATGACAACACAGATTGCCAAAGTATTTTTCTTGATTATGGTGGCATGAAATTCTAGGAAAATTACTTCAATTCTACTTCTTTAATTAAAAAAAAAACTTTTAATACATATTTCATGGGAAATGATGCTTATATCCTTCCGAAATACTTGTTGCATTCTATTAGATAGATATCTCTATCATCTGAATTTCAAATGTCTAACAAGTGAACAATCGCTCACCTCAACTCATGAGTAATCAGCAAAGATGTGTTTAAACTTGATCTGTTGTTAAATATAATTCATTTATCGATAAGTAGTATATGTGGAAGGGTTTAGTGACTTTTTTTGTTACATCTATATATAGACGATGCATTAAAATATATTTATTTATAAATCATTAAAAAATTAACATTAATTTTAAAATAATTTATTTTTTTATCTTTTATAAAAGAAGCTATATATAGATGATGTCAGATATTCCGCGATTAATTAAACATTGTTTAAATCCTGAATGGGTTAAACTTCAATTTAAAAATGAAGATTGTGAATTATTAAATGAATATGAAAGCCAAAATAAGCTAATGAGGTATAAATATAATGATAAAGAATATTTAATTTCATGGAATCAATGGAGTCATAATCAAAGACCTCATAAACGGGAAGAAGAAATTGAAAATAATGAAATGGAAATCATTGATGACATTAAAGAGGATGGAATTCCTAAATTTTGTAGAAAAACCTTTAGAACTAAGTTAGGAGCATATAAACGTAGAGTATTAAATCCTGAATACATAAAACATTTATTTAAAAAGGAAGACTGTGAATTATTAAACGTTAATGAATATGAAAATGCTAAATCAAAATTGAAATATAAATATATTGGAAGTGATGAAAGGTGTAAAGATAAAGATAAAGTTTATTCAGTTTCATATAATAACTGGCACACGTTAGGGATAAGAAAACATTTAGGAGATTATGGTAAAAGTTCTGAATTCTTTAAATCTAGTATGTACGAGAGAGTAAAAGAAATTAGAAATAATTATTTTCATGAATGAAAAATAAATTTTAAAAATTTCATGTCTTACATTTTTGAATAATTTATTTTTTTATTTAATGATAAATGAGTGGATCAAGATTCGTAACCGTCAATCAATTAATGGATGCTCTTTCACCAATTCTTGAAAATGTTAAACAAGTAGATGTTTATTTCGATGATTATGTAGAAAGTTTATTTATAAAGGTAAGTTTAATATTAAACCTATTGCTTTTGCATTTGATAATAAATTAATTGAAAATGCAAAAATTTGGGAATTAATTCCGAATATTGAATTTATAACAAATATTAATGATAAATGTTTAAACGAATTCAACCACAAAAGTTCTTTGTAAATAATGATCAAAACTGAGGAAAAGAATTTAACGGTTTTAAAATATCTCATACCCAAATAAAGTTTCAGAACTAGAAAATGAAAAACTTCAGAAAAAATTAAACGATAGACTTTCAAATGATCGTATTGAAAAAATAAATAAACTAGCAGAAGTTGCATTTAATAATGAAATATTTGATGAATATAACCTTGAACTCAGTGATGGGCTTTAAGGACCCGGGCTCAACGAGTCATGATTTATGAATCAATTATTTGATTTATTCTTTCTTCAATCTCTTCTATTCTTTTTGTTAAATCATCTATTTTCATTAATGAGGTGATTCTTGATTGAGGAATAGATTTCAAACTAACCACTCCTTTTATTTTTGAAATTTTGAATCCATCAACTTTAAACATTTTATTCAATTTACATGTTGTCAATTCTTCAAATAATTTTTTATTATTAGCATAATAGTCATTAAATTCTTCAACAGATGAAAAAATTTTTATTTCAGTAATTGGTTTAACAACGTTTATTTTTGTTGAACATTTTCACTTTCATTTATTTCTTCCTCCTCTGTTTCATTTATTTTTAAAATCGGTTTCATTTATCATTAAATAAAAATTAAAATATAAGTGATGAAATATATTTTTTAATTAATATTAAATCAGAAATGGCGGCAGGATTCTTTAAAAAATTATGGGATGGAATTAAGAAAGCTGCAGGTTGGGTTTATAAAAAGGTTATTAAACCTGTTGCAAACTTTTTGGCACCAGTAGCGAAAACGGCAGGAACTATCATAGGTGGAGTATTAGGTACAAAAGCAGGTAATCCGGCGATGGGAGCACAAGCAGGTAACGCATTGGTGGAATTGCTGAAGGAATACTTAATAAAATAGGGGTAGATAGTGGAAAAATAAATAAATATTATTTTTATCTTAGTATCGGTTGTAGTCTTTGATAAACTTTTTCTCCTTTATTTAAAATTTCTCTTATTGGGGCAGCTTTTGGCGTTATTGATTCAGCAACGTCACTAATTGCTTCTTTATTCTTAAATATCCAATTTGCTCCTTTCTTCATTGTTTCCCAAACTTTATGCGCTCCTCTTTTTACTTTATCCCACAGTTTCTTAAAGAATCCTGCAGCCATAGTTGATTATTTCATTAAAATTAAAAATTCATTTTCATCTTTTAATTTTGATTTTTTATTTAATAATAAATGACGACTAACTATTTAGTGCCAAACACAAACCGATTAATGGAAATGTGTTTCATTCATTCGAAAAGATAAATGAAATATTCGCAAAGAATGATGGAAGAAGATATTATAGAGAACTTGAAAGTTCATGCTATGACTCTGATGCTCCATATTTTGATGATAAACAAACTCATTTAAGAATTACAAATCCGGCTCATGATGTGAACCAATTAGGTGACACATATATTAAACGCAAAGTTAAAGCAACTCTAGTTTCAAATAAAGCTTTCACATGTGATGCCGCTTTTAAATGCATGCGTTTATTCGTTGGTTACAAATCATCAAATCAAAGCTTTAAACAATTAGAAGTAGAAACCGAAAGAGGTGATGCCGGTTATCTTCAGATGGATTGCGCCCGTGAATCTTTCGCATTTGCAACATATAAACCAAAATCAGAAAGGAAAGTTAAAAAGTTTGTTCATTCGTTATATAATAATGTTCAAAAATATGATAACTCAGTATGTGGTAAATATATTGACCCTTCAGAAGTTTTCAAGAAAGCAAATGAAGAAGTTGATATCACTTTTGATATGATTATTCCGGTAAATGATTTGTTAGCATTTCAGGCGTTCGATGATTATCCTAAATCATTTGGTGAAATCATTCTTAAATATTATGTTTTCAGGGATACTTTAGTATTTTGTCAGGTTGACCCGTTAAGAGTTGCTGATTTACAAAATTACGTTTATGAAAAGATAACTGATGAAAATTATGAAAAGATTATGAATCATGTTTATAAATATGATCGCAAATTCCAACAAATCGGACTTCCTGCCAAATTAATTACAAGCTTAGCCGCTACATCTGCTGACGCAACAGTTGAAGACGTTATTATTTCATGCACAAAGATGGAAGTTTTAGAGGATAAATGCATTACACCAGGATACGGTTTAATTGAAGAATCAGTTAAAGCAATACCACGTTTATTTAGTAAGGAAGATCCATTCATGATTCCAGCTCAACATATTGACGTTCGTTCACTAAATGGAGGTTGCATCACTCCTGAAGGTATCAGCTCAGATTTCTCATACGCTCTTCATAATGTTACAGATGTTGTGTTAGCATTTCCGAAGAATGCAATGCAAAGAACAGTTTTAGAAAATCCAATGCTTCGAGGTCTTCAGGTCACTATAGATTCCAGAAACTTCCCCGATCAAGCGATGACCACAGTGGGTGACATATTCTTTACACGTATGCTTCAAGCTTCTGATTTAGATGGAGTGAATGAATGCACAGAAGAATACGAGGACTCATTAACTAGACCACTGAATGATGATAATGGCACCATTAGCTAGAACATGGAAAGACCAAACTTCATTCTTATGCACTATTCCAGTTCAACGTGATGGAGCGGGTATATTCTTTGATGGATTAGAAACTTTCAACTCACAAGTTACAGTACAAGTGAAAGCTTATCCAATCATTCAGGGTGAAAATGACACTTACTGTTCAAAAGTGACAAATCCTCCTCAGGTTTGGTTTACTAGGACTACATATTGGACATGGACACCGGATGAAGGTTTGAAATATCATCCAACAGGTACACCACCGCAGTATAGAAGTTCATATGATGAAATATTGATGAATAGAAATGTATAAAATTATAAATTTATTTTTGATTAAATGGATTTAAATTCATTCACCCCTTATGAAGAATTAGCGGGAGTATATAATACATACGTAGATGATATGATTAATGAAGCATTGAGTGATAATAGAAATGCTCTATCTAAGGAAAAATTAATGAAAATTCCATATTCTGAATGTTACTTAAATTCAATCACTGCAGCAATTGGTAAACAAAATAAAGGTAAAACATTAACGATATTAAAACAAATTATCATTATTGCTAACACTTCCCCCATTCACATGTGTTAATTTATATCAACCGTTCAGGTTCACCTTCAGATAATACATTTGAATCTTTAAAGCATTTAATCAAAATTCCAATTATTTATTTATCACAAGAAGAAGCAGAAGATTATTTAAAAAACTTTTTAATGTATAAAGAATTATATAATACAATCAAGAAGCAAGGATTAGAGGATAAAATTATTGATAAACAACGGGATGAATTATTTGAAACACTTTCTATTTCAAATTTTGATAGAGAATTTTTGCATTCACTCATTTTTCTAGATGATGCAGTGAAATCAAAACTAATAACAAATGAGAAATCATATTTTAATCAGTTATTAACTCAATGTCGACACATTCAGTGTTCATTCTTCATGGCTGTTCAATACTTCAAAGCATTAAGCACAAACATTAAATCAAATCTATCAACACTTTTCATTTTCAGTGGGTTTAGTCGTCAACAGTTGAACGTTATGCTTTATCAAGTGAATTTACCAATGAGCATTAATGAACTTTACACACAATATCAGCAATTAGGTGAACATGGAAAAATAATAGTTGATTTAAATAAAGGAGGTGTTAAATTTGATTAACTTTTTATAATTAATTTTTATTTTTTATTTATAATTAAACATGACAGAAATAGCAAATCTTCTACAGGTTCCATTAAAACAAGGGACAAACAAAAGGGGTGCATATAATAGAACTATGAAAGTTCCAGACGGAATGAAAGAATTAGTTCATATTGTTGCTGGTCTTCAAAAAGATGTTAAACAAATGAGAAACGTTTTAACATTACCAGAAGCTCAAGCATATGCCAAACGTCATGGTCCAAATTGGGAAGCACACGAAGCAGACATTACAGGACCAAATGGAAAACCTGATGGTATAAATGAAGTTTTCGTTACTGATGGTCAAGGTAATATTAAAGTCATAAATGGGTATAAATTAACTATATCTGATTATCCTAAACGTAAAGCATATAATGAATGTTATCCTATGCAATTTGATGAAAATGGAAAAGCTGTTAAACAATACATTGGAGAAGGTGAACATGGTCCAATTAATTCATACCGTCATAATCCATATTCTTATTTCAATGAAGAATTAAACGCTATTGAAGAGGGACCGGATGGATTACCACGATATGTTAATCAGTTTGATGGTCAATATACAAATTTGAGACCTGAAATTCCAGCTAAGAAATTCTTTAAAGTTGCTTTATTCGATCCAGTGTTCAATGAACAGAAAGAAGCAATGAAAGCAGAATTTAAACCAATTCAAGTGGCAAGAATTTCTTCATCTTCACTTTCAGAAGCGTTCAAGGAATTGATAAAGAAACCACTTTATTCTCAACAAGGTTATAACTTTGATTTAATTAAAGAAAGTGATAGACGTAAATTAGAAAAATCAGATGGTTTTAAGAATGCATGTAATGAAATGATTAAAGATATTGTAAATGATAAAATAAGACTGGAAGAAACTCAAAGCAATATCAATAACATAATTGGTGCAGTTACAAAGAAAGTATAAGCAAACAATGATGAACCTTGGGATATTACCGTAACAACTAAATAAAACTTTAAATATATTTTTCTTTTTTTTATTCAATTATAAATGAGAAGACATTTCACAAGTCAAAAGAACACTAACGCAAAAGCAGAGATTACGGTTGGTTATAACGTAAATGATGATAAATCACGAATTATTCAAAATGTTAAAGTTAATGTTAGCCCTGAATTAACAAAGTCAGCAACTCAACCAAATTTATTAACTCGTGACTTACCAAAGAATGAGGAGAATGGAGACCCAATCATTTTATCTGAACCCGGTAAAGAACCCGTTGAAATCCCCACATATCCAACATACCCCCCACCTCTTTCATCAAACATCGAGAACTCAGGAATCTACGATTACAGTCGCAATACGCCATATAAAATAGACATTAATTCTGAATTAATGAAAATTTACCGTGATATAATAATTAATAATTATGATTCAATAATAAATTTAATTGATCAATCCGGTTTAATTATTTTACCTTATGAATCATTAATTCACATTATCGCCATTCTTTGTGATGTTCAGGATTCAGACGTTAAGATTCAATTTTTCATAGATGATGAGGTTTCATGCTGCGGAACAGTTGCAAAAATAAATCCTATAAAGGATATTAGCACAATTAAGATATCAAAGAACGGAACAACAACTGAACTTCATTTAACTTATAATGATATTTATAATAAAATAGTTGATGAATATAAAATATCACTTGAAAAATTCTTTGTTAAGGCCATTTAATATTCAAGCATTAACATTATTGAATAATAATCCTTTGAATCATAATCAATAATAATTGACCTTTCACCAGTTTCTATCGTTTTTTTATTTCTTTTTGTTCCCCACTATCTGGATCGGTCATTGTAATTGTTTTTGTTATAGTATCAGCTTTATCTTTAACTTCAATCTTTTTTCCATCAGGATATTTAAACCAAAATTCCAAAAATTCGATATTGTCAATCTGTTCATATTTTAATCTATCAATTACATTTTTAATACCATCTGAAAATCTTATGAAATGGTCATTATATGGGTTTGATTGAACTAAATTTGAATGAAGTGAAATATAACCCGATGATGAATATGACATTGACTCATATTTTCTGAAAACACTAAAATTTATAACATGAATGAATTTCTTATTCGTTGAATTTATGAATTCTTGAGGTAATCTTATTCTAGTTTTATTTATCACTGGAAAATAACGCTTTACCATATTTTTAATCGTAATAAAAAATGTCAATTATCAATATTATTTCGAATAATAGCTGTGAATTAAATTTAACAGTTAGCGGAATTTATAATGTTACTCTCGTTTCTGTGAGTGGTAAATTTAATCCCATTCTTTTAGACCCTTCAGATTATATATCATTTATTAAAGATGACCTTGAAAAAACATATGATATGTATATAAATAATGTGATAACGAAATGGGATATTAACATGATTTTAAGTTATTTAAATGAATCATTTATCATATGGTATGAAGAAAATTTTAAATCAAAACCTGATAAACTTTTTGAACTTGATGAAATAAATAACCTTATTAAATTTCCGCTGAAAATTAAATTTTGTACTCCTCATCTTCGTTCATTGTTGGGGATATTAAATTTTGAAAAAGATGTTGGGGATGTTTTGTATTCTGACACTGGTTCCAATTTCATTTTAATCAAATGTGATAAAGTTAATACCCCAATGAGATTTTCACATCAAACATTAGACCCTAACTCTTACCCATCAATACAAAACATTTTATCCATCAACTTAAACATATTTTCTTTATCATATCCGTTTCAATTATCCGGGAATTCATTTATTCTTCATTCAAAAGATTTATCAAATATTAAATTTAGAATAACTGACCTATTTGATTGTGATTTAGAATTCATGAATGAAATATTATGGCAATTTCAAATAGAAAAAATAGGTGATGAGATAACGGATTAAATATTTATTTTTAAATCATAATAAATGATTAAACAACAGCAACCACAACAACTTAAGGCACAGACCATTACATACGCCATATATGCATATAATTCAAAGACGGCAGAACAAACGCAAATGTTGAAATATGGAGATTTGGAGATAGTATTGAAAAATGACCATTTCGAATTCGTTTGCAAAGGTGGTGCAGTGATATCAAATATAAAAGAAATTTTATTTATGAATTCAAAAATTAAAGGAATAACGGATGATATAACATCCAATTCCACCAGAAGAACAAAGATATTACGCATTAAATGCATTTCCTAAAGTTTTGAAGATTGGAAGATTTAATTTAAATGAGGAATTCATAAAAGGTTTCCTAAATGACATAATGAAGAAAGCAGATAAGGGATACGTGGATAGTGAGTTAGAGAGAAAGCAGATAAGGGACTTGTGGCTAGTGAATTAATGAAGAAGGCAGATAAGGAATATGTTAATGAAAAAGATAATGAAATTATAGAAAGGGTTGAATGGTATCATGAACGGACATCGAAGATTCTTAAAACTAAAGCTGATACAGGATGGGTTTCAGAATGTTTAGACCTTAAAGCAGATAAAACTTATGTTAACAATGAGTTAGAGAAGAAGGCAGATAAGAACCATACACATACAAGTTTTACAACTGTTGCTATAGAAAGTATTGAAGGAACGGTTGAAGAAACTGGTGGGGATGCATTATATTGTAAACCTCCTAACTTTCCACAAGGTTTAACATCGGATGACGACATAACGACGATGAGAAACATTAGATGTAAAGATGTTTATGTCATGAAGGATGAATATAATATTAAATTCACTGCTCAAGATTTATATGACAAGAAAGCAGACAAAAAAGAGCTTCAAACATTAAAGACAGAAATACTTCAAACATTATATCCTATAGGCTCTATTTATACGTCAATGAACTCAACAAATCCAGCAACAGTTCTGGGTTTCGGTACGTGGGAACAAATAGTTGACAGGTTTTTTGTATTGTGCAAACTCTTCAAAGGAAACAGGAGGAAGTAAAACGATTTCAGGTGAAAATTTACCTGCACATAGTCACTACATAGATTTAAGTACATCTCAAGCGGGTTGGCATAAGCATAGATATTGGGATTGGTCAGCAATGATAAAAGGTAAAGGATATGATGTTAAAGACAACGTTAAGTTTGCTATAGATTGTTACTGGAGTAACACTGAGGGAGGAGGAAACCATACACATCGCGTTTCAGGATATACACAAACAACGGGACAAAGTAAAGATTACATGCCGCCATTTATGACAGTTTACGCATGGTATAGAGTTCAATGAATGAACTAAATATATTTTATGTCTGTAATTAATTAGGTAATGAAGTAATGGATGAACTGCAGAAATAAATGGTTACGTTAATGGTTACGTTAATGGTTACGTTAATGGTTACGTTAATGTTTTCAGGTCATTCAAAAATAATTAATTATTGAATAACCTGAAGGTGTCACTATGTCACCATGTGTCACCAGGTCACCAGGTCACCAGGTCATTTAACTTCTCTGAAAAAATGTGACAACATGACATTTTGACAACAACACAGGAAATAAATGTTTACGTTAATGTTTTGTCATGATCATTCATCGTTTCTTTGTCATGACTTCTTCATCGTAATGAATGTATATTCTTTGTCAAACATGAGCGTAAATGATTTGTCATGATTTCTTCATCGTAAATGTTTTGTCATGATTTCTTCGTAATGAGCGTAAATGATCCAAAAATAATGTTTAGGTGAAGAGGTGAGATTTCACCTAAAATATATTTTTGGTCAAAGCTTCCACGAGAGAAAAGATTCATCATTCGCTAAGGATTCCAAAAATGAAAAAATCATTGATTTCGGCTGAGAAAAACAGCAAAACCCTTCTTCCACGGGAACAAAGAAATAAAGAAGAAATAAAGAAGAAATAAAGTAAATTTTTTATTTATTCCCGTGGAAGATAGAGCACTTTTATGACACTTTTTATTCACGACAAACAAGACAATTTATGCTACGTAGCCTGTCGACATAAGATTTTATAAATTGCATATTTGACGTAAATTTATTTCCTAGTTATTCAAAAATAATTAATTATTGAATAACCGAAGGTGCTACCATGTTACCATGTGCTACCAGGTCATTTAACTTCTATGAAAAAATGTGACAACATGACATTTTGACAACAGTCATGAAAGGATTAATGCAAAAATAAATTCAAATCATACTTTATAAAGCTTCATTTACAGGTATTTCATCGTCAGTAAATGAATCCTCATTATCGTTTGGTTCAACCTGTTTATATAATCCTTTCATTTCTTCTTTCAAAACATAACACCATGTTTGTTTACCGTCTATTCTTCTATGTTTCCTATCACATTTATCCTTAATGCTCATTTGAAAGTTTTTGTCTTTCATGTCTGATGGTTTGCAGAATAGAGCATTTTTACACGTCATACCCGCACACAATTCATCATAATGTGTATTTATCCATACATCTAAAGGATTTGTTGATAATTCTATTAAATCTTGTTTGGCTTCAGTCATCGGTATGATTCGTACATTAAATGATGAAAGGTCGTAATTGATAAAATACGTCAGTAAATTATCATAAAATTCCTTTGTGCATGAATCCATCAAATTCTTGAAGTAATCAAATTGACCCTTGAATTTACCATTAACTCTTAAAACTACGTATCTTCTGTCTCCAACTTCAATTTTGACAAGGTAAACGTTGTTAGTTACGAAAATGAAGTTTGCAACATTCTGACCTGTTCTTCTGGGTTGATTCTTTTCATTAATTCTAATCTCATTATCCGTTATAATTGATTTCAAAGCGTTGAAGTTTGCGAGTCTATCTTCACCTACATTCTTGAGTTCATTAAGTACAAGAAACATTTTATTTTCAACAACTGAGTTGAAATTACCCGTTAGCTCACTTATTTCGGTAATGTTTTTGCATGAATAACCAGCGAGAAGTTCAGAAATAATGTCAGTAAATCTGTTTTTACCTGTTCCCTGAAGTCCTTTCAAAATAATTGCTGTTTCATTCTTGATTCCAGGATGTTGAATCATTGATGCAATCCAGCCGAGAAGGTATTTATACACTTCATCGTTATTATCACAAATGGCTTCTTTAATGAAATTCATAAACATCTCAATTTTTGAGTAATCAGGCTTTTCAAGAATGTTGTATTTATAACCATGAAACGTTGAGAAAACATCTGGGGAATCAGATTTAAAGCAAACACCCTTAACGGTTAATGAGGATAATTGATTTAGTAGTACATCCCATGCTGTTATTGTTTTACCTTCTTCTTTAAATAATTTAATCATTTTGAGTGACTCTTTCATGTTTGATTGAAGAACAAATGATATTTGATTCATTTTGTCGTGTATGTTGTAATCTTTCTGAATGAAATATTTATTTCCACAATCTACAAAACGGATTACACGTGATAAATCCTCAATTACTTCAGAACTGTTTTTATACTGATGATTTTCAGCCTTGCGTCTAATATCTGTTATCAAAAACGAGTCGTCAAGTTTGATATCAAATGTTATTTTTGGCTTACGTAATAAAGGTAAAACATATTCATCATAATATTCCTTTTGATATAGTTTTAGAATCTTCACTAAAACAAATGGAGAAGTCATTAAATGTGCATATCTATTACGTGCTTTTTCAAAATTACTTTTTGCATTTTCAGTTAAATTGCAGAAGTTATAAACGTTATCGTATGCTTCATTAATTAAATGATTAGGTAACGAATTAATAGCTTGAAACAGTGTGAATAATGTTATTTCTTTTTCTAAATTCATGTTTCCACCGTCATTATGTACTTCAAAATCACAGATGCCATCAACTATGCTCTGGGCAAGTTTATCGTCAATGTTTACATCTTTGTTTTCATTCATGATAGTCTTTATTTCTTCGTTCTTCTGTTCAACTCTTACCTTAATATTCAAATCATTTAATATATCATTCACTGTTCTGGTTAATGTTGAATCATAACTTCCACGAATGAATGAGTATGTATTGATTGGTTCTGTTGCATTCTTGCGAACTCTTGAATCAGCCATAACTACTAAAGAACGCTTTGAATCATCCATTGAAGTCATTATATCAATATCATAATCATTGCAGGAATAACATTTAATCATTCTGTTCGAGGTTGAATAGAAGAAATTAGTGTTGCAATAAATGTGAAGACCTCCTGAAGCGGTTTTAACGATAACATCTTTATCCGAAAGTTTTGATAAAATGTCTTTTCTAACTGTTTCTTTAAGTTCATCATTGTATGATTTATTGATATCAACATCTATAATCGTTAAATTTGAAATTTTATTTACTAATAAAGCCATACCAGTTTTCCTTCCTCTTCCTCCATCGTGTTTGAGGTAGTTATGTAAATCAATCTTGTTTTCACCAATTCTTTCGTTGAGGGTTTTAGTTTCTGCCACAACTAATTCCTCAGCTAATGAATCAATGATATTTTCATCAGAAACGATATAGTTGTTGCTGTTGTTTGTTGCTGTCATTTATATAGGAATAAAAAAATAAAAACAATTTTAAAACTAACTTTATTTTTGGGACTGCATCATATTTCCTATGTTGTTGTCAAAATGTCATGTTGTCACATTTTTTCATAGAAGTTAAATGACCTGGTAGCACATGGTAACATGGTAGCACCTTCGGTTATTCAAAAATAAGTCATAACTACCTTCCTCCTATGTTGTTGTCAAAATGTCATGTTGTCACAAACTTTAGAACGGCATAATTTAAATTTTTATTTTTATCATAAATGAATACCCCACAAGCTCAAAATTTACCACGAATCATAACAAGGGAGGAAATGATAAAAATGATGCAAGAACATGTTAAAAATAACAAACCACTAAAATTGAGAAAATGTGGTTATGCAGTAATGATGGAAAGAGAGACGTTGTCGAAGAGGAATAAAAATTAAATTTGGATTGAGTTTAAAAATTCATCTTTATTAAATTCATCTCTTCCAATCAATTTATTTATTCTATTAAATTCTTTTATTTTTGCTTCACTCAGTTTAATGATTGAACGGCAAGTTTCTAATTTTTCGATTATTTCTTTATCATTTTCAACCCCACCACATTGCAACTTCTTTTTGTAATAGCATATTTTTGATTTAATTCTGTTTAGTTTCTTTTTATATTCATTGTCTGGACTCTTGACTGCTTTGTTGTCACTCATTTTCTTACGAAATAAAAAAATTAAATATTATTTAAATATAATGGAGTAATAAAATAAATCGGAATTTCTATTAATTTATTGTTAACTTCAACTAATGCATTGCCGTTAATATATCTAACAAATTCAGCTATTGTGTCAAATCTTCGTCTTCTTTTTGTCATTGATTTATCAGTTTTTCCATAATCGAGATGAATTAAAACTTTATTTCCTTGTTTAAAATTCATGAGCCCCGAATTAATTTGTTCACGTTTAACATCATTTAACCTTTCCATTTGCTTTCTAATATATTCCCATTCTTTTGAAATATCATTTTTCATTTCCACTGGTTTCATGTTTATAGTTCTATGCCATGTATTATTGTAATAATATACTAACTGCTGTATGATGGAGTCATGTTTTCCATCCCAGTATATCTGACCATTAACCCCTAACGCATCTCTAAGAGTTCTCATTACCACATCAACTATTTTATTATGAAACGTATATGGAGAGGATGAAAAGTAAAAATTAATTTGTGGGAAATAATGAGCCATAGCTGCCTGAAATCCTTTATCACCATCACCCCTTATATTATCTACTCTTTCATGATCTAGTAAGTATTGTATAGCTCTTCTTGTTTCCTGTTCTGTTTTCCCTTTCACCGGAATGCAATATAAATATCTGGTGTTAATGTTAATGGCAAATAAATAAGTAACGTTTCCTTTTGAATATTCCAGATGATCGATTTCGTATGAATATGGATATAGTGCAAATGAAGGGCGACTAAATTTTTCCTTTAACGGTTGAATTTTTGGGTCAATTGGTTTATTTAATATCTTGAAATCCTTTTTAAAATCTTTTTGCTTCTTTAATGTTTGAAATGGATATAATAAAGTGAATGATGAAGGATTAACTGAAGGAGGAGGTACTACTGTTGGAGGTTTTGGTGTTGTAAGTGGTTTAATTTTATCTGCTTTGATTTTGGATTTCATTCCTCCTTTCATTAATTCTGGATGTATTCTATTCATTTGTTTTAAATATGCTGTATATAAAGGTTTGATATACTTTCCCGCTTCGAGTTTATGTTGAAGGATGAATTCCAAAAGTTGATCTTCATTTAAAAGTCGGGCTGAATATGGTTTAACTAATGAATCATAAATTAAAGCTTGTGCATCATTTATGGTCTGAAGGACCTGGGCGTTTTGTACCATTTGTTTTTGTTCCTTTGGCTTTTGCGGCTCGGGATTATATAATTTATATAATTCATCAATATCTTCTGTTTTAATACTTTATTTTTGAAATCTTTCAACTGTTTAAGCTGTGATTTAGTTTTTCCCTTTGTATATTCATTATTTTTAATTTTGTCTTTAATTTAGAAATTATTTTATCATGATATTTCAAAATTTCATTTTTATAATACGAATAATAATAATCCATATCATCACCCGTTATATTTTTATTATATTTTTGGAGATATGCTTTTAAATCATAATAATCAAGAAAATTTTGATTAAATACTAAATCATCAATTAAAATTTTTAAATCTGTGTTATCCATTTATATAAAAATAAAATAAATGTTTTAAGGGTGCCCACCTCTTTGAATCATAGTACAAAACCATTATTAACGGTTCCTTTTGTCTCTTCTGTGGCATTTCATTAAATAAATGGCATACAACATCCATTTTCACAACATACAGCCTTAGTGTGTGCTCCTGTTAATGCAGTCTTACCAATTGTTAAGCGAGTCATTGACCCGTTTTTAAGTTGTAAATTAATATTCTGACCATCAAATATCACTTTATCATTTATTATATCCAAATAATTTTTAGGTGTTAATTGTTTATTTTGTCGTAAACTAACACCTTTCATTTTTTGTGCAATCTTTTTAAAATCACTCCATCAATTGAACCGTTGAATGAAGTATAACACTTAGGGCATAAAGCAACCATGTTATCACCTTGTTTCTCAATTGCTAAACCCAATAACTTCTTCTCATGTGCTTTTTCTTCAGCTTTATTCTTTAATTTAGGTTTAAATTTCTCATCAAAACAGAAGAAATCAAAAGGTGCGAATTTGTAAATGTTTTTATCATAAAATTGTTTATCGGTTACAATTGCTTGAAATGCTTGAGTGTTAGGAAGACTTGGATCGCCAGCAATAGCCCAATAAGATGAATCAGTATCACCTTCAATGAAATGAAAACGATTAACATCCATGCATTTATACATAAAATCATAAATGAAAACCAAATACCAGTATTTAGCATTATCTAAAGTGAAGAATGCCTCTTGTAAACATGTATCACATCTATAAAATCTATCTTTAAGCATCACTTGATACGTATCTTCACCTATTTCTCTTATGTTTTTAAACTTATTTGACATACATGCAACGCGTGCCTTCTGTGCATTCATTATTTTAGTCTTTGCGTAATTTTGTGTATTCATTGCATCGTAACCATATGATCCATTAAGTGAAATCTTGCAAAATAAACTTTTTCCTTTATTTCCTTCTAATTCAGCCTTTTGTCTTTCGTTCATAAATTCGTTCGCAAATTCATTAAAACAAGTATTTTTCGTAAATGTTAAAATTGATTGAATGTCATCAATGATAAAATGAAATCTGTCTATTAGATACCAAAGATAATAAGAAGAAAATGGTTGATATTGGTTGTGTGTTGATGCTAACTGAGTTAATTTTCTCTGTTTCTGGTCAACTGGTAGATTGTTTGATTTCATGTAATTATACATAAAACTGCCAATTGTTTTTTCATCTGTGATAATATCTAAGTTTCTTATTATCGGTAAAAAGTTTATGTAATCATTAATGTATTTTTCATCAATGTGACCCTTTACTTCAGCCACGAATAAAGTATTTTTCTTTCTAATTATTCCCAATGCTTTTGCTTTCTTTGTTGCTGTATCACAAATGATAACACCATTCAATCTTCCCGGCATATACATTTTATGGTCAGTATATTGAATGAAATCATGAGGATTAGATGAAAATGATGAAGGATATAATGAATTAAAGTCAACTCCAACAAAATGAGTCATAATGTTGGTGGTGTCCTCATTTGATACAGTTTTAGTTTCTGGATTATATGAAAGTTTATTAATGTGCGTGATTCCTTTAAGATTAACACGATGTTGAACATTTGATAGACCACCAGTAATTCCATTACGGAGAATGTGATAAGCTTCAACTGAATCTAAAGTCATTGGTAAATTATTTTTTAATGCATAATTTCTTAAATTGATTCTTAAACGTTGAACATCCTCATCTTTATTTGATTTTACGACATTGCAATAACAACACATTAACTGACAATTTTCTTTGGTATGTGGTTTTTCATTATCGATTCTATCTAATGTTGGTTTATTTGCATATGTAAACGCTTTACCACACATTTTGCATTTAGATGAAAGGATTAAATCGTGATAGTATTGAAAATCATCCATTGAAACATTATTTTTAGTATCTCTTTCTGCTTTTTCATCTTGTTTCTTATATGATTCAATTTTATATTTCCAATACTTTTTCGTTAATTCAAAACTTGATTCCACATTTTCTTCTTCTGGATATTTTTCGTTAGGATTAAAGTCTTTATATGCTAAAGCGTAACGAATCATTGATGCATTCGATGATAAAGAAAGATTATGAAGCATGTCAATTTTATAAACAAATGTTTCTTCAATAATTTTATCAATTGGGTCAATCATAATTTCAACATCTTTATTGCAATAATGAATAAAATATTCTAATCTATTCTTAAAATTTTTAGCATCATTGAGATATATTTGATAATCACTATCTGATATAGTTTCTTGAGTTAATGCTGAATAAAATGAATCTTTCGTGAATGGTTCCTCTTTATATAATTCTTCTTCGTAATTTTCCCATGTGATGAATTGATAAGGGAAAAAGGATTTAACACGTGATTTATTGTTTCCGAAATCTCGAGTGAATTGGTCTAATGTCCCACCCGCTATATAATTTCTGATGTCAATAAATCTCAATTCATATGGAACGTTTGTTTTCTTTACAATGATTTGCTTAAATTGAGAAGATGAACCCAGCATTGATTTTATTTTCCATTTTGCAGTGTTTAAATCACGAAGAATTAAATTTAAATCAAACTTTCCCGAATTAAAACCTATGATATTCACTTTATTGAATTCCTCATCTAGAAGTTCTTTAAATGCTTCCTTTTGTTTCTCATTTAATGTTTGTGACTTCATTAATTCTTCATATTGTTCAATATTTGATTTAGCAACTAATGAACAGGTTGAAAATAAAAATTCAATCCAATCAGAAATAAAAGAATCACTTGAAGTTAAGCAAAAATTCCTCGTAAATGTTTTATCATGGTCTACGACCTCGCCGCTTTGCGGCTTTATTTTGACAGTTGATGATACCATGAATGGTTTTAAGTAAGCATTCAAAGTTGCACATTCAGAAAGTTGAAGTTCTTCTTTAGTCTCTAATGTTTCGAAGTCAAAAGTAATATAATATCTTGTTGGTTTATAATATTCCTGCAAATTATGTGCTAATAGCCATTGATATATCTTCTGTTTCGTGATATGTGGTGCATATGGTTGTTGTGTGTTTTGCAATTGAACGTCTTGAATTAATCTTCCATTATTTTCTTTACATTTCTCACAATGTTTTAAAAATCTTCTTTGGTTTTTCCTTTCTGGATCATCACGGATAGAATATACTTCTTCTTTGCAAAAGGGGCAAACTTTATATCCTGTGAGTGCTTCAATGTCTGTTATTCTATCAGCGTGAAGTTTTCCACATGGACTCTGTGTTAATAAAATATTTACTGTTTCAAATTCTGGATCTATCATTATTGAATCCACTAATGGAAAGTCTACCTTGTTAATGTCTACGTCTTCTGGTTGAGGGTCACAATAATAAAAATCAATATTAACGTTTAACATTCTTGCTAACCTCTCACTTTCTGATGAAATGTCAAACCCTTCATATGCATCTATTGCTTCGTTTAAATAACTTCTACGAGTTTTAGGATTAACACCATCAGGAATGTTATAGAAGCGTTTAAATAACCTTCTACCTTCGGCTCTTATTTGATTATCATTCATTTTAGCTGTTCCATTTTTGTTCATTTATGTAAGAATAAAAATTAAAAAATAAATAAAAATAAAGTTTATTTTTTTTTAAAGTCCAGGGCTAAAGTCCATAAAATGAATTAAGAACACATAAATTTTTATCATCTGCGACGTGACGAATACATTTTAATTTACTCAAGAATGCGTACCCTGATACATTAAATCTAATTCCTGTCTTATTTAATTTCACAACTTTGAAAAGGAATGTATGAATAGCTATAAAATGATGAGATGATGTTTTATGGGTTGCTTCCATTTTTTCTGAAATAAATGAATAAATATAATGCTTATAAGTTTTCATATCTTTTATGTTCTTAATAACGAATGGTATAGACCTTTCCACTTCGTCTTCCTTCGGTGCTGTTCTTTCATATGAAACATTATTGGTATCTTCAATAATGAAACCACAATCACATAAAATTTTATATGTACCAATTGTTTCTTTTGATATTTTATCTAACAAATCAAAAACTTTATCAACACCCGTGCATTTATTTAAATAATAATTTGTGTAAATATCATGGTCTTCTTTCTTAATCGTATTTGTTGCATATGTTACTTTTTCAATGCTTTTTTGAATTTTTCAGAATCAAGAGGAGGTGAAAGTAATATACAGGGGTATTCTTCATCGTCAATAAACTGAAGCTTATGTTTATGAATAAATTTTGTGCCTTCTTCTGAAAGTGTTTCGTCAATATCACCATCTAATAAATTTTTAGTAGATTCCAAAAAGTAATTTTTATATCTTTCTTCATGAGATTTCTGTACTTCTGATTCTGAAGCTGGGATATTCATTAAACCCTCTACTTCATTCTCATTATATTTTTCAACTTCTCTTAATTCCTTAATTTTTTCATCTATTTCATCTCTTATTTTTTCCAGTCTTTCAATTTCATCATATTCATCATCTTTAATCCGTTCTTCATAATATTCAGGGAAAACATCAGGTTCTTTAGGTTTTTCTTCTTCAGATGTGGGATATAAGAAATTTATAACATCATCTTTATTCATTTTTCCATCATAATCAAATCATTTAAAAACTCTGCGAATTTTTTACAATTTCTTAAATAATATTTATCAACTTCATAACCCGCCTCCTCTAATATATCCTTTATTTCCTCATTTGTGAATCCCATTTTTTTAACATTGTTAGTTGTGACACTCATTTATCATTAAATAAAAAAATAAATTATTCAAAAAATGTAAGACATGAATTTTTAAAATTTATTTTTCATTCATGAAAATAATTATTTCTAATTTCTTTTACTCTCTCGTACATACTAGATTTAAAGAATTCAGAACTTTTACCATAATCTCCTAAATGTTTTCTTATCCCTAACGTGTGCCAGTTATTATATGAAACTGAATAAACTTTATCTTTATCTTTACACCTTTCATCACTTCCAATATATTTATATTTCAATTTTGATTTAGCATTTTCATATTCATTAACGTTTAATAATTCACAGTCTTCCTTTTTAAATAAATGTTTTATGTATTCAGGATTTAATACTCTACGTTTATATGCTCCTAACTTAGTTCTAAAGGTTTTTCTACAAAATTTAGGAATTCCATCCTCTTTAATGTCATCAATGATTTCCATTTCATTATTTTCAATTTCTTCTTCCCGTTTATGAGGTCTTTGATTATGACTCCATTGATTCCATGAAATTAAATATTCTTTATCATTATATTTATACCTCATTAGCTTATTTTGGCTTTCATATTCATTTAATAATTCACAATCTTCATTTTTAAATTGAAGTTTAACCCATTCAGGATTTAAACAATGTTTAATTAATCGCGGAATATCTGACATCATCTATATAAAAAAAAAAAAAAAAAAAAAAAAAGGTAGTGGGGCTTCCAGGCACTTCGTGCCTTCTAGCCCTGAGGATGTTTTGTCAAGACTTCTTCGTAAATGTTTTGTCAAGACTTCTTCGTAAATGTTTTGTCAAGACTTCTTCATCGTAAATGTTTTGTCAAGACTTCTTCATCGTAAATGTTTTGTCAAGACTTCTTCATCGTAAATGTTTTGTCAAGACTTCTTCGTAAAATCAGACAAAAATAATGTTTATGTTAGAATGTTAGATCTAACACGTTTTCTAACATGTTTTCTAACATCGTAGAAAACTCATGATTTCATCGTAAATGTTTTGTCAAGACTTCTTCTTCGTAAATGTTTTGTCAAGACTTCTTCATCGTAAATGTTTTGTCAAGACTTCTTCATCGTAAATGTTTTGTCAAGACTTCTTCGTAAAATCAGACAAAAATAATGTTTATGTTAGAATGTTAGATCTAACCTCTTTTCTAACCTCTTTTCTAACCTCTTGAATTTTCATGAAATTTACACCAAAAATATAATTTAGGTGAAGAGGTGAGATGTCACCTCTTTTCTCACCTGTTTTCTACCCTCTTGAATTTTCATGAAATTTACACCAAAAATAATGTTTATGTTAGAATGTTAGATCTAACACCTTTTCTAACATGTTTTCTAACATCGTGAATTTTCATGAAATTTACACCAAAAATATACTACTAGGGTCATTTACGAAGAAATCTCAACAAAGTCTTTACGATGAAATCTTAACAAAACATAGACAAGAAAGTTCATGAGAAATTAGATGAAGAAGTCTTAACAAAGTCTTTACGAAGAAATTCATGAGTTTTCTACGATGTTAGAAAACATGTTAGAAAAGGTGTTAGATCTAACATTCTAACATAAACATTATTTTTTGGTCATTTACACTCATTTACGAAGAAATCTCAACAAAGTCTTTACGAAGAAGTCACAATAAACATCTGTCAAAAACCGCTTTTTAACTTCACTTAAAATGCCACGTAAGCTACGTAAGAATATACGTAAGAGGAAGAGAGCATTGAAAATCCAATAGTAAGACTCACCACACAACAGTTGCAACAACAAATGCTGAATGACCCCCACTATGTTGCAACAAATGTCAAGCAACCCTATGCTTTTAAACCGAGTTCTTGGTGCACAGAGTGGAGGTTTAAGAGCGGCACTTTTAGCGAAAATGGCAGGCTATGGTGGAGCTGCAGACGGAACAGCTTATAACCCTCAAAGTCAAATGAATTTGAGTTCACTCAAAAATCAAATAGCAGATGTCAAAAAGTCAAACATAGACATACAGAAGCAAATAGGTGAAACGAAAAGAAACTAAGAATATGACAACACACAAAGAAACTCAATGAGTTAAACGTAGAGAAAAAGAAGAAAGAAGAAAAACTGAAAGAACTAAGTACAGAGGAATATGCAAAAAAAGTGTCAGAAAAAGCAGCAGAAGTAGCAAAATGGAACAAGATGTCATAAATTTGAAAAAACCATACTACTCAATATAAAATACTGAAAGATGAAGAGATAAAACAAAAAGCCCTGAAGACATATATGGATAGCGATGAGTATAAAAAAGAAGTTGAAGCAAATGTAAAGGCAGAAAAACTTTTACAGTTGCAAAACCAAACCGTACAGTATGAAAACTTAGCACAAAGAAAGTAAAAATAACGACGCGGCTATGCAAAAGGCAATGAAAAGTGCAGAATATATAAAAGCTAACAATGACTGGTTAGATGCCCAAGCCAACGCTAAAGCAGCCCAACTCATAGGGTCAATAAGGACAAAAATACAAGCGGATGAAGATAGTTCAAATGAAGCTTTAACAAATGCTGACTTTAAGAACGCTTTCGAAGCTCTTCATAGTAAGGTGAAACAAGTGAACGACTTCTCATCTGGAAAGAAACTGAAGTCTGAAGGTTTCGACAAAGAGTTAAAAGAAGTAGCACAAAATATGACGAAAAATAACAGATGCAGCAACGAGACAGGCAGTTCAAAGTGCCTATGACGCCGTTAGAGCAACTGTTGTGAAAAGTCAAGAAAAAGAGTTACAACAGACCAAAACAGACCTAGTAAATGCTTTCTTAAAAACGAAAAGTCAGGTAGGACATTACGCTGCAGATGGAACATATGTGCCAGCTGGTGGAACTTATATACCACCAAACCCTCCAAGAGAAGCACCTGCACCAGGACTACCTAGAACATTTACATCGTCACATGGACACAGACACAGGCATGCCACAAACAACCAGCACAACAACCACCTCCAACAACCAGCACAACAACCAACACAACAACCAACAGTTCAAAACACTGCACCACAACCAGCACAACAACAACCACAAACAGAGCAAGGACATAAAAGAAGTAGAGAACAAGGAAACCAAGAATTCTTAAAAATGCTTAAAGAAGACTATGGTTACCCAGATAGTATTGACTTTAGTGACAGATATAAAGAAGCTATTAGAAAGTTCAAGGATGGAAATACTGACCCGAACCTATTTAGCTTTATGGCTCTGCACCAAAGGGATATAATTTCAAACCTGGAAAATACAAGCTCGCTAAGGATATGATTTAATAGCATATCATCCAAATGACATGAACGAATTTACTCCGAGATATTTGATGTCAGAGCTAAATGACAATTTAACTCTCTTCATGAAACGCGTAAAAAATAGAGACGGAACGAAAGAAGAAAGGTTTATGAGTCCGGATGACTTAGAAAGGGAACTTGTTGAAAACGGTCTCGGAATATATGAAATGCCAGCAGATGAGGTACAAGAAACTCCACAGGAAGAACTAGTTCAGATACAACCAGACATGGAAGAAATAGTTCAGCAACAAAAGCTAGAAGAGCCTGAAGGAAACGAACAAGTCCTTCCTTTGGAAACTAACTTCACAGAACTAGATGAAGATTTGGAACAGCCGAAAAATCTTGACCCTCAACAAGAGTATGCGGAGAATATGGAATATTTCCAAGAGTCTAAAAAAAATTCGGCTGACATAGTAGAAGAATATCGAAAAATGTTTGCCGACATACAAAAGACTCCAACATCAGATGAAAATATCCAGCATAGAATGGAAGAACTGAAAAAAAATGTACACAAATACAACAACCCTTTTTACTTACGAGCATTTAACGTTCAATCTTCGGATGAACTCGGTGAAGATAAAAGGTTAAATTTCAAGAAAACATATAGAAATGAAACATTGTTTAAAGTTCATTCAGAACCTAACCAAGATGGAAACAAACCTACTTTTGTTTCTGCAGACGATGGAACTACAATGAGATGGGGTCATAAAGCTAACCCGGATAGGTGGTTCATAAACTTACAACCTCAATTCCAAGAAGTTGTAGACGCAATGGAAGTCAATGGTGAACCAGATATAGCTGGTATTTTCAGCGCGGCTTTAATGCCATTGAAAGATATGAAAGATGCAGATATTTTGGACCAGTATGAAATGAACATGGCTGATGGAAATATAACACCTGACGTTCTAGAACATTTATCTCAAAGAACTACACAGAACCATAGAGATGGTATATTTGGTGAAGAGTTTAGAAAGAAAGTTAGGGAGAGAAGGAAGAGAACCTATTGTACATGACCTTGCAAACGAAAGTTTACAAAATGTCATAAAAACTTACTTTGCAGACAATGAACCGAGAAGGGATGAATATTTAAGAAAACTCAAATGGACAGTACCAAATGAAATGTTAGTATTGAAAAACATGTTCCTTGACAAAATAAAACCAACTACAGAAATAAACGACGCAAGACTGAAAGATTGGGTAAAAGCTTTCCCATTCACAAAAGATATAGTTGGTAACATGGAAAGAAAACCAGAATGGCTACAAAAACATATATTTGGAAACGAGCTTATTCCATATGGACAAGGCACTGTTTGAAGAGCTTGAACCAGAAACTCAGGAAAGAGTCATGCAAACAATACGCGAAGACTCAAATACAGACTATGACAAACTCTTTCTAGGATATAGGTTACCTGAGATGGGCGACCAGAGCCAAAAGGCAAAAAGGACATGGGAAATTTGCAACATACTAGATGAACATAATGCAAAGATGCAACAACTTCAAGCAGAGGGCAATGAAGGAAAAAGAAGAGTTAAAAACTCAGTCAGGAAGAAAGTAAAGCTTGGTCCACGTGGGTTCTATTATGACATATAAATCCAACTATTCTATATTTTTACTCATATGAAATGTACGCCGCTCAGAATATAACGCCAACAGTTTTGGATGCTATGAATGGAAATGTTTCCGAATGGTATAACGAATGCGACAATGCCATTAGAAGGTCAGAAATAGTTCCTGGAACTTACGAATATACAACTGCTGTTTCTTATGGAAACGTAGGTGAGTTTGGAGAAGGTTCTTCAACAACAGTAGATATTGCTTGCGACAGGTTTCATTAATTTCTATTGACAACTCTTTCTTATACGTGGAACAAGACATTGAAATAAAACCTTCTGCCAAGTTGTCTGACAAGAAAGGTTGCAATGGAATTTTCTATGTCGGATACCAATATGCTCCAGAAGTTTTCATGGGATATAAGATATATTCTAACTCTGACTTAGTTCAAACAGTAACATGGGCAAACTATGAATGGTTCGCTTTGAGAAACTCAGTACAACCACAAGCTAGAGAACAAACAGACCAGTATGCAACTATTGAGAAAATAAGAAGACTTGACCCTAACGTTCCAGGAGTTTATGTTGACCTTTCTGGACAAACTGCAGCAGCAGTAACCAAAGTAAAACTGAAACTTAGAGTTCCTTTGTCATCTTTCCTCATCTTCAGGTTTTTAAGATACTTGCCAAACTGGGCAGGAAAAATTTCTATCGAACTTACTCCAAGCAAAAATAACTTAGTCATTGCACCAACACAAGACCCATTCACTCTTACAGAAGTAGTGGGAACAAATAAAATGTCATTCGCCGACTTTTGCAAAAACAAAGTTGACTTAGACTTTGGTTTCTCAAACCTCAACACTGAAGTAAACTATTATTTCAATGCTGCTGGAGATGCTTGGGACCCAGTTAAGTTCACATGCGAAAATTTGAATGCAAGAGAATAGAAAGCAGACTTGCAGTCTATATGTTGGACCCAGATATTTCAAATGCTTTAGCTGCCAAATATATTGCAGTTCCACTTATGTTCCCTATACACCAAATATCTGTCAAAGACTTTGCAGGTGAAGTTGGAAACCAAAGTGCTGACCCAGGTGCAAGAACAGATATTGCCTTAACAACTGCAATGAAACATGCAGATACTATGTTTGTACTGTTCAGACGAACTATAAATGACTATTCTTGCTTCTACAACCCTGGTATTAAATATCATATAAACATAGATGGCAAATATTATCCAAGAGAAGAATATTCTACAGTTGAGGATATGAGGTCATACAACTTGACATTAGATGCTATGAACTTTAACAACAACTTCACAACAACCATTAACCCTGAAATGCAAAGTTCTATTATGCCATATGTGAAAGTATGGACTCATACAGGAGGTCAAAAAACTCAATATACAAATGGAGACCGTTCAAACTTTTGGCTTGGCATTCCATTTGCTGACTCAGAAGACTTTATGGGTGGTATTTCAACTGTTGGTACAGTTCAAATACAATATACTGGTGACAGAGACGGTCCAGATGAATTGAAAGCAAAGAAGTTTACAAAACCAATAGCACTTTTCACGGAAGATGCTCTTTTGAAGATTCGTTCGATGAAACCTGCTGGGGCTCCTCAGATTGGCATAACGACAGCTTCCATCGAGCAGATTTTGGCAGCAGGTCAGTAAGTTGTTCTTGAACTGACTTCTCACCATCGTAAATAGTTATAGACGCCAGTTTTGACATAAAATTGTATTATAAACTTACCTTTAGAAATATCTGTAAGTTTTGTTGTTATATTTTTGTCTGCTTCAAGAACTTTCACCATTTCAGTTATACCAACTTTCTTTGCTTTATGAAAATATTTTGGTTCAGCAAAGACTGCTATTCTATAACATTTCCATTGTTTGTATAAAGAACTATTCTGTCAATGTATTTGTATTGTTTGTGTGTGTAAACTTTGTTTTGCTTCAATTCGAAGAGATACTCAAATACGTCCATCTTTTTATTCTAAGTAAAATGTCATTTCCGAAAAATAGAAGCGTAAGTGTTTCAAAAGGTTTAATGGCGGTGGCAGATGTGAAGTTAAATTCACCAACTCAAACAAACAGTCAAAGTGTTGTTGTCAATGTCAAAGAAAGAGATGTTGAAGTGGGGAAACCATACGAAGACAAGATGGTATAACAATGTTCCTGTAAAAGAACAACCAACATATCCTGAAGTTAGCAGAGACTTAAGTTCTGTTGCAGATATTCGAAACGACTACCAACAACTTAAAGACAAACTTAAAACTCAGGAGAAGATTTGTCAAGCTTTGGGTATAATGTTAAACTTGGTCGAACACAACCCTGTAAAAGTGAACTCATATGTCATCGCACCTCATGAAATTTTGAAAGAACTATTGAAACTTTTGACAGAGGCAGACGATATAAACATCAAAGAAATAGAACCCGACATTGCTTGCTGTGGTGTTTCATATAATGTCATTGACAAGATATACGTTATGAAAGGAGGTGAAACGTTGAACTTAAAATATAGTTTCCCAGACGTCATAAAAATATTTGACGACCACAACATTTCATTAAAATTTACTTGCTAAGTAAATGGCAGAAGACATAGTGGTTTATACTATTACGACTAAAAACCCTGAGTCATATAATTCTATAACAACAAACTTACAAAGTCCTCAAGGACGATATTGTAAACTAACCTTAAAACAATGACGACTAAAGCCTGTTTTGCTCTTTTGACACCAGAAGATTTGTTGTTGTGAATGGTAAAAAATACTTCTTTGAAGATACTTACTCAGATATACCACCAACAGGTTTTGTTGACTTATTTAATACTTTAAGGACGGATGTAACATGTGCTGCAACTAGAGCAGGTTTCATTATGTTTGGATGTCCGACTGAGTTTAGTATAAACGATATGAGCTATAATACAAAACTTATATCTGGTTTTTACTACCAACAGTTTCCTATAACAGGAAAAGGTGTCATACAAGGAATGTCTGTTCCATTGACTTTAAGTACACCTATTTTATATATTGTTTCAAACTTAGGTTCAAAGTGTTATTCGAATGTCGACAGAAACTACTATGACCAAAAGATACTCATGCGTATAAACAACACTTTCTCTGCTGGTTTGCCTATTGTTCATTCGAATGCAGAGTTTTCAGCTTTAGTAAACTCAAACACTTTAGCAAACATAAACTTAACCTTAGTTGACGCAAACTTTGTTCCTGTAAAACTTTTATGTCCTATGTATTTGTCAATGACGGCAGAAAGTTTCGAATTGGAAGATGCAACTGGTGAAAGTATTGTATTACAAGAACAACTTCAACAACAAATAGCTCAAGAACAACAAATGCAACAAATGCAACAACAAAGTCAAGAATAAAAAAAATATTTTTTTTTATTTTTATAAAAATGTACAGAATAGATGTTTCAGATTTTTATGACTTCCAAGCGTTCAGAAATATGTGTCCATTTAGAGACTATAACAAAGCAGTCGAGAATTTGAAACGTTTAGTCATTTATGTCGACTCTGCCCCAGAATGTTATGTCATGAAAGAATGGGATGTTGTCTTTAACAAACCAAGAGCAACAATAGTTTCAGAACAAGAATGTAGACAGAAACTTAAGAAAATAAAAGTCGTACAAGTTGGCATGAAGATGTTAGATGCTTGGGATATCTTATTGTCAAAGTTAGAAGATTTTTCAGTTCGTGGTATAAAGTTCTATACACCTTCTCCAAACTTCTATTCTATCTTCACTGGATATAAATACGAACAAGTAGAATGGAAAAATATTATAGAAGCTTGGTTAGACCATGTCAAAGAAATTATATGCAATGGAAACGAAAGAGTCTATGAGTATATCTTATGTTGGTTTGCAAATATCTTACAACATCCAAGTGCTAAAAATGAAACTGCTCTCATTATAATTGGAAAACAAGGAACTGGTAAGAACACTTTCTTTACAGATATCTTATGCAAACTGTTAGAGGGCTATTCGAACCCTAATATGACAAACTTAGAAAACATCTGCGGTAAATTTAACTCTTCAATTGAGAATATGAAACTTATAGTATGTAACGAACTTCAAAGTATAGATACAACAAAAGTTTTGAACTCGGATGCTTTGAAGAGTCTTATAACAGACAAAGTTGGAGTTGTTGAAAGAAAATATAAAGACCAAAGAGTTTGTGAAAATGTTGCAAATTTCATTATGGTTTCAAACAACGCCGTTCCGATGAAGTTAGAAAGTTCTGACAGAAGATATGTAGTTGTCAGAACGTCAGATTCTCATATGCAAGATACAGAATATTTTGACGACTTAGCAGAAACTTTGACACCTAACTTTTACAACCACTTGTTCTCATATTTCATGACATTAGATATTTCTAAGTTCAATCCAAGACAAATTCCATATACCGAAGAGAGACAAACATTGTTAGAAGCAAACAAGAGTGTATATGAACTGTTTATAGATGAAACTGACTTTGAGTGTTTAGATGAAAGGTCATTGTACGATTCGTATAAACAGTATTGTCAAGAGTATGGTTATATGACAGCGTCTAAACGAACATTCTTGGCAAATGTCAAAAGTCTTTTAGACGTACAGAATGGTGTATATACAAAGAAAAATTTTTCTGAGTAAATTTAAAAAAAATATTTTTATTTTATTTGAAATGTACGCTGAGTTTGTTGGAAAAGACCTAGGTAACGGAAATGGATATGCGCTGTTTTGGTTAGATTGTCCTTATGAAATGTATGAAAAAAAGGCTTTATATGAAGAATATAGAAAATATTGTTATGAAAACGATATAAGACCAAGCTCTAGAGAAAAATTCTATGCTGGTATAAAACATCTTTTCGATGTTCGGAATGGCAAATATAGAAAGAAATAATTTTTCTGAGTAAATTTAAAAAAAATATTTTTTTATCCGATAGAAAAGATGACGAAATATATTTCAGTCAACAAGTACATGACAGAAGTCAAAGAAGAACTAGACCCATTCATATATTTGAATGTTTACTTCTACCATTTTGAAAAGTCTACATTTGACAAAGTTTGGAACATCGAACCTGTTAAGTTTGCTATTGTGACTAAAAATGGTGCGAAATTTGAAGACTTAGACATAGAAGGTTTGTTAGCAGTCAAAGAAAATTTTGACAGAAGGTTCTCAAACCTTAAAGAAGGCAAAGCATACAAACTTGTTATACCTTATGAACCAAAGAAAGCAGACGACTATGAATATTATGAGTCTAAGATAGTTGAAGTTCAAGGTAAATTAGGTAAAAAGATTTTAGAGTCTAAGCCAGTGTTTGCCCCTAAAGAGGAAGAGAACATTGACATTGACCCAGAAATGTTCTAAAAATAAAATTTTATTTTTACATGTCAAATTTCTTTTTCTCTGGAACTGGTTCAGGTTCTTTCTTCTCTTCTTCTACTTTCTTTTCTTTCTTCTCTCTCTTCTTCTTCTTTTCTGGTGGAGTTATGTCAAATTTCTCAGAACCATATTTATGTAAAAGTTCTTTGTCCTTTAATAGCTCTTCTATTCTGTTTCCTATTTCATCTTCAAGAACAGCGCATGTGTCTTCTTTGCATTCTAAGAACTTTTGTTGGACTTCATCTTTCCAATCGGTGTCATCTCTGTCAACAAGTCTGTCATTGACAAATTTTAAGACTGCTCTTTGTAATGTTTTATGGTTCTTGTCATATTCCCAGAAACAGAACTTTAGAACAAATTCACCTTTCTTGTTTACACTATGTAAGATTTTATGGTCGACAGATGTTTTGCTGTCGAAAAGTTTGTCTCGAATATAGATAGCGAAATCGCTAGACATTTTCTAAAAGATAAAAATTTTAATTTTTCTAAAAATATGTTAGAAAAAAAGTTTGCTGACATTGACAAAAAATTTGAGAATGTTTTAAACAAGAACAAGAGGAAGTTAGAAAATGCTCAGATAAAGCCTATACATGACAAGTTCTTATTTGCTCAGAATGGTATAACAGGTCTAATCGCACCACCTGGGTCGGGTAAGACTTTCACTTATCTTAAAATGGCTGCACAACAACAAGAACTAGATGAGAAGAACCCATTCTATGAGTTAGTTGTCATTTGTAGTACTTCTGGTCAATTTGACCAAACCGTAAATTCGTTCAAAGATATTATAAAAAAGTCTAAGTTAGTATGTATAAAAGACTCTGAGTTGTTAGATTGGATAAAGAAGTACCAAAGAAGAGTTTTGAAGTACAATGCTATAAATGAGTATATAAATTCTAAGTTTAAAGACCCAAATGAGGAAATGCAGAGAATATTAGAGAAGAAACACTTCAGAAACAAACAGAAAGAGATAGAATACATTTCGAAGAAATTGCAATCTTACGATTGGAAGACTTACCCTCATAGATGTCTTCTTATCTTAGATGATTTCGCCTCTCATCCTTTGTTAAAGAACAGAGAACAAGATATGTGTCGAATTCTTAAGAAGCTCAGACACTTTAACATCTCTGTTGTCATTTGTGTACAGACAGCAAAGAGTTTAAGTAAGGATGTAAAGAGAATACTTACTGACATTGTACTTTTCCCCGGATTGTCCGAAGACGATTTCATGGAACTTATGAAAGAGTCCATGGCAGGTAAGTTTGACAGACATGAACTATGGGAGAAGTACAAAGTCATACAAGACCCTCATACTTCTTTCAGAATTCATATCTACGCAAACAAAGTTCAAATTGTAAAAAGTCAGCAAAAATAATGTTTATGTTAGAATGTTAGATCTAACATGTTTTCTAACATGTTTTCTAACATAACTATTTACAAGCGTTTTACATGGTATATGTTGCGATGGTTCATGACTCTAAACAATTTCGTGGCTTCAATTTCTTCTTTTAGTACATCGAATGTTTTAACGATACCGAAAGTTTCTTTATACTTCTTCTTGACGTCAGATAGAAGGAAATCGTCAGCTGTTGGATAGTTTTTGTTTAGAAATGTCAACATGTCCATTTTATCTTCTGCTGGTTTCTCTGCTTCTTTCTTTAAATCTGCATAGTCGTTTCGCATACGTTCTATCTCTTTGACGGAGTAGTTATATTTCCTCATTGCTGCTTTACATTTAGAACATTGTGGGTTCATTTTTGCGTTATATTCTGAAACCTTACCTGCTAAAACAACTAAGGCGTCAATGGTTTTCTTCATCTCGAACATAGCGGGTCTTATTTGTTCGTTCCATACCTTACCCCTACTATCTTTATCTCTTATTTCCCAAACACATTTTGCAACTAATGAAACAAAGTTGTCGTAGGTCTTAAATTCTTCGGATTTGTAAAGGTCAGAGATGTTCTTATATACCATGTCGCAATCTTTGTCCATAACCTTATGGTTGCAATGAAAACCAAGGAATTCATAATTTACCTTTCGTATGAACTTCTTTATTTCTACTGAGTCAGTTGCTTTGACTTCTATTTCGTCAAATTCGGGAATGGTTAGTTTTTGTTGTTGGATTTCAGGCAATTTGGGTAAATGGTCAATAATGTCCTGCATTTCATAAAGATACTGTTCATTTGTTTCATCTTTCGCACTACAGTCTAAATTACTTGTTAAAAGTTCTTGCTTTATCTTCTGGATTTTTGTTTCGAAAGTATATGAAGAAGGAATGAAGCTTTTCATCTCTACTAACATTGAAGTTGGGTTCATGACTAACGAGTTTGGTGCTGTTGTTGCTAACATGTTCTTACAATAAAAATAAAAAATATTTTTTTAAAAAAACCAACTTTATTTTTTATTTCGGGAAAATTCATGAAAATTCAAGAGTTTTAGACCATGTTAGAAAACGTGTTAGAAAACATGTTAGATCTAACATTCTAACATAAATTATATTTTTGGTGAAAAAGTGTTATTTTTTCATGTCCGAAGACTCGAAGGTGCAACACTTCCAAAATACCGACGAACTCAGAAGAGCAGCATGGCAGTATCTTCTTGACAACTTCTTTGAGTTCTCCAGGTACACCTTGGAAAATGCTGAAGAACTCCGACACAGAGAATTTGGAGAAATTGCACTCCAATACTACCTTGACAAACAAAGGGTAAACAAAGGGTAAAATAAGACTAAAAACTTAACGTTTAAAAAGTGACATTTTTAATGAGCTCCGAGTCACCGAGAAAACTTGGTCAGATGTTAGCAGCTTACTTCCCTGAGGAGGATGGAAGCGTTACATACGTAAGGTTCAAAAACAACGAACCTGGAATTGCGTACCAAATTCGCAATTACATGACCATGGAAGAGTACGAAAGGTTTCTACAAGAGAAACCAGCTCTAAACAACTCAGAAAAGAAAGAGTAAAAAGTTTAACTCGTAATTGTTTATTTTTTTACTTGTATGGGCAAGCTGCAAGAATGAAGTCGACTATCTCAGTCTTTGTCTTGACCAGTTGGACTGCTCTTGCGAGTACGTCTGTTTTGCGGTCTCCAGCTGGTGTCTGACCTTCGTAATTGCGCATGTTCTTGAGAGCTCCAACTGTAAATGGCTGTAGGATGAAGAGTCTCTCAGACTGCTTGAGGTAGTCGTCTCTGTCTTTGACCGAATCTGTGGTACGAGTCGAATCGGTCGATTTGAGGGAAGAGACTGAAAGCCTGTCGTCTTCCATAGGGGCTGTGGCATAATCTTTGCGTAAGCGGTTCAGACCTTCTTCGAACTCTTGGTCTCTCTTGGATTGAGATTGGAATTGTGGGGCAGGGTTTTGCATAAACATCCAAGGGTTGGGGAAGTAAGGCATAGGCTGAGGAGGGTAGTTCGGGAAGCCTTGTGGTAGGTAGTAACCTTGAGGTGGAAATTGGTAGTAATTTGGTGGAGGGACTTGCTGGAACTGAGGTTGCTGAGGTGCAGGGGCTGGTGCTTTAGGTTCCTCTGGTTTGGGAATGGGCTCGGTTGGTGGTACGTCAGTCATCCGTTTGTGTCCTGTCGGAAGGAAGAACTTTTCCTGTCGGAAGGAAGAACTTTTTCTGTTGGAAGGAAAAATTTTTCCTGAAGTTCGACCAAAAAGTTCTCAATTTTCGAAAATTTGAATGGTTTACGGACGGACAACTGGAAGAGTTCTTCCTGTCGGAAGGAAAAATTTTTCCCTTTGTCCGGAAAATTTTTTCCAGTTGTCGGGAAAATATTTTCCTGTCGGATGGAAGGACTCGGAATACCAGAAGGATTTGACGAGGCAATTTACCTTATAGAGATAAATGAAGTTGTTAAGCAGTACTTGCGCAGGGTAATGAAGCCCAAGGTCAAGTTCACCACTATTTCTGGAAGGTCTACACTTCAGCTCGAGACTTCGACTGGAATTCCAATTCAAATACCAGACGGGACAGCCTACGATGGCATAAAGGACGCCAAAAGAGAAGCTCTTGTTAAGTTCCTAAACAAACGTCCTTGGATAAAAATACCAAACAAGGAGAACCCCCTGCCCCATATGAAATTGGCAATTCAGTCTCTCTTACACTTCTCGGGTCAGCCGTTCTACATAACCTGTGAAGGCGACATCCAACCAATTCAGTAAACATCTCATTTTAACTTCACTTTTTTTATGTTTTTACTCACACTCGTACTCAACAGGTTTGTGTACAACTATTTCAACTGTGAACCTTGTATTGACCGGTCTTCCTGCAAATGCAAGTTCGGTCAATACACAATTTATGGTGGCAAGAAAGACAGTGGGGAATGTTATTCTGACATCTGTTGTTGCGCTCGAGAGAGAATTGAAATTCCAGACCCACCTCCCCCAAGAACTCCAACACCAACACTCAAGTTGCCGAAGACTCATGTGAAGAAGAAGCCTTCTGGTAAGTTTCTTATAGCCATCTATATGGCACGCTTTGAGTAAAAACATTTTTTTTTCTTTTTTGAATGAAGCAAGTTAAATTCGTCCCACACCAATCTCAATGGACCGATGAAGAGTTTCAAGCTATGGTTGAAGGTGTTGAGAACGACATAGACGGCGAACTTGAAGGAGCTCAAACCACAATTGCAACCAAAATTGCACAAGTCAAGGAACAGATAGCTCCACTTAAAGCTACCAAAGCTACTCTTGACCTCATGGATAGTTACCGTTTAGAAGTAAAGAGTGGAATAAGACAATTAAAATTAAAACTTCTAAACTACGAAGCTATACTCCAAAAGTTAGCAGAAATGAGAAGACTTTACCAGAGCTACTTACATGTAAGGGACTTACCTTCAAGCAGTCCGACCAAAGATGAATTTTCTGACATTGTCCCAATTTTGTCCGAAAGTCAGCTCAGATGTTTTGAACTGCTCCCAACATATCCAGAATATGAACGTTTGCCTGAACTCTTCCGCAATCTCAAAAAACGTTTTTTGGTTCTCATGTTCGAAACTTTTATCGGAAGAGACAACAAACGTTCAGAAGAAGAACAAGATATTATTTTAAACTTGTTGTATGACATAACCGTCATAACAAGCTTTTTGAAGTAAAACCGTCATTCTCAAACCACTTCATTTTTTCGATGTCCGAACAAGCACCGAAGCCGAACACAATGGCAGATGTCCTTTCAATGTTGCCAGACAAGCGCCCAGTTCAAATTCAAATTTTGAATTTGAAAGCTCATCTGACAAACACCGTTAAGACTCTCCAAAGTAGTCTTATGGAAGAGATGACCAAGCTCAAAGCCGATGTCCTCATGAACCAAGCTTCCAATGAGAAATGCCTGAATGATTTGACGGAAACCTTGCGCATTTACGAGAGAGAAAACCGAGACCTTGCCAGACTCATCTACCGTTTCTTCGAAGAGATAGACGCCATCTGGAAGGTACTCGGAAAGGACAGAACCTCCAACACCGTAATTCGTGAGTACCAAATTGAAGAAGGAATTGTCGAGGAAGAAGAGAAACACGAAGAAGAGGAAGAGGAAGAAGAGAAACACGAAGAAGAGGAAGTTTGGGCAACCCTTGTTGCGGATGACGGTTATGAAATTTCCCAACCCTACCCATACCAAATCCGCAACAGGGAGACAGGCAAGGTTCTTACCCCAGTCCTCAACAACTTGGGACACTTGAACCTTACCCTTCGGAATCGCGGTTCAATTTCCATGGGCAAGCTTGTCGCAATTCAATGGGTTCCAAATCCAAACAAGAAGACGAAGGTCAGACACATTGACGGTGACAAGCTCAACAACCGTAAGGAGAACCTCGAGTGGTTCTAAGAGTAAAAAAATTTTATTTTAGGGGGAAACCCCGAGTAAATTTAGGTGTTTATTTAGTTAAGTAGCTTAAATTAAGGGTAATTTGGACAATTAGCTCCCGACCTCTGAATTGGACTCTTTCGTCATCCCAGTTGCGTAGGAGGTCGTCCCAGAGGAGTTGGTAGAATTGCCAATCCAAGGACGATTTGTCCTCCCAGGCATTGAGGATGTACTGCTCGTAGAGTTTCATGACCTCTGCCTTGCACCAGACACCCTCTCCCTTGGAACGTAAGGCTTCTTCGAAGTGCTCGAATGCGATTGGCTGCGGGACCATCTGAAATGACACTTTTTGTCCGTTTGGTCAATGTTCGTGTCTCGTGTCATAGTCGACGAAAATACAGACAAACAGGTTATATATGAGTTTGAGACCAAGAATGGTGTAACTCGACCTGTCCGATTCAAATTCGAATAAAAATTTTTTACTTCATGCAATGTTTTATTTCTGTGCCGTCTTCAAGTATGCCCCAGTACTTACGCTTGGAGAGGACATGAACTTCGGTGAAAATTTTGTCCAATTTGAATTGACCCATCTTTTCACCGACCATTCCCATTTCAATGAGTTTGTTATAGCCTTCTTCGTTCGTCATGAGTGCGTCAATGTTCTCATAGTAAACCTTCACTTTGGATTTGACTTCGGAGAAGAATTTGTTGTAGTTGTCAAGGACTGCCTTTGCGAACTGAGGGTAAGACCAATGTTCGACAATAGGTTTTACTGTGGTTACTAAGCCACCTTGACCTTGAGTAAATTCGTATTTCAAAACAAAAGGGGAGAACCTTTCAACAAAGTTGTCGACCTTCTCATAATGTTTACTCTTCATCTTTTGAGGTTTCTTAATGGAATATCCCCATGTCGAATTCATAAGCAATTTGAGTGTCATTGCAAGTTTGGGGTTTGAAGCTTTCCTAATATCATACAGTTGTTGTATGACTTTTCCAACTGTATAGTTCCTTCCTGGGAACTCACCGTCTTCGTTTGGAATTCCAGTCGGGATATATTGGACGAACCTCATGTACGCAGCGTTAAGGTCGACATAGTATATCTTTTCATCTGAGTCGAACTTGTCGCAACCAATGGGTCCAGTTCGTGGAAATTCAAGTGAGTCTCTTATCTTCTGAGAAACTTCGCCTGCTATCTCATAAACATCGTCGAAGCAACCTGTTTCATATAAAACCTTCTGACCTAACTCAGATGCTCTCCAATACAATTTGACGTCAATTGGATGTCTCAATGGAAGTTTGTTTATAGCATCTTGAAGTTCTTGCAACCTCATTGGAAGTTCTTCTGGTTCAGGTTGGTATCCGAACAATCCAACTCCTTTTGGAACTGTGTACTTCTTTTGTGCTAGAACTTTGTCTGGAACAACTTTTGGTCTTGCTAACAATGAAAAGTTTGTTTCGTCTTTTGGTACAAAAGTTTCTGTCAGCTTGTCATCTGGAATTGGTTCCAACAAACCTTTCTCGAAAAGAATGTTTACAGCTCTGACAATGTTGCACTTGCCTTTTCCGAACAATGGGTTTGTAAGACTTTCGTTCAACATGAAGTGGTTGTGGACAATTACAATCTTCAACCATGGTAAGTCTTTGTCAACAACATAGTCGTCATGTGAAGAACCTTTAGCTGTAGGTATGTTGACTCGGATATTGACATTTGCCAACGGTGCAACTTTTGCCAATTGACCTCTAAGAATGTACCTTGTCTTCACACATGACTCAAGATACTTCATTTTCTCATCTGTAACAAGACCAGAGTTCCTGAGACATGTAAGAATACAAGGTTCATTGACAATTTTTTCAATTGAATTGTAAATTCCATACCTTGTCAAGTCAATGTCAGACTTATTTATGAACGGGAAGTATCCAGCATGTTGTCTGACTGCTTGAGGGTTAGGTTGGTACCATTCAAATTTTACACTTGCAATTCCTTCAATTGCATTCAAAATGTCTGAGTCGGAGTCAAACATTTGTTCTCTCTTTGTAGTCTTGAAAGCGTCAAGAAGTTGTGCGGCTGTTGTGACATTGCCATGTGCATAGTAAATGTGACCGTCCAAATCTGTTACGGTTAGTCTGAGATTGTATCCTTTCTTATTTCCGTCTTGTATGGCAGCAAGTACTCCCATGAAGCCTTCTTTGTTCTTTCCTTCGTCAAAGTTTACTGTAAAGGTTCGACCAGATGTAATTTGACTTCTAACTTCACGGTACTTTTCATATGCATATCTTGTTCTTTCCATGGGAGCATGTGCGTCTTCACCTTTTCCTTTTTTCCTTCTCAAAGGATGCAATTGTTCGTCATGTTTCCAGTAGAATCTGGCAAAGCCGTCGTGTCCTTCAACTTGAGGTTCACTAACATCGAAAGGCATGTCCATAAGACGTTCTTCTTCTAACCTCTCTAGTCTGTTTGGATAATTTGCACGTGCTGTTTCCAAATCCATTTCGTAGCGAAGACCAGACAATTTGTCATAGACTTTTATGGGTCTTCCCTTCCTATATTTAAACTTCTTCGAAACTCTCCAACCATATCTTTGCAATTCTGCTTTTATTCTAGCAGATTTTCTATCCATTCTATATGGGGGCATTTTTATAAAAATAAAAAAATATTTTTTTCCTTTACTTTACATAACCACCTGCTGCCATAAGTCTTTGACGCCAACCCATACCAGCTAATGAAGGTTGACTTGGTTTAGTATTGAAACTAAACTTTGGTTTTGGTTTATCTTCAGTTTTTGGTTTTTCTTCTTCTATTGGTTTTTCGTCACTTTTCGGTTCCTCTGACTTTACCTCACTTGCTGGAACAGTTGTGTCGTCAACATCTTCATAAATATCATATGCCATTTGTTTTTGTTTTCCTTTCAACTTTTTGTGTTTGTTGTAAAGTTTAGAATATTTCGACTCTAAGTCAATGAGATGTTCTATAATGAACTGTTGGTCAGTGAAGTATACCTTCCCATCTGTTGTCTCGAAAGCTCCTTCAGACTTCAATATTTTATTTGTGAGAGTCTGTTTCTTTTTTGAGATACTAGCCGTTCCATTTCTATGAAAAGTGACTTTGTAGTTAGGGTTTGTATTTCCAGACCTGGCACTTTCTATTATTGAATTTTTCTCTTCATCTGTAAGTTCTTTGACAGGTTTTGACAATGGTTCTGAACTTTTTGTTTGTGGTGTCAAATCTACCGTTTCAACTTCTTCGGTCATTTCATCTCAGTAAAAAATTTTAGTTTGGTTTGTTTTCAACTGGTTGTTGTTGTTTTTTAAGTCGGTCTAAAACTTCCTGAGGTATAGGAAGAACTTGACAAACACGTGGTTGTGTAACTACTGGAAGTCGACAAATCCATCTTGAACCCATTTGTCTCAATGCTGTATTGTTCATTTCATCTCAGTAAAAAACTTTACATTCCCCACGTTTGAGGCGGTTGAGGTTGGTTATTGTTTACCCATTGTTGTGCATGGTTATATCCTCTGTTAAAGAATCTTTCACCTTGGTCCATATAGTGCCCTGCTTGGTTATAGTAGTCATTTGTTATTTTTTAGTAGTTTCCTGCTTCTCTTCCTACATTGTCCATCCATCCTTGAACTTTTCCTCTTGTTTCAGGATTGGTGAATAAGATTTGCTGCATCTCGTGCTACCTCCCAACCTTTCTGTACAGTTTGTATAATAGGTTGTGCTTTCTCTTTCAGTATACCTAATGTACTCAAAATCTTCCTTCCAATTCCAAATGCACCTCTGGCTATTGTTCCCACTGCGGGCAAAAATCTGGATGCAACTCCTGCTAATGCGCCAAATAAACCCATTTCTTATAGGGTAAAAATGACGAATCCAAACAAGGACCCCTATGTTTCTAAAGCAACAAAGAAAGCACTCATGGTAAAAATCTTTAGTTCAACACCAAATGCTTGGTTTATGGATATCTTGGAAAACATTCCGAGGTATAGAGAAGATGGACCACCATACTGGCTAATATTTGTCGGTCAAAACACAAGATACTGTGAAGCCATACCATTGCAGTCCAAAAATATTTTAGATGTGAAAACTGCTTTGACAATATTCGTTGACAAATACCATCCAACAAAACTGACATCTGACTGTGAAAGTTCTTTCAAATCAGACGATATTAAAAACTATCTGCGTTCAAAAAATGTAAACCAATATTTCATTGTCGACCAAAACCATTCTGCTCTTGGTGTCATTGACAGTTGTATAAAAATCTTAAGAGACTTAAATCAACCACAAGGTGGTGAGGTAGATGAAATGTCATATGACGACAAGTACAGACACTTCTCCCAGGCAAAGATGAGACAAGTTTTAAATATTTACAATAACCGTAAACAAAAGGTTTGGGAAACCACTCTCCCGAAGAAATGAAAAACAACCCTGACTTAGAGAAAGACTATATATTTAATAGTTTAGTCAAAAGAGACAAACAAGAAAGAATGCCAGGCTTCAAACTTAAGAAAAGGTGACAAAGTAAAAATAGAAATACCTAAACGCGACCCATATGAAAATACTATTGACTATGACAACAATGGGAACTCGACAGGTACTCGCATTCGTGTTCGTAAAAATAGAAGAAAGTATACAAGAGAATATTATGAAGTTTTAGGCAAACATGGCAAAATGTACACACTGCAAGCAGAAGATAAAACTACTATTGTCAGACCTCGTTTCAAAACTTGTCAAAGTTCAAGGTGGTATACTTTCAAAGACAGTTCCTAACAATATAAGACAACTGCTGACGAATATGCTAAAGAAGTTGAAAATGACGACTAAGCATTTCTATACCATGCGTAAACTGTCATGTAAGGTGGCATGTAGTCTTTACTCTGTCCCGTTGTTTCCGAATATCCTGTAATGCGATGTGTATGGCTTCCTCCTCCCTGAGTGTCATCCCAGTAAACAATTTATAGCAAACTTACGTCGTCTTTAACATCATATCCTTTACCTTTTGTCATTCCTGTCCAATCCCAATATCTATGCTTATGCCAACCTGCTTCAGCTGTAGTTAAATTTATGTAGTGACTGTGTGCAGGTAAGTTTTCACCTGAAATCGTTTTACTTCCACCTGTTACCTTTGAAGAGTTTGCACAATACAAAAACCTTTCGACTATTTTGAGTCCAAGTTCCAAAACAAGTACTACTTCTGGTCTGGTAGAGTTCATTGACGTATAAATAGAACCTATAGGATATACTGTTTGAAGTATTTCAATCTTTAATGTTTGAAGCTCTGTTTTGTCTGCTTTCTTATATAACCTTTCTTCAAGTTCATTTACGTCAGAGATGCTATGTCTATGATATTTTTGTGGTATGTTCCTTCTGTCCATGCGAAAATACGTTCTTTTGTTGCATCTACATATCCTTTTATCCATGTCGAGTCTGCTTTTGTATTCCTTAACTCTGTAACACCTTTCTCAAGCTCTTTCAACTGTTGTCCATCTTCCATTAAACCTCTGGTATGACTTGAAACCGTTTGTGTCAACATATCTACAGTTTCTTTGTCGGCTTTAAGGTCTAAACATCCTGAAACCCACCCTGTATTGGCTTTACCTTCTAAAATCTTCGATGTCCGTTCATTATTACCATTCAACCCTTTCTTTAATTTTCATTGTCTTTTTCATCCACATATTCCTTATCTGCCTTCTTCACTAACGCACTAGCCACGCATGCTAACTCATCGTTAACATATTGTTTTGTCAGCTTTCTTTTCAACATCCTCTTTTGTTGCATATGTTGCATCTGCTCTGTCATGTTCTTCTTGAACTTTTTCAATGACATACTCTTTGTCAGCTTTGTTGTCAACATCTGCTTTCAAAAGAAGTTCATCTATAGGTTTCTCGTTTAAAGTTCTTTTTGTTGGATTTATACAAACAGTATGGTTCTTACTGTCTTGAAACAGAAACTCGTCTGTCAATGGTTTATCGTCAGTTTTAAGTTTCCTTCTTTCAATGACTCAGATATCTTAGAATAGTTTGAAAAGTTTGTTGTGTTCTTATTTAGAGCTTGCAAAATGAGTTGTCGGTTTGTGTTGTATTTCTCTCATAGACGCTGTTTCTTTCGACATTTTTATTCTAGATAAAATATGCTTTCAATAGAAAAAGAAAATTCAAGAGTTGCTACAACTAAACCATTAGATGAACTTTTTACTAACGTAGGTCAAAAGTTTGAGACAGAGACCGTAAAGCATGAAGGCTATCGTTTTGACTACCCATTGAGATGGTTAAGAGACCCATCCGTCACAAAAGCTATTGGCTTTCGTAGAATGAAGTTTGTGTCTGTAGAAGATAAAAGTTTTCCATTTATTGTAAGGTTTCATATAGATTATATATCTGAAGGGAAACGAAAAATGTGGGAAGAAATTGAGCTAATACAAGTTGACCTTTCATCTTCTCTACAGACTGCGTTAAAAAATATAGAAGATAAAATAAATTCATGTTATGCAAAATATGCTGATGAATATGCAAATACCGAGAGCACACTTTATGTGAGAATTGTATATGACAAACAAAATTCACAAGTGTCATTTCAAATCTACGAAGACAATCCAAAGAAAGACGAACAAATATATACAGAATTCACTGCAATGTCATGGTATTATTTGCAAAGAATGTTAAATCAGAAAGTCGAACTTCCTTTAGCAAATATTTACAGTCGATATGCAAGAGATGAACCATATTTATTTAAAGATGTTTTCGACCCAGCTGCTATTATTGTTCATGCTTCATTTTTCGGGCCCCCAAACTCTTTTTTATGCTTGGCAAATGACTTTTACGAAAAACCTACAAAGTTATACGAACCACCAAGTGGAAGTATTTCAGACTTTCAAGTATGGTTTACTACAGATGGAAGAAAAAGAATAATTCCATTATACCATGCGTTTTACTTAGAACTTAGTTTCATATACAACTACTATCGAACGATAAAAATATAATTTTTTAATACGGTTGAGGTGTTGGATTTGGTTGCCAACTAGACTGTGGTGCAGGTTCAGGCTGTTGTATAACAGGAGCTTGTTCTTCTGGTTCAGGGTCTTTAGGTATAATACCAACGAACTGACCTACTCTTTTACCAATATTTTTGACACCGTTCCAAATTCCTCTTCCGACGGTTTTTATTCCATTCCATATACCTCTTCCAACATTTCGAAAGAAGTTTCCTATCTTACTGAAGAAACCCATTTTACTATATGTAAAAATCTAATGTCCGCCTAGTCTCTTACGTTTCCTGTTGAGTTCCATAGCATTCTTTAACTGGAGCTCATACATTCTGTTTCTCCTCTGGTAGAAAACATATTCTGGGTCAACTCCTGTGTTCGCGTCATCTGCATAAAGTTGTTTATATCCACTTCAGGGTTTGTATAAAACTCTTTCCATCTCATATTTGCATACCATGGTGGCAAACCTAACGCAGCGTCATTTGACATGGCAGTTTGCATTTGTACATCTGTTGGCACTTGACCATAGTTTGCCATTGCAGTTTGTATTCTAACTTCATTTGGAATATTCTCTGGGTTTGGTTGTCCAGGTTGCTGTGCATTCGCTAAGTTCTGTGCGTCCATTTAATATTAGATAAAATATCTCTTACGAGTACATATGCTGAACATTTGCTGGTATTGGTTCATCTTCATATTCTCTATATCTTTCTGCCACGTCAAATAAGTAAATGACACAATGGAAAAAACCTAAAACAAGTAGTCCTATTTCAAACCACATTTACTTACTAGTAAAATTTCTTTGTTATGACACTTTCTCCAGTTTATAGGACCTCTCTCATATTCTATCTTGTCATATCTAAACTCATAGTCATGTATGTCCTCTAACCATCTCATGACACTTTCCAAACCACTTTTATCGGATGTAAAGTAAAAGCATGGATGGTTATGTAAAACGTCTAAAGTTTCTAAAGAGTCTCTCAAAGTCCAGTCTACTTGGTATTGAAAATCCCATGTGTTATAGAACGGCGGGTCCACTATAAAGAAATTTTCCTTGTCTTTATATTTTTTCATACAACTCTGTCCAATGACATCTCACAAACTCTATACCCTCAATATATTTTTCTATGTTCTCTTTGAAAACATTTGTATAGTTAAGATATAAAACTTTTGACATAAGTGTTTCAATGTCATGAACTCTTATAGCACCACTATATAATAGTCTAGCAGATATACTATCCCAGTCAATATACTCTGCCTTTTTCAAAACCTCTCTGACAGTATTTTTCTTATCTAATGGTATACGTTCCATCTTACCTATAGGTATCTTTTCTTTTAACTCTTTCAATATTTTGTTTGTGTCTGGAATATGTTTGAGACGGTTCATATAGTTGTCGAAGTCATTGCATATAATCTTTGAGTCAGGAAATATTGTATGGCACAAATGAGATATATAGAAACTTCCACCGAACAAGTCTACAAATGTTAGACCATTCGGTAGTTTCTTAAGTTCTCTCAATAGAATATCTTTACATCTACTCTTATTTCCAAAGAAGGGTAACGGTGGTTTTGTAAAATTCATTTTATATATATAATAAAAATGTTTTTCCTGAAAAGTGACAGAAAAGTGACAAAACATGTACGAAGAAGTCTTGAAAATTCAAGAGGGTAGAAAAGAGGTTAGAAAAGAGGTTATATCTAACCTTCTACCCTAAACATTGAAGAAGGAGACTCTATCTCAGTTTATGTTTGCTACTGCAAGTTTTTCAAGGACGAATTTGGAGGACCAATTCTCATGCATGTCTTCAAGCCACGTCAGCAACTCTACGTTGAAACTGAAATAACACTCATGCATGGAATGTATCTCAAGTTTGAAAGCCAATTGGAAAACACATACAACATTTGGCTTTCATACATTCAGTTCGATACACCAGATGACTTTGATGTTGAAGAAGAAGACTCTACTCAAGAAGATGAACCACAAGACTCAATCCAAGAAGAGTCCTCCGAATTCACACCAGAAGACTAACAATTTTCCGAATAAAAACCTCATTTTTTACTAAACATCTTCAGGGCTAGAAGGCACGAAGTGCCTGGAAGCCCCAATACCTTTTTTTTTTTTTTTTTTTTTTTTTTTTTTAATTTAAATGAAGAAGTAATTTAAAACGATTTTATTTATGATCAAATTTTATATATTTTTTTGGATCAAATCCATTTTAATAGAATTTATATACTATTCATCTATTAGTAAACACTACCGTATATTATTTTTTAAGCTATCTTATTTTTTGAACTTTTATTCAAATCTTTGGTCGCAAGAAGAATTGCATGATAAATAAAAACATTTAATCAAAGTCAATTTTATTTTTCATATTCAAATGGACTGAGTGTTAACATTTAACATTTTTTGCTAATTGTCGTCAAAAATTAGGAGTAGGTGACAAAAGTGCATACTCTTAAACAACCGTCGGATTTCCGGGTGAAATCGTGACACACTTTCGTCTTTCGTAGGCAGTGGTGGTTGTTACAAAAGGTAACTTCGAATGTAGCGTGAAATCTGCAAAAAAAATTCTGAAATTTGAATGGAGAACACAAAAATTGAATAGTTTACGTCAATAAAAAAGAGAAAAATGAAGCCAATGTGTCTCGAACCTAGGACTTAGAGCAGCAATCCCACTGTTTATCACATTACATATTACACTACATGCATCTCTCACCTCAGTGAATGAGATCAACTATATGATAACTTTTTCCCCATTATATTCTTGTGGAAAAGTGACAAATAGCAACTTTGACCCTCTCTCCAAAAATTAGGCGTAAAGCAAAAATTGATATTTCATATGGTTTTATGATAGATAAGCATTATATTCCCACTCATTATATTCGTAAATTTTGAGGTTTATCCTTCGCTTTTAAGATCATTGAATTTGATTTTTATATAAAATAGTTATATATTAGAAAATAATATGAGTTTATGTGATATTATTTTTCAGAAGATTTCATTCTATATGCCTATGAAAAGTACTCGCAAAACTAACTTTTTCCTAATTATAATTAAATCTAGAATATTGTATTATGCTTAGTATTATTTCATTTTTCTCATTCAATTTAGAATTTACAAATGTCAAAAAATTGAGAGCTGTCACTTTTGATGAATTTCTGTTTATTACAGTTTTGGAATTTAATTTTGATAATTTTGAGGTCGGCTCCTGACCAATGAATTTGTCATCAAAAAATTTTTTTTTTCAGATGAATCATCAAGACGAACCTGAATTAATGATCGATCCAAAGTTCCAGGATGTTTATCCATGGGAATTAACACCAACTGGCCCATATATCGTCCTTACAATCCATTATGTTGAAGGTTTCGATCCATCAAAAGTTACAATGAAGGTCAGTGATAAAAAGGATGCCATTTCTGTACGCTATCCAGAACAGCCACCAATTGTCGAAGGTAAGCTTTTCGGAGAAGTCAAAGATGTCGTAATGAAAATTAATGAAGAAGAGAAGCAAATTACAATTACATTCTCTCTCATTAAGGAACTCATCCCAGATCTCATCTGTACAGATATGCACCCAGAAACCCATATGTTGGATCCACTTTCATCATTCCTTATCTTCAACAAGTATTCTCAATCGAAAGATGATAACCTTAAGAACGGATGCTTCAAGTACCTTGAGTTCGGCATAAATGCAGGCTTCCTTCCAGCTTTATTAACTGCAGCCGACATTTTCGCTCGCATCCCACAGCTTTCCAGCAATGCCGTCGAATTACTTATTACAGCCGCTGACAAGTACAACGCTGCCCCAGCACAGCTCCAACTTGGTCTCATGATGATGAATCAGCCAAACTTCAAAGAGCGTTCTTTCCAATACATCGAACGCGCTGCCCAAGACAAGTCCATCTCCATTGCTTCCGTCATCCTCGGCATCATGCTTTCCCCAATTACTGACATGGAATCACCAAAGAAAGACGCAAAAAGAGCTGTCGAAATTTTCAATGAAGTCCTTGAGAAAGAACGCAATCCATTGGCCCTCCACGAACTCGCCATGCTCTACTTCAATGGTATCGGCGTTGAGAAGGACGAAGAGAAGGCAAAGACACTCAACGAAGAAGCTTCAAAGCTCCAGAACGGTCAAATCCCAGCTCTCGAAGTTCGTGACGAAACATACGTTCCAAAGCCAATGATCGATGACGGCTGCGGCTGTGGATGTTGCCACTGCCATGATGAACCAGATGAACATGATCATTGTGGATGTGGTTGCTGCCATGAAGAGCCACACGAACATGATCATTGTGGATGTGGTTGCTGCCATGAAGAGCCACACGAGCACGATCATTGTGGATGTGGTTGCTGCCATGAACATGAAGAAGGAGGAAAGAAAGAATGTGATGGAAAAGGTGGTTGTGGATGTGGAAACTGCCATTGCCATGACGGTGAGAAGAAGGAGTGCTGTGGTAAGTGTGATGGAAAGGGTGGCTGTGGTGGTAACTGCCATTGCCATGATCACAATTAATTTATATTATTATTTTATAAATTGATATTTTTAATTATAATCCATAACTTGATGATTCTGGTTGTTTCTTAATCATATAATTGGTTAAACATAATATAAGGACACAATTTTAAATTTCAACAAATATTGAAACATAAAACGTTTAATTCGCTTGGAGAATGTTCAATTTAGATGAATTAATACTGAATAATGTGCAAAAATTTGAAAATTACAACATTTCACCTGGCAATTTTATTTGTGAAAGCTAATATCCTCAAAAATTTAATTTTAATCAGCTTTCTTCATAAGTATAACATAATATTGAGAGACTATATATGAATGGCTAAATGGTTCAATTTCGATTTTTTTCAGGAATCATATATAACGAAATAAATAGCAAATTTGGATGTAAAAGAATGTAATTATCATAAATACATCCATTATGAAGAATGCAAGGATGTTTAATTTTAAATAATGCAATTCTTAATTAATTCTTAGAAAAAATAATATATTCTCATATAGCAAGAAGTACACAATAAAATACCATGATAAAAAGCAGTCACGCAGAGATTGAAATTCTGAAATCATACTTTATAAACATCAAATCGGATAATACTTTGCAACAAATGTTGTAAATCTACGTAACAATAGTTAAGGGTCGTAAATATAGCTACGGTAAATTGATTGAAAAATATTTTTTATAAAAATAAATTACTCAAAATTGAATACTAATCAAAAAATTGAGCCAATATACGAAATCGATCTTATACGAAAACTAGTATGAGTGACAACAGTATTCTTTTATGAAATTTTCCAAATATTCTCAATATTTTGCTTTTATTAATTAATGGTGTTTCAAGCTAAATTAGTATATTTTATTCATTTTATTCATGATCAATAATGACACTTTTTAATTATTTAATTCTCCATTTATCATAATATTAATGCTTTCCAATATCATGATTGATGATGAATATTTTCTTCAATTTTACCTCAAACCATTCAATATTCTTTTCATATAGCACACAATACAACGTTTTGGCGACCTCAAAAATATTGATTATTCGAAAGGCTAGAGTTAAGATATAGCGCTATAATGGGAATTTCTCGCATATGTTCGTACATGAGCAAATACTATACCTTTTGCGAATAAAGAATTTTTTCATAAAAAAAATTTTTTAGGAATTAGCATATCGGCGTTTTGCGACATTGCCAAACGCCAGATTTTAACCCGACATATGAGCATAAGCTCGTATATTGGAATAAACTCGACTTATTCCATATTAAAGTTATTATAATAATAAGGCACTTAATGTGCAAATCTAATTGAATTAGAAAATGCACATTAAGTGCCTTTTATTGGAATATGTAATACCACATATGGAATACCGAAATCCGAGCATCAATTAGGAATGAACTAGTGCAAATTTTAGAAATACAGTATTATGTTAAATTCAGGATAAAAATTGTTAGAAATTTATATTTACAAATGAGTAAATAAGTATTTTGTAAAGTTTTCGTTTGATTTTCAAGCTTGTTGGAGAAAAATAATGAAAATAATTATTTATTTAAGCAATTTACACTAAAACTTTTTATGGAAATTGCAGTTCTAGCAATGTCTTAGAATTTAATTGTCATTTAAAGTGTGAAATGCATTGATTTGCTAGTGAATGTAAATCGGGAATACAAAATTAATATAAATGAACGAAAAATCTTCTAAGAACATCCTAAAATCAATCACCCTTTGAGTGGCTTTCATAATATATCTAGATGATAAACCAGAAATTGAACCCGCATATGGGTCCCATTAGGATAAATTGTAAACTACTCAAAAATATTTTACAAAATTAATTTAGGTAATAATAAAATTTTTAATTGAGATAAATTAAAAAAAATCTTAGGAGAATGTTATGGATTTTCTTCATTGAACCATTCGATAAATGAGCATCTTTGCGAGCCATTTGTGTTCGAGAGTCTTGTACCATAAAGGTGGCATCTCAGCAGTTAAGCATCCCTTCAATGCATTGATATCTGTTGATGGAACAGAGTATGCGACTTCATCATTGATCATGATCCAATATGCACTTTTTTGCAAAAAGACCACGTAATGAAAATTGCAATAGGCAACAATTGCAATCAATTGATATCTTTGCCTTTCGACTGTTGGGAGTGTCAACTTTTTCGGGAAGTCAAAGATGACTTGATGAATCGAATCATTCTGCCACTCTCTCTGAATGTCGAAAGTCAAGAATTGTGGCCATGATGTGTTCCTTGTAGTTGACAAATGATATTGAATGGCATGATCGAGATCTGGTTCTCCAATTCTGGTGTGAATCGAGTAGCAATTTGTTTGTTCGTTGGCACTATCACGGTAAGTGATTCGGAAGAGTTGACCGATTCCTGGTATTTGCTCTGCGAGATCTGTGATCAATCTTGTCATCGTGTCATCACAATCTTGTGCCTCATATGTTGAGTTACCAAGTAATGTGGCAAGTTCATGGGGAACGAAGACTAATCCTTTGGACTTCAATGAATTCAAATTTGTAAAGATACTTGACATCTCTGTTACGATGGGAGAGGACTGATTGGCAACCTTCAAAACTTCTGTTCTCACTTCGGATATGTAGAACAGAACCTGTAAACATACGTTCAAATGACACGTATTTCCCATATTATGAAGACCAACAATACCACCTTTAATTGGGTAAAGGTAGTTCGCCTCTTGTGATGACTGTATGATATCGACAGCTTGATGAGCGACAGCAATGATGTTCCGCTTTGATGGTTTCATGGAGGGTGCAACAACAGCAGCGACGGTATCGCTTGAAGGAAGAACCTTTGTTGGTGTAAAATCTTCGAAAAGGAGTAACTCTTCATTATCATTCAGGGGTGATCCATCAATGTTATAATTTGTCAAACCGACTAAACCTGATATGATCAGAGGAAGTGATGTGCGCTCACCTCGAAAACCATTTTTCATGCAGGACCAGCATGACTTGAAACGTGCAAAGAAACGCTCGACAATCTGCCTGTCTTGGGCAATGGCGTTGTTGCGTTCAACGTCTGCTTCTTCGTGGCTTCTCTTCATCACCACGGCAGTAAGGTGATATTTCTGGATTCCAATATAGCCCCGGTCGGCAAGTACAGGATATTGGTAATCATCAAATCCTCGCTTTACTGTCAAAAAATCCGAGACTTTTGACAAATCGAAAATCTTCTTGTCATGGACTGCAGCCATAAACTCAACGTTTTGATGTATGGCTTTTCCATCTGGTGACACGAGGACTTGGAGCTTAATACCGTTGCAGTGGTTTTTTTCATCCCAACTATAAAGCCTCTCTTCCTTTACCGAAGGAATGTTGAAAGGAATTGTAGTGCTGTCTACAGCTGCAACAGCATCAGGGAAGTTTGTAAATTTGTTCTTCATTGAAGTTAACGGTGGACAGTGATTGGGAAGAAAATAGCTCGCAAAGATTGGAAATGCAACATTGGTAGTTCTTGTAACTAATTTGGAATAGCATGACTGGGAAATATGTAGCAACGGACATAATGCTGAATAGGGCAAGTATGTGCAGTAATATGTGAGCGTGAGGAAGAGAGACTCGATTGTTGAAAATTTGACCTTCCTTCCTCTTCTGGCCCTTCCACAGTTGGATTCAATAATGTCAGCGAGGTATTCCAACTGTTCATATGTGAAGTTGCACAATGATCGGAGCTGGAGCTTTGGATGCATCCTGATGAATATTGAAATCGAGAACCTGGGCATTGGATTGGTCAATGTCATCTCTTTTGCCTCTTCTTCATTTAATGGCTCTTCATCTGTGTCGGAATTCTCAGGTGTAACAGTAACAACAATGTTCGCCCTTCTGGATTCTTTTATCTTGGTGATGATATCTTCATCGCATGGTTCATCCATGTTGATAAATGAAGTGATTAAAAGATATAAAAATCTTATCAAATTTGAAATAGAGTTCAAAATTAATAAATAATGAAACCCAATCAATTTAATCATATCTAGATATCCTAATATATATCATTTTAAACTTGAAATTAAGAAACTGTGAAGAATTAAAAAACGTTTAAAATCTTTCATACAATTTAATCATATCTATATATTCTAGTATATATCATTTTAAACTCGAAATTAAGAAACTGTGAAGAATTAAAAAAAACGTTTAAAATCTTTTAATAGAAATAGTTTATTTAAAAAATAAAAGTTTAACTGGTGCATAAGTAAAAATTAGATTCTCGAACTTATTATTATTTTTGATTGAAATATTAAAATAGTATTCCAATCAAAAATAATAATAAGTTCGAGAATCGTAATTTTAGAACTTTTTTACATTCTTCACGCCTGTAAAATATTCCATAATTACAGATTTTATTAATTACTACTTTTTTAGATACATTCTAAAGCTGGCGAAGCAACGCTAAAGTGATGATTAACAGTGAATCACTGCGACGACCCAACATAATATATTGAGATTAATTTTCTAGGTACGGTTGAAATGGCGGAGACCTTCTGGCTGTGCCTCAGAGCCCCTAAAATATTTCAAAAGAAATATTTCTACCATTTCGTCGAAAGATTAATCTCTGACTATGTCCGAGATAGCATCACTCAGGCGAAAGTATTACGCCGAGAATACCGATAGAAGTTTCTATCTAGTATAAGCGCCAGTATTTAGAAGAAAACATCTAAAAAAATGAACTATTTGTTCCATTCAATTATCAATTTTTTTTGTGAAAAAAAGAAATTTTGAAATTATACTTATAATATTGTTAGAATATATAAAATAAACATTTTGGGAAAAATTATAAAATTTTCCCAAAAATTTTCAAAATTTTTCCTAAATGTTAGTCACCGTTACGGTTTTTTCTTTGGGGGCGAGCTGCCCCCCAAAGAAAAAACCGTAACGGTGAGCTCACATTTCGGCATAGTTTAAGTCTAGGTTTTGCATTTTAAAATGTTTGTTACCTTATCTTCTTTCAAAAAGTGGCAAAAATTTGTTTGAAATTTGAAA